TCAGTTGAACTCAGTTGCCGCACTGCGGGTAGTCTGCAGTTGGAGCCGCGTCTTATCAGCGCGGCGGCGTGCTGCCGAATGGCTGGCACCAAACGCGCGCCAAATGATAACAGCGGCGGATCGAACGGCCGACGACTCGAACATGTTCGAGCGCCAAAACGCTCAAACCGCGGCGAGAAAAGAGAGAGAGAGAGCGATTGGCGGACGAGTGGGCAGCCAAAGAGTGATCCAAAAGAGAGTCGAGATCTGGGCATCGGTGGCGTATGCGCAATGTGAGTGCCGGAAAGTGACTCAAAGTGGCAAGCCTCCTTCTAGCTGGACAACCATGTCTATGCATGTGCCACATTTTTTGGGGATATTCGGCACAGGCGGATGTGCAGGCTCCAGTAATTTATGCATGCATGCAACAACGAGGTTCATCAACATCCAATGGACACTCTATAGCTGAAGCTATAGCGATAGGCGCGATATCGAATACCGGTACTGCACTCCAATGTTCTGCTTTCGCTCAGCCTCCAAGTGCACATCGCCCCCTTCCCCCTTCTCCATTGCCCCTTCCGCCGCGTCGCTCAGAATCATCTCAAATTGCACATATTATAATTTCTCTGGGAGTAGAAAGTTGGTAATCAATCAATTGCAAGATAACTTTCGCTCTGCTTGCAAATTGCTGCAGCTTTTCTAGCAAGTTCGTTGCCTAAGTCTTTCGTTTCGCTCAAAAAGTCTGGGGAAATCGGCGGCTCCCAGAGCATCCCAACTGATTCCGATAAGGGATATATGTATTCTTGGATGGAGGAGTTCAAACATCTGCTCTCAAAAGAGCAGATGAACTCAACGAGCTGGGCACTTATGAATGCTTAAAACTTAATTGTTACAAGCGAAAAACTAATATAATAAGAACATTTTTCTAGATAGCAACACTTTAATATTAAAAGGGAATAAAACACAGATAATTTTGGTATTATAGTATTGTTTCTGTTTTAATAATCATCAATTATTTATGAAAGATCCTCAGGTGTAAAAATCTAGATATAGATAGAAAATAGAAAATGGGGGTAAATAAACATTATTAAGTGAGTAAATATTTGATATATCCGTGCAGCTGTAAAAAAAAGGAGGAAATGTGAAGTATACTTTACCAAGTTGCCGAACAGCAAGATGCTCTTTAAGAATATTAAAAATAAAATAATTGGAAGTCTAAGAGAAACACGAAAAGCACTAAATTAATTTAAAATATTTAAAATAAATAAAATTCTTTTTGTACAGACATTCCTTGCTTGAACTTGTATCAATTTCAGCGATTAATCAATAGGAGAGCTTCTCATCTTGAAATTGATTGGCTGTGGCGGTGAATGGCTAATTAGCTCAGCCCTTAAGGCTGCGATTAAAACCGGGGGTTCCCCAAATGGCAGGCGAGGCCCCATTAGTCAGGCTCCTCTGGATGACCGAATATGGGCAGCAGATACTTTCGCCCAATGCGTTTTGGATGAACAAAAGCAATGCGAACGCTAAAGCGAACACCACAAAAATCCGATGGCAATTTCACCAATTAAACTAATGTCGAGTTGGCGATAGAAATTTCTTGGAAAAGTCCACCAGTCCGTCACTCTGCCACTCGATCAAGTGTCGCTAACGCAAAATGGGAAGCGGTCGGGTGCAGTCGGAAAAGCACACGAAAAGCCGGCCAAAAGACGGCAAACAGCCAAAAAAAAAAAAAGAAATAAATAAAGAAGAAAAATGAAAATGTGGAAAACGAAACCGCCGTGGCAAAGTCGAAACAGAAAACACACAAAATACAACCAACAACAAACAAACAACAAACAACAAACAACAAACTACAAAATACAAAACAAGGCAGTCGTTGTCGGTCTTGCTTTTTTTGCCGGCGTGCCTATTTTTTTGCCACTACTGACACACTGCCGCTGTTGCATGTTGTTGTTGTTGTTGGTGTTGTTAGTGTTTTTGGTGTTGCTGTCTTGCTGCACATTTGTGGCCATGAACGTGAAAAATCCGCAAAGTGAAAAATAATTGATTCCGGAAGGAAACTGCCGCAACTGGTTTCAGTTTGGGTTTTCGGTTTGTTTTGGCAACTTGCTGCTGCCGTTGTGGATTTCATTTTATATTATTTTTTTTCGTTTCGTTTCGTTTTGTTTCGCTTCGTTTGGTTTTTATTTATTTATTTTTATTGCGTTTGGTGCCGTAACCGGGGAAGCGGTGGAAAGCCAAGCTGATTTTCCGACTGGTGAAATCCGAGCGCTGCATTTGTCATGTGTTTCTGGTCTCCTCAAGAGGAGCACCCTTTTCGTCCCACTCGACATGACTGGTTCCCCTGTTTCCCGAAGGCCAAAACCCAAGTGTCTCGATGCGCTGAGTTGACAGTTCTGTGTCAGCAGCGGCGGCCAAAAGGAAGTGCTGGTGAAATCTCCGATCTCTGGAGAGGAGCCGAGCGGAGCTCCTAGCTCTTCGAGTGGCGCGATGGCTCGATGACTCGATGGCTCCGCAAACAAGGTTCGTTTCTGGGCCAGTGGCGCAGAAAGTGACTGCCGCTGGCCAAAAGTGAAAAACAATAAAAGGCCAAGAACCCAAGCCATCCAACCAACCAACCAAGTAACCATCTTGCCACCCACCAAACCCCGATGCACTGCAGCAGCGTTCTCAGCGCCATGCAGGAAGTCAATTACCGCCTGGAGCCAAAGACTCAACCGCCGCAACCGTGCATTTATGCATCAGCGGCCCCTTGTCGCAAATTCACAATCTCTGCCCGCTAAACTTTCTCAATTTAAAATTGCATTCGAAACGATGCTGATGACGCGACTATCTAGCTAGTCACACAGAAAGAAAATCCCACTAAAATTGTCTTTTATTCAAAAAGTTCTTATCCCTAATATTGGTTCTTCTATTGAATTGGAATGAATGTTTTTGATTATATTACGTAAAACCGTTCAAGTTATCGTCAATTTAAGCCATTCAATTAAAGGTTTCGGCAAAACCTCTTCTAAAAATAGCTTTAAATAGTACCTATATCTTTGCTTAACAAGAAAATATTCATTGTAAATTAACAACAACTGTATGTTTTAAATCCAAAGGTATCCAATTTTCTAATAAAATTTTCGTTGTTACTTTCAAGACAATCCATGCCAAAATCCATCGGAGGTTTCTCACATGGACTTTATATTTTAACATGATCTTCATTTCTTTTGAGTGTAGCGATTTCCCTCGAATTTTCCGCAGTCGAGCTGGAAGTCGTTGCCATTTGCCGTTGCCAGCCGTTGACCGAAAAAAGTGTGTCAAGTTTTCGACAAAGATCAAGTACATCGCAGATAGTACGTCAAATGTGTTTGGCTGTCGTTGCCCCTGATGTTGTTGCCGAAGTTGTTGTTGTTGTTGTTGCCGAAGTTATTGTTGTTGCTGGTGATGCTGGTGATGCTGGTGATGCTGGCGTTGCCGTGCCCGGAGTTTTCTGCATCCGCCGCCAGGCATTTCCAGTTGCCATGACCAAAATGTTCTCAAAATCCATTGCAATGTGGCTTAGATTTCGGTGCAATTTCGTAGTGAAAGTGCAGCAAGAGCAGCACCAACAGCAACAGCAGCAGCAGCAGCAAGAGCAAGCCGATCCGCAACTAGTTAGAAAGAAATGTGTGGCACTCCATCGGCATCCGTTGGTAATTACCGACGTGATCTGCGCAAGAAAGCCGCTGTGGATGGATCTAGATTGTGGGCCGCAGATTGGCCAAATAGCTGACTGGTGGTGGTGGTGGGCTGGCGAATAAATCGCATTCCCCACCCAACGAAATCGTGTTCTGCGGATCCGTCGATCTCGTGGGTGCCACGGCGACCCACTTGCAGTGACCCACTCAACTGGTGGCCATCCGCCATCAACCATCCAACATTCAGCATCCAACATCCAGCATCCACCATCCAGTTGCCATGACCATCCGGGTCTGGGTCAGAGAAAGGGAGAAGCCGCCAGATCAGCGAGCAGCGTTCACTTTTGCCACCGTCAGATGCCAACTGTCATTGGCCATCAATCGATGGGGGTCAAAGAACTCCCCACTTTCCACTGCGCCTCTGCAGCGATAAAAAAAAAAAATAAATAAAAACGAGCAGCTTGGATAGTGGCAGGTAAAATTTACATTCACATTGTGTTTTATTATAACTTCAAAATATGCCCCGCATACACCAAGCCATTTTGATATTTAGGTGTGTAGTTTGATAGTTTAATGAATTGTTACAATTTTTCTAATCATTTTTGAATTAATATTGACCGATTGCAAGTGTCAATTGTAGCTTTCGAGTGTTAAGATAATAATTCTCATTCACATCACATTCAATTATGCTATTTTGATTATGTCATTATAAATGTAATCTTTTTCACATTTTTGTACTCTGAAAACCAGTACCTTATAAGATAGTGCGTTTAATATAAATCAGTTAAATTTGAGAAATTAATAAAACAAATTTAATATTATGCCACTAAAGAACGAAACACATTCTAGTCCTTTTCACATAATCTTGATATAATATTATTAACTCTATAAAGGTGATACTCATATTATTGTTATTATACTCTATTCCGCACACGAAAAAGCTACAACCATTATGGGTTATACGGAACTACATTGTACCATACGGGAAGTATCAAAGGAACATTTTATGGTATCACATTTTTTTCGCTGTGTGTTTTTTGAACATGAGCCACGATCCGAGATCGCGTGGAGATAGGACAACATGTGGAGAACTGGAGAACTGGAGAACTGTACAACTGGAGAACTGGAGAGCCGGAGAACTGGAGAACAGGAAGGGAAGTGACTGCGCTATTTTCATATGCGCACACCGTTGCCTCTGATAACCCAATATCCCAGTTAAATTTGAAATCAAAAGCCGTAAATGCCGAGGCGGGGGAATTTGAATGCGCGCCGAAAGAGAGAGCCAATAAATCCGTTATGTTATGCATAAATCCGGCGGCGTGGGCGTCAGTCTCGTCAGTACTCGCTACGCAGCGCAGTACTCAGTACTCAGTACTCACTCGTACTTTCAATTGGAAGTGGGGAATGGGAATTGGAAGTGGAATGGGAATTCGAATTGGAATCGCCCCGCTCCACTGAGCGATTCCATATAAAAGCGTTGGCGCTGCCCAGCCGGCGTTTCTTTTAACCCAACAATGCCGCGAAGTGCGCTCATCGTTCCCGGTCTCATTTGGATCGCGGCCTTGGCCCTGGGCGCCACCTTGGAGGCGGAGCAGCCACCATCGCCCACGCCCTCGCCATCTCCCTCGCCTGCCGTCAAGAGAGGCCTGCTGCGGGGACAGCCCGCGGTGCCACCCAGCCCGAGATGGGGCGCCAACATGCAGATGCTGCGCCGCCACAACAGTAGGTACCCACCACCACTAGATTGCCACCAAAAGCATTCCTGGACCATCAGTTTGTGGAAAGGAGAGGGGTGGTAATCATTTCGATTTCTGTTTCTGAATACAAAGACAATCTAGGGAAGAATAGAGGTCAATCTCCTAAATGAGTTTTTAACCAATCGATTTAATTACTCAATGCTTTGAAGTAAACCAATATATATCTTATCATTCATTTATATATAACACTGCCACTGCATCTATTAACATAGCTGCAAACTCGTATTTTTTAATTATTCATTGATAAATTGTAAAGCCGCCTTAAGAAGTGTTAATGTTATAAATAATATATAGTAGTACCTACTTCTAGTTATAATACTTATCTCTGAACCCTTACAGGTCCCGCCTTCAACTTCTGGACGGAGGACAGCGAGACGAACATCTGGGAGCACTGCGGCCTCTTCGAGGGCGACATCATGCTCCACCGCGAGCTGCTGAGGAACGGGTTGCTCAACGAGCGCCTCACTTGGCCTGAAGCAGCCGTGCCCTTCTACATAGATCCCCAGGATTTCGGTGAGTAAGCCATTCCATCCTGCTCACTCCAGAACCATTGATGATCCGCCCTGACCAAACAGATACCAACCAGACCATGGTGATACTGAAGGCCTTCAAGGAGTACCACGACCGCACCTGCATCCGCTTCCGGCCGTACGAGCAGGGCGACAAGCACTGGCTGCTCATCAAGGGCAACTACTCCGGCTGCTGGTCGAGCGTCGGTCGTCGGTCTGGTGGCCAGGTGCTCAACCTGAACACGCCCAAGTGTGTCACGCATGGAGTGGTGGTGCACGAGCTGCTCCACGCCCTGGGCTTCTATCACCAGCAGAGCGCCACGGAGCGGGATGAGTACGTGAAGATCAACTGGGAGAACATCCTCGACGGCCACGCCCACAACTTCAACAAGTACGCCCGCACGCACATCACCAACTTCGGGGTGGAGTACGACTACCAGAGCGTCATGCACTACAGTTCCCGGGCTTTCAGCAAGAACGGAAAGGCCACCATCGAACCACTGGTGAGTCACTAGTCCCAAGCAGAGAATAGATAGATAGATAGATAGATAAATAGAATATACACATAATTGAGCGTTTATTGCTAGTCTTCTACATTATAGGAAATATTCAGTTTGCCCTTTTAATAATAATACTTCACAACATTAGTCAAATTGCATGGACATTCAGTAAATTCGCACTCAGACGACTTATCTTTTAACACTTACTTCAACAAGGATACTCTAACATTAACGTATTTCGACGGAAGAATTGTTATTTCCTAGATAATCTATGGAAAATATTCATACTTGATCAAGTATTAAATTCAACAGCAATAGAAGCATTTTAAAAACAAAATGATTTGATTGATTCATGATTTTATCATTGGCTGTTAGGTAGTTCTATAACGTTTGTACAGAGATACACGACCTAGAAATATGCTTAGGCTATCTAGATTATATGGCTTTCACTTGTTTTCTTGTTGGATGTATTGATAAAAGAAACAGATTGGTTTTTAGTAAGGCAGAAGAGAAAAGGTGACTTAGCTCTACCAGTTTCGGTTGAAGAGGTATTCGAAGTTGTTTAAACAGAAGTGAGATTCCCCGTGAGATTAAATGGTTATTGATGAGTTGCCTTCTATCTGCTCATGCCTCTCCTTCGCTGCCAGGATCCGTACGCCTCGCTGGGCCAGAGACGCGGCCTCTCCGACAAGGATGTGTCCAAGCTGAACGAGATGTACGAACAGGACTGCAGCGAGGACTACCTACTCAACTTCGACCGCTTCGGGAACTACATTGACGAGCTGCTCGACTACTTCCAGGGCAACATTCAGGATCTGCTCGGATAGAGACGCCTGATGCCAATAAACGAAAGTATCGGCTAGGTGACGAAAAACGTGAAGTGACTGATCTCGTCGAGGGTCTGGGCGGCCTCCCCGCGGAGCGCCGGGTAGGAGTGGTGTTCCGAGAGCTGCTGCAGTGCGAATCGCAGCTCGCCGTTCCAAATCCGCTGCACGCCGCGCAGGCTAAAGCGGGCCAGCAGTCGCAACAGCTGACAGGAGCGTTGCCTCAACAAATGGTGGCGACTCTGCAGGAGCGTTACGAAGCTCAGGCGCGGATTGAAGACGATCCGCTCCACCAGCTCGGCGTTTTCGGGCAGCTCCCGCAGCACACAGCCCATCAGGGCCAGCATGCAGCCAGCCAGGCGCACGGGGGCGGAGTCCGAGTCCGAGTGCCTGAAGTCTGCGGGGAGAGTAGAAATAGTTAACATTCTCGGGTTAACAGCAGCAATGGTACTCCTACCGTGCGTTAGGAAGTTCAGGAAGAGATCGCTGGCCGACAGAATGGCCACGGCATCGCAGAACTGCGTGAGGAACTGCTGCTGCAGGTGCACCAGGTGGCAGACCAGCTCGTACAGCCGGCAGGCCGTTTCCAGCTCCTCGACTGTTAGCTCCGGGATGCTCCGCAGCGTTCGGCTGAGCGAGCCCGCTGTAAGTGGAGCAGAGGCGGCAGAGTCGGAGAGCTGCTTGTGGGACAGGAGCAGCTTGCAGGCGTACATGAGATTGGGCACCAGCTTAACGTCCACGTAGACGTTGCGGATCAGCTCCAGGTCTGCTTGCAGCACTGGATCCACAATCACGAACGGCAGCGACAGCAGCTGGGCAACGCTTTTGAGCACTCGGGGAATGGCCTTGGAGTTGCGCAGCGGCGCCACAATAATGCTAACCAGGTTGTGCTGCTTCAGCGAGTCCAGTTCGCCGTCGAGCAGCTCCTGCACGGATCGGTTCAAGAAGGCCAGCCACTCGTCGTTCTCGATGGGCGGACTCTGCGACTCATCGCAGCTGTCCCAGCCAGGAAGCAAGCAGGGCGGTGTGTTACTATTAAGTAAGGAAAGTAAAGGTAAGGAAAGTAAGTGCAAAGGAGTCTTAGTAACCCTCGAGCTATGGCCACTTACTCGCTGCTCAACTTCTCCTCGTTGGTGGAATGCATTGAGTGCTTCAGTTGCTGTGCCTGTTGCTGCGGTGGTTGGGGAATCGCTTGGGAACTCGATGGAGCTGGAGGCTTTCTGTCCTGGTTGAGTTTTTCTTGGTTCAGCTTTTCCTGGGTAAGCACTTCTGTGGTCTTGCGATGCACCTCCATGTCGACGCTTTGGCCCAAGCGCACCGAGAAGTTGTCCAGGTTCTGGCTGAGCTTGCGCTTCTCGAGATCCTTGCTCCGGGACTGTTTAACGACGGCCACGACTTTCGGCTTGGATGGCCCCGCCACGGCCCGCAAGGAGGCCTGAAAGTCAAAGTTGTCGTTCATGTGGTTGAGGATCATGTTCGAGTTGCCGCTGACGAAGCAGGTGTGCGAGTTAAGCACCGGCTGGTGCACCATCGGCAATGCCCGCACACCGGACAGATCTCTGAAGGAGACGTCCGCGAACGGAACGACCACGCGTTGCATATTGTCCTCCACGTCCGTCTCAAGATTCTCCACGTCGCTGGGGGCAATGGCGTTGATGCTGTCGCGAGAGGTGCTCAAGTTCTCCGCTCGCGCCTCTCCAAAGTTCAAAGCTGCCAGGGCTTCGTCCAGATCACCAGTCTCTTGATTGGAGGGTGGCTTGACCACCTCCGCCTTATCCTTGACCGCGGGATTGGTGAAGGGCGACTCCTTGGCCGCCTCGGCCTGCGTTTCGGCAATGAAAATGCGGCCCTCGATGAAGGGATGGCACAGCAGCTGCGTCCAGGATATGCGCATGCCGGGATCCTTCTCGAGCAGTCCCTGCAGGAAGGAGCGACAGTCGCTGGTCAGCGTGCTCGGCCATTTGACGTCCTCGTGCTTGATCATCTTGACCAGGTGCAGAATGGAGCTGGCGCAGAACGGTGGCTGCCCGGCCATGCTCTCGTAGGCAATGCAGCCCAAGGACCACATGTCGGCATGGTGATCGTATGGCTGCTCCGCCAGCAACTCGGGTGCCATGTACAGCGGTGTTCCCTTGATGGAGGTGAGCACATGGGTGCCCAGGGTCATGTTGCGGGCCAGGCCAAAATCGCAGAGCTTGGCGTGCATGTTCTTGTCTAACAGGACGTTCTGGGGCTTGAGATCTCGATGCAGGATCCGGTTGGAGTGCAAGTAGTACAGGGCGGACACCAGATGGCCGGTCACCCGGCGAGCCGGCTCCTCGCCCATGGCTCCATTGTATGAAAGGTAGCGATGCAGGTCCATCAAAGCAAACTCAGTTACCACGAAAAGGTCCGTCTTCGACTCGAAGGACTCGATCATCTCGATGACGTGAGGGTGCTTCAGCCGAGCCTGAATGTCGCACTCTCTCCGAAGGTTCTTTAGCTCCTTGGTGGCTCTGCCGCGCTGCAGGATAACGTAATGATTCCGGTGTACTTGTTGCGCATGCATCGCCTACTCACCTTAGAGATCACTTTGATGGCCACAACCTTGCTGTCGTCCTTGCGCGTGGCCTTGTAGACGCACCCGAAGGATCCCTGGCCCACTAACGAGCTAACCGCGTAGCGGTTCATGGCTATTTCGTATTTAATTGGGGGTTTTCCCTTACTTTTTTTCTGCACAACTTTGGATAGATTGTTTGGAAGTGAGACCGTAGTTAGTTGCCTCTTAAAATACCACACGCTTAGGGAGCACTAAAGGAAGTACAAAGGAACTTTAATTGGGGATATGAAAATACTGAATTGTCCAAGTCAGAAACTTATTCGAATTTCTTGTGAGATAATTTTTGTTATTTTTACTTTGGACATTACGGCAGATAAATTCCAATCTTTAGAACAAATACCATTTGAATTATATATATTGTCATATATATGTATCCAATCCATTAGGATTGGTTGCGGATAAGGTTTTTATTTAAACATTTCCACAGTTTAAGTAATAAATAAATCACATCTAGGTACATCAGAACGTACCTAAAGAAGGAGGCACTAAAAAATTTCCCAGCACGGTCAAATTGCCCGTTTAGATAGTTAGTCAGTTACACGCGTCGGTCACACTACGCGGACAGGGCCGAAAACAGCTGATCGGTGTCTGTTTTTTATTGTGCAAAGGGAGCAATAGTCGTTGTGAAATAAATAATGATTACCACCCTAAACAAAGCCACTTAGTGAGAGTCGACCCGCAAACGCAGCACGATGCGCGAGCCCAATCTGTACGTGATCCTATCGCACGCGCTAATAGGTAAGTTCTCCGGCCGGCGGACGCCCTCTGCCACGCCTTCGCCTCTCGGATTTCCTTTCAAGCAGGGATTCCCCCAAAACCAACTTGAGTTGCAATTGCTATAACCCGATCTCCAGGTTCCGGCTTCTTCTTCCTGTACGTGCAGCATGTACGCGTGATCTTCGAGACGCGCACCAATATCCAGCAACTGAATCAGCTGGAACGGGAGGCGCTCCTGCGGCGCGAGGATGCCCTCTACTACGCCTTCTATAAGCGGCTGGCCGACGGACCGGACTTCTGGCACGGCTATGAGCAGCTGAAGAACGTCACGGACATCGAGTACCCGAACAGCGTGAATGTGCTGCAGCGCTTCTATGTGCTGCCCGAGTTGGTTACGGCGTAAGTAATCTACGGAATCCCTATTGTGCGGCTCCCTATAACCTGAACATTCTACGCCCCAAAGATACTTCTTCCATGTGGTGCGGGCCGGCTTCAATCCCATGGTCCAGCCCATGCAGTTCTATCTGGAGTTCGTGTGGCTCATGGGCGGGGTGACCCTGCTGGTCCTCTATCTCTATGGAACGCTGCTCAGCGAGAACGTGTTCGGTGGGATATACGGCGTGATCTCGTACCTGATGTTCCACAGCTTCGTGGCGAAGATATACGAGCGACCCTTGGCGCGGGAGAACTTCGCCTTTCCGTTCATATTCCTGCAGATGTTCTATTTGTGCATTTGCATTGGGAGGATCATCCATCGCCAGCGGCACACCTCTCGCTTGTTCATGGTAATTTGGAGACGTTGTTTGATGCAACAACTAGTCTTTGATATGCCTTATTTCCCCTGTAGATCTTCGCCATGTCCCTGTTCACCGCCTGCGCCCTGCTGTCCTGGCAGTTCTCCACCTTCATCTTCACCACCCAAATCGTGATCGTAATGACGTCGTGGAACCTGAGCGATCTGCCCACGGGATTGGCGAACGCCTTCGCGCTGGACTACTCGCTGTCGCACCTGCTCGGCCACGCTCTGGCCTTTGTGATGTCGCACGGCAACAGCCAGCTGCTCTTCACCTGGCAGCTGAGCGTCTCGCTGTCGCTGTTTCTGATCACCTTGGTGCGGCAGCTGAGGCAGGTGCGCAGCCGGCGGCTGGGACACGCCAACGATCCGCTGCAGGGCGACTACTTCTCGCTGAAGTTCATCCTGCTGGCGCAGCTCATCGCGAGCAGTATGCAGGGCATGCTGCTGGAGCTGCTGAATCGGGCGGGCGTGGTCAGTGCGCCGGACGGAGCGCACACGCACTACTTCGACCTGTGCGCCCACTGGGCGCTGCAGGTCAACGTGGGCTTCGTGGCCCACCTCTCCGCCTGCAACCCGCTGTACGCGCGCATCGCCTGGTCGGAGCTGTGGCAGCTGGTCAAGACGATGATCGTGAAGCCGTACTGCATGTACGGCGTTGTCATGCTGGCCATGTTCTTCCGTCGCTGGCGCAAGAGCGGCGCTCCGGCCAGCGCAGCCACCGAGGAGCAGCGCGAGCGGGCCCGCAACTACGTGCTGGAGGACTTCCTCGAGGAGCACCGCGTCTCCATGGGCGACATGTCCAACCGGCAGACGGAGCAGCAGCTGCAGCAGTGCTTCCGGCTGCTCGAGAGCTGCGACCACGACTACGAGCGGTATAAGCGCGCCCAGGCTCGCCTGCGCCAGGAGCAGCCGCCCGCCCGCGACGACTTCATGCAGGACATCCGGCGACTGCGGGCGCAGATCCACCGCAACAGTGATAAGCAGCGAAAGGAGCGGGCGCAGGGAACCAAAGAGGCTCCGGGCGATGGGTCGCCCGAGCAGAAGCCCGAGGAGGATAAGCACTTAGTGGAGGAGGAGGAGCGGAACGAGGAGGAGGAGAAGGAGAAGGAGCCAGGCAGCCCCAAAGAAGTCCCCGAATCCAATGCAGACCCCGCTGACGAAACGCTGCCGTCCAAGTCCGCCGGCCAGGAGGAGGGCGAACCCTCTGCCGCCGGCCCAAGCTCCAGCTCCACCTCCACCACCACCTCCTCCACCACCGCCGGTGGCCAGAAACGCCAAAAGCGCAGCGCGTCGCGGCGCAGCTCGGTGGTGCCCACAGCCAATGCACAGATACTGAACCTGCACTACATGTACAGCTTCCTGCAGATGCTAGTCTTCACCGTCATCGGACTGGCCGTGCGCAAGCTCTTCTTCCTCAGCTTCACGCAGGGCTGTGTCATTGCGCCGACGATCTGCTCGAAGGTGTGGTACCATCGCCAGCGCAACATCTTCTGGTCGGTCTCGCTGGCCGTCTTCCTGCTCAGCATGTTCGATCCGGGCATGGTGGTAAGTTGAACTTTGCCCTGCTTGCTCCACTGCTCCAATGCTCCAATGATTGTGTTGTTCTTGCGACTCCCCCGTTAAGAACATTCGCGAGGAGTACTTCCCCACGCGGTACACCCAGAGTGGCGACGACCTGGACAGCATGCTCGAGTGGATCAAGCTGAACACGGAGCGGGACGCGGTCTTCGCCGGCCCCGTCGAGATCATCGGCACCGTGCACCTGACCACCAAGCGGCCGATAGTCAACCATGCGCACCTGGATATGCGTCAGATGGCGTGAGTAGTCCCGATAGCAAGCGAGATAGCTTATCGCCGTCCCGCTTTTATTAAATGTGCCCCTTATCCATCCATTCACCTTCGGAACCTTCCGCCCTTGCAGGGATCGCACGGAGCACGTGTACTCGGTCTACAGTCGCCAGCAGTCGTCGGATATCTACAATCAGTGCGCCCAGCTGAAGATCCAGTACTTGATCATATCGCTGGACGAGTGCACCAACGAAGTGCGGTGAGTGGAGGCAAGCGAAGCACTCAAGTGCTTTCCCAGTGCTTGTCAGTTAATTTGTCTGAACCATAAAGATACCCAGATTGTAAGCGGTGGATTGATTGAGCACTTTCGCCCTCTCATTGCAGCGACGACTGCGATCTGCTGGCCATTTGGGATGACAAGCAGCCGGCGTACCAGAAGTACCCGCAGTTCTGCCACGAGCTGCTCCACAAGAACGTGCCCAGCTTCCTGAAGGTGTACGCCAACGACCACTACGGCATCATCAAGATGTTCTCGCAGAGCGTGCAGATCAACCTCAAGCACAACAAGATGCCCGAGATGTCCATTTAGGAGTGGTCGTTGAAGGTGGAAATGGAGGAGGAGGCGGAATGGCGGGTTGATAGGCTGGCAGTGGGGAATCTGCGACTGTGTTGTGCTGTACGTTGCTGTGTGACTAGGGATTAGCATTTTGCGATGTCTGTATTATGATTATGATGATTACGTTTAGTATTGCTGTGGCTTGCTCGCGGGCAAGGCAGCTGCCTCCTCCACTTCACTCCACTCCACTCCCCATTCTTCGTCTCCGTCACCGTTCCCGCTTCCGTTCTGTTCACCTGCTGAGAAATGATGGCAGTTAGCTAGTAAACTGGATGCATTTAGCAGCTTGACTTGTTTCTGTTCCACGCCGTTGCGTTCAGACCTCGTTTGGATCATTCCCCGCGCCCCTCGCATTCGAATAAGTTACTCTAGCCGTACGGACCGACTCTCAACTCTAAATACTTTCGTTAAGTTTAAGCTAAGCTTTTTACATTTATGTAGTATATGACGTGTGGTCAGAGAGGTGGATATCTTCCCGGAATCCACGATCCCAGACCCAAGAAGCTCGGGCAAAGAAGCGCATTTGCCAGGCAACAAGTGAAATAAAACGATAACGTTAAACAATAGCGCTGGTTTTTTACATACATATGTGCCATTTGGGACTCAAAATGAGTTGTTATCTAATATTTTTTATTTTTATTGTTTTATTAGAGCTTATACACAGCTCATTAAACAAATACACGTCTTTTTATTTTATTTTTCTCAAATTTTTTGAATTGTATTTTGACTTGGATGTCTGAGTCTATTTTTATAATATTTGCATACGTAATTTATTGTACATAGAATTTTACGATTTCGAAAAATAACGATTTTAAGGCAACCAATTTCCAGGGCTTATGTGTTGTCTCAATAGGTACTCCGCCTAAGGTGTTCCGTGGTTCGTGTATTGGCTTTAATGGGGCACTTTAAGGCTGGCAAGATACAGCCACACTATTTTTTGCCGTTTGCCAACACCTGACGAAAAAGACGCGTTTTTGCATTAACAAAAATCAAAGTTATTGTCAATTTTGCGCTCCTTTCGCGGCTCCATCACTCATTGCCATCATGCTCTACCTGGAGGACTACCTCGAGATGATCGAGCACCTGCCGCAGGAGCTGCGCGACCGCTTCACGGAGATGCGCGAACTCGACCTCGCAGTCCAGAGTAAACCAAAACAAAAACCGCGAATCCCAGATTACCACTTAACCATTCCCCACTTCCCGCTTCCGCAGACAACATAGACTCCCTGGACAAGAAGGCGCACATGTTCTTCAAGCAGTGCAAGCGCGACGAGCTGCAGCACGAGTCGATGGACACGGAGTTCCAAAGCCTGCGCGGCGAGTACTTCAAAGTGATGGAGGACGCCGACGAAAAGGTGGCCATCGCCACACAGATCCACGAGCTGGTGGAGCGCTACCTGCGTCGCCTGGACAGCGAGCTCTTCAAGTTCAAGTGCGAGCTGGAGGCGGACAACAACGGCATCACCGAGATCCTGGAGCGGCGCTCCCTGGAGCTCGATGGCAACTCAACGGCCGCCACTGCCCTGCTGCTCAGCATGAACCAGAAGGAGAACCGCTACTACGGCGCCAGCTCGGGCAACAGTCTGGTCAACAGCTCGACGGGCCATGCCTCCGCCGCTGGCGGCACAGCCGGCTCCTCCTCCATTGCCCTGGTCAGCGGAGCCACCGGCTCCGGCAGCACACTCTCCACCATCTCGACTGCGCAGCTGAGCTCCAGCCAGCGGCACCGCAAGCTGGAGAAGCGTCGCGAGACCATCTGCACCGTGCCCGTCCAGGAGAAGCGCGCCAATCTCAATCACTCGCTTCCCGTGGGCGGAACTGGATCCGCAACAGCTGTTGTGCCCGCTGCCTCATCGGCCACAGTGTCCGGCGGAGCTGCTGCCGCCCCCGCTGGACTGACCAACGTTGCGTCCGCCCAATCGCAGGCCTCCAATCACATCGGCAGCATCGCGCCCACACATCTCACCCTGTCCGTGGCCGTAGGCGTTAACGTGGGCGTGGCCGGTGGCAGTGGCGGTGGCAACCTGCCCGGCAGCTCGCTAGCCGCAGGAGCGGGCTCCCTGGTGCGCCAATTGCCCGCCAATCTAGCGCACAGCGTGCTGGCCAGCGCAGGAGGACAGGCGACGGCCGCAGCGGCGGGAGGGAGCGCCACACCCGTGGTGGCAGCAGCCAGCGGCCACGGACATGCCCACAGTGGACACGCGACCGGCGGAGGAGCCACAGTCACCTACAACCTGCAGCAGCTGGGCGGAGGAGCCGCCGCCTCCAGTGCCATTGCAGCGGCCGCCAGTCAGGCCATCGTGGCCACCCAGCAGATGCAGCAGGGCCGCCGGACAGCCAGTCTGAAGGCCAGCTACGAGGCCATCCACGGCACGGCTGGCACCACGGCCGAGTTCTGGTCGCAGGCGGGCCAGGGTGGGCTGCAGCAGTCGGCCGGCGGAGCGGTGACAGTGGCCGCCGGCACTCCACTGGCCAGCGGAGCAGTGAGCGGTGGCGGCGGCGGCGGCAGCAGCGGCTCCCATCACGCGCACCACTCGCAGTCGCACCACAGCAGCCATGGCCACGGACACGGCCATGGGCACGGGCACCACCACAGCAGCGGAGGCGGCCACAGCAGCCACCACCAGGAGAAGAAGCAGAAGAAGAAGCTCACCACGGCGCTGACGATGCCCGCCTCGCTGGCGGTCCAGCCGCTGGCCGGTTCCTCCTCCTCGGGCAACTCGATCGTCTCGGCGTCCTCGTCGCTGAGCGTGGAGTCCGTGGATATGCTCTCCACGGCGGCGGCTGTGGCAGCGGCGGCCTCAACGAACCTTTCGGCCGGCGGACTCACCCACTCCTCGCTCGCCTTGGCCGCCGCAGGAGCAGCTGGCGGAGGAGCGGGCGGAGGCGGCCTGACGGTGGGAGCGGGTGGCGGTGTGGCCGGCGGCGGAGTGACCGCCATGACCATGCCGGCCACCACAATGACGCCGGGATCCGGTTTGGCCATCGGCGAGAACGGCCTCGTCGTGGAGCAGACGAACGAGGGCGAGTGGTCGTACGATCCGAACGAGCCGCGCTACTGCACCTGCAACCAGGTGTCCTACGGCGACATGGTGGCCTGCGACAACGACGCCTGCCCGTACGAGTGGTTCCACTATCCCTGCGTGGGCATCACGCAGCCGCCGAAGGGCAAGTGGTACTGCCCCAAGTGCACCGCCTCCATGCGGCGACGCGGCAACCGGAAGAACTGAGGCTGACTGCGCCTGCTGGCGCCCCTCTTCCGCGGCGGGGGGCGGCGGCGTGGGCACCTGGTCGCGTCGCTAGAGGAGGCCGCATTCCAATGTGTGTATACAGAGAGTAACCTGAATCAGAATCCAGAAACAGAAAAAGGAAAAAATACAGAAACAGAAGCAGAGTATCCAATAAATCAAGATCAGCAAGAGAGGAGATCGAGGTTCTCATTTCTGGGCAAGGTGGAACGGTGACTTGCAGGCTGTGAAACGTAGAGAAATACATATATATATCGAAATCTTTATGAATGGAAAATGAAAAAAGGAACAAACATTTCAAAATTTGCGCATTTTGAAAATCATCGGAGCAAGTGCGCAGTTTGAGAGCCATCGCAAAGGAAATTGCATGCGATAAATGCATTGCTACGTATATACCGAACCGAGCTCTGGTCACACTGGAGAGAAAAAAGCATAGCGAAGAAAAGAAAATTCCCAGCGTCATTTGTGCAGCAAATTTGGTAAACAATAAACAGAGGCTGAAAAAGTGAGCGGGCCCATTCGGAAAGCAAACACTTTGACGGAGATCGGTTGCGAGAACGGCCTCAAGATTGGCAAGATACGGAAGAGCAAGAAAATGAGCTACAACGAGAAATCGGAGGCCATCACCAAGGAGGAGTGGCTGCAGCGCCTGGAGCAGTTCCCCTTCAAGCAGGCGGACATGAATCGGCTGATCATGAACTATCTGGTCACAGGTGAGCAGTAGCTAGTGTAGGCCACACTTGGACGCCGACTAATTCCGGGGAAAACCGCTTGAATTCACAGAGGGTTTCAAGGAGGCCGCCGAAAAGTTCCAGCACGAGGCGGACTTGGAGCCCAGCGTGGAGCTGAGCACCCTGGACGAGCGCATCCTCATCCGCGAGGCCGTGCAGGCGGGCCGCATCGAGGTGGCCACCCAGCTAGTCAACCAGCTGCATCCGGAGCTGCTCGGCAGCGATCGCTACTTGTTCTTCCATCTGCAGCAATTGCAGCTCATCGAACTGATTCGCGCTGGGAAGGTGGAGGAGGCCCTGGCCTTCGCCCAGACCAAGCTGTCCGAGTCCGGCGAGGAGGCCATGTTCGAGCTGGAGCGCACGCTGGCCCTGTTGGCCTTCGAGAAGCCGCAGGAGAGCCCGTTCGCCGATCTGCTGGAGCAGTCGTACCGCCAGAAGATCGCCAGCGAGCTCAACTCGGCCATTCTGCGCTGCGAGCACAGCGAGGACTCCACGCCCAAGATGATGTTCCTGCTGAAGCTGATCTTGTGGGCCCAGTCCAAGCTGGACAGCCGCTCCATCAGCTATCCCAAGATGAAGAACCTGGAGACGGCGCACCTGGAGCCCAAGTAGGGCTCATCGAGAGACGCTGTGGGTCTGCCAGCCCTCCCTCCTTCAACCTTTTTTTGCTAATGCTATTGCTATTGTATCTCTTTTTAATAAGTATGTATGTATGTATGCTGGATGTACGCAGTGATTATTAAATAAGTAGCCGGAAGCCAGGACTCTTCCTTCTTGCCGCCGCCTCACCAGCCGAATATGAGGTCCAGTGCCTTGTCCACCAGCCCGGAACTCTTCTGCGGCACATCTCTCGTGGGCGAGATGGCGTTTTCGCTGCGGGCCAACTTGTACGACTGCTGGGCGAACGGGCGAATGGTCGTGGGACTTGATGGCGGAGCCGTCGCCTCTGCATTGGCCAGTCCGCTGTTGTTCTCCTTGTCGATGACCGATCGGTCCGTGCAGCGTGCCACGCCCACCATCACGTTGCCGGCGATCACCTTGTGGTTGTAGTTGAGCGCCTTGTCGCTCTCGATGCGCGAGGAGAAGCGCACATGCATCCAATTGCCGTTCTGCGGGGCATGCACCACGTCCACGATGGTGCCGCACAGTGTGAAGTGCTGCAGCACCATCGAGCTGGCGCCGGGCGAGAACCCGAATATGGTGACCCAGAAGTCGGCCATCCGGGAATTGCCGGCTGCTGCTCCTGTTGGCGTTGCCGTGCCCAAAACGCCTGGCGATGCAGTGGCTCCCAGCGGAGAGCAAAGGGCCCGCATCGAGGCATTGACCACGTTGGGTGCGCCGGGCGCAAACGAATCGTTGGTCTGATAGCTCGGGAAGCTCTGATTCGGCGACTGCAGCTGCAGCATGCTCATGTGGTGATTCCTTTGTTGCGGGGTGCCTGGTTGTTCGCGGAGCGAATCGAACAGTCCTTGGGTGGGCGGACCCGCCTGGTGGTGGCTGTGCGTGGGAGCGGGCGTGGCATTTCCGCCCACAACAGGCTGGGAGAGATTGTGGATGCCGCCGCTTGCTTGGGCGCCAAAAAGCGTACGGCTGTTCATGGCCGATCGGTTGAACTCATGGGGACTGCTGCCGCCGGGCGAGGTGGCTGGACGTAAATACGAACACTTAAACATGGGCATGCATGGGCATTCAGGATTTTCCCGCCAACTTACCAAAACTCACATTGTAACGGCCGGGTTTCGGTGAGAGCGTGTTCTTGTGCGGCGTCAGTCCCTGAGGATCTCCCAGCAAAAAGGGCGGCAGGTATTGGCTCTGGTTCGAGCCGGGACTGTTCACAGGACTGCCCAGAGTCATTGGCTCCATTATAAAATCGGGTTAACAGTGTGTGCTTAACAAAAATTAAAACAACTAAGAGCCTAGAACTCCGATTGACGAATTACTAACGCCAAATATGAGAGAGAGCGAGAGGCAAGAAAACGATTAATTTCATATCGACGCCCCACAGGTGTTGTGTTAGTGTGGCCACGCGTTGATGGAGCATAAGCACCGTTTGCTGCCATTTCGTTTTGGTATTTTTACGGCATTACCACTCAGGTTATGATATCAGTCTCCCCAAACGGTCACTCTAGCGGCCACTTTGAACAACAACAGCACGCGTCGCGTCTCTCCGCCTTTCTCCTTTATTTTTTTTACACTCTCCTGACATTACACACGATTCCGTGTCGCGCGTGATTGGCAACAAAATAAAGATAGAAAAAACATAGTGTGCGCGGTGTGACAGCCACAGAAAACAACAGTTAAAAACATCCAGACACAAAATTTCAAAAGGAGAAGCAGACACCAGCGAGTAATCCAAAAGGCAGGACCTTCGCACGAGAGAGCAGAAAGGATCGAGTGAACTGATCAACGGGACACAGGGTGACATGTGGAGTCCGACGCACTGCAGTGTAACGGGTGAGTGGGGGCGAACTGGGAACACCCGTTGGTGAGATCGTTTTTTTTATTGTATTTTTGTATTTGTACGGCGAATAAATCGCATTAAAAAACTTAAACTCGTTTGCCGTCTGCGTGTGAGTGCGCGCTTGCATTGGTGTGAGCGCTTAAAAATATTGTCATGACAGATTTTTTTGTTGTAGACGTACCTATTAGAAATTTCACTTTCTCCCCCGCCCGCGCTCTCCCTTGTCTTTTTTCTCTCTTTCCTTGTGTGTTCCTGATTTTAGCAAATACCTTCTTTTATCAGTACTGTCTGATAAGATAATTCCCTTGCTTGAACATTCTTACTCATCGCTAGAAAATTGCTTATGTTCGGTTACCCCCTCTGTGCCTCTGTATTCAAACCCCCTTTGGCATTCTTGCACACGCCCGTGATGGCGCTTGTTTTGGGGCCTCTTGTTTACCTTTGCCATTGTTTTCGTTTTCTTCAGGGCTGAATGTCAATGAGAAATCGCAAATTCCAATTCGTGACAAAACACAAAGCGCGCCGATTCTGCTGTTCCCACTGTTCCCACTTTGCCAATGCCAATTGCCAATTGGCAATTATGGAAACAAATATCGAGTAATTACAGTCGAACTTCCTAAAACCTAACTACTTTTAGTCTTCGCAGTGTGTTACATATATATATGAGAGCACTTCCAACTAGAAGTAACCATATTTTGAATTTTTCCCTGCGAGTTAATAGTTTGAGCTATGGAAGTTTGACTGTTTGTGTAACTTTGAATGGCCAAAGTAAATGAGTCACAATTGTGGCCAAAGCTGCGTGGAATGTACACAAATCAAGAAGATAAACACTTGAGCTTTATAGATAGATGAATTCAGCGGATTGTGCCCCTCTCCACCTTGAACTTGCCCCGCTATCAGCTAGTACATACGTTCTTTATTTCACTTCTCATTTATTTTGCATATTTGCACAGCGCACAATGTTTTATTCCAGCGATTAAAAGCCAGAGTCGTTGACGTCATGGCAAATGAGCAAACAAATCATCGCCGTGGCTCTCCTAAATTCGCCGAGTTTCGCCTTGTTTGCCTTTTTGCCCACACACGCACACCTGTCAATATTTGCCAATTTCTTGATGAGAATGAGATGAGCGAGTGCCACGGAAACAGCTGTTTTGCGCTACTGTTCTCAGAGGACTTCTCTTTCCTCTCCTTTGGAGAGTAAAGGTCTTCCCACACAGAAAGAAAATTGTTTTTATTGTGTTGTGATATTATAATGAAATTGATAATTCGATTTAAAATTGCATAACAGTATTGTCTAACTTGCATTCGATAATGTTAAATGGCATTGGTTTTTTGTTAACAGCCTGCCTTTAGCTAATTAACTAATTAAAAAAAATAGATTTAGCTTTATTCACATATCCGAATTATATGAAGAATGAAAAAGCTTCTTTACCAGAGCTTATCGGTTTGTTGTTGAATTACTACTCACGACTATTTTTGTTGTGTGCAGTTTTTTTGTTCCACTTTTACCTGTCCCTCCTCTGTGTTAGATCATTTGCCACCCACCCAACCACCTGGTTTTGCCTTCTTACTTGAGGTTTTTGGATGTTTTGGAACCATTTCGCTCGGGAAAGTTCCTTATCGACTGAGCGACTCCACCCCGAAGTTGGTGAATTGCGTGTCTTGTTTTTAGCCGTAAATTCTTGGCGGCCACTCACTTACTTACACACCTACGGACACACCTGAAAATGAAAATTCCGCAGCGGGAAATTGTGCAATGCGCGGCGGGCAGCCAAGCAGACCCAAACAAACAAACGGCTAATTTTCCTTTTCATTTACAATTCGGTTTTGGTTTAGGCTTTATGTTTTGTTTGCTTTTGCAACGCATTTCAATGTGGTTGCACTGAAAATCAGAGTGGGCCACCCCGCCCTTTTCTATATATCGATAATGAAAGGGAGGTGGTACAGCAAATACCTGATAAGGAGAAAGACATTAGTAAGGGCTTCTGACGTTTGGGGAAATTCATCGTAATACATCTGTTAGTCCGATAGAAATTGGTGTAATATACACAAGAATTAATCCATGTGTTTAAGAAATGGTTTATTTAACCGTTTAAAGTGGATTTTATATGCCCCAGAACATAATAAAGCAAAGAATTTATAGTTGCAGCCGCAAGTTAACTTCTTAGAGTTTCCATTTCTGTGCAACACTACATCAAATGTTTTAATTTCGGCTTCTTGAGTTGATTACTGTGAAGAAAATTAAAACTAAAGTAAATGTAGCATAGAACAAATGTTTTGGCACCATATAAGGAAAAAACTTGGCGAGCAAAATAATAGCTTTTCAGATACAAATAATTAGAAGTGAAAATACCTAAATAGTTTGCTATGGATCTAGTTTTCCCTTTTCCGCATCATCAGTGATAGAAGCATCATTGAAATGACAGTAAATGCATTCACTATATCTTTTGTATTTTCCACTATATTCGCGGGATCGATAAGAAAATCGGCGCGATAAGAGCTGGACTGGGTGCACTTTGGTCACGTCAGCGGGGAGATGGCGTCTTGAGATTAAACTCACCTGCTCGGCCCCGTCTTCGTAATACCCAGATCTATCTGGAACCGTTTTAATGCGGCGCTGTCGATGCACTTATGCGAAACAGTTACGTTCCATTGCCCGACCCATTTAGCCAGAATAGAACAGAGAACCAAGAACTGAGAACAGAGAACAGAGAATTGAGAACTGAGAGTGGAGAGTGGAGAAGCGAGAATCAAACCGAACCGAAGCGGATCGGAATAGGGGAAAAACAGGTCTGGTTTTGGTTTGGATTGGATCCCCGTCCGAAACCCTGGAACTCCGATTGTGGCTCTCTCCTCGCATCGCGGGTCTCTGCAATTGATTATTTTCCAGTTCCAGTTCTTGGCCAATGGCCACATTCCTCCCAGCGCTTCCCAAAAGCCTCCTCCTCCTCCTGCTCCCTTGAATATTCATGCTGGGAATCGGATTCTTTTCAGCCCCCCACCCCCCTCTGCATTTATATTCAAAACATGCCACGATAAACAGAAGCCACGAAGGAGAAGCCCCTCCATTCCCCCTGATCCGCCGCCAAATGCTAATTGCCTTTCATTTGGGAAAAACTCTGTTTTATGTTTTCTTGTTTCTTACTTCTGTTTTCCATTTCCATTTCAAAATCGCACGGCTTCGTGGGTTCAATGCTTGCGAGCAAAGAAATTGTTTATGCATAACAATAAAATGATCCGCCGTGGAATGGAATGATGGAGTGGTGCAGTGGTGGAGTGGTGGTGGGATCCATTGATAGACCGTTTACTTTGATCGGCGCGCATTTTCGCATTTTCGCACGATCCGCACACATTGTATTGTGCTCGATGTTGCAGTTGCAACATTAATTGCGGCTAATGCTTTTCATCAAACGGGATCTGTTTGTGCTGTAATGCTGCACAATGCGGGCCACAAAGTTGGCGGATTGACCCCGCCAGTTTGGGTGAACCGCTTGTAACTTGTAGCACGTGTTGACCAATGACCCGTTGGCCTGTGACCTGTGACCCGCTGCCTTTCGATTGGGACAGAGAGCTGTTAGCTGGGTTATCTGGCAATTGGGAAAGCAGTCGCGGAGATCAGCTCGAAATTGGTACCAGAGCAGACCAGACCGACCATACCAGACAGTCGCTAGAAGAACTGAAATCCGAAAACGGGAACGTGGCAGCAAGTGGCTCATTAGCATGCGTGCTCGGATGCCCAAGGAGCATTGGCCCCGGGCGCAGTTGGCTTTTTGAAATGTGTGTGTGTGTGTGTACGCCACGCCCACCACCACCATCCACCGCCAGCCCAAAGAGTTCGAGAGACCAGAAAAAGTGGAACACGAAAGTGCGTGCTGGGAATTTCACGTTTAAATCGCTGAAAGAAGCCAGAAGCTAGAAGCTCTAGGTCTGCTATTTTCTTCTTTAATATGATCACTGCACCGTTTCTTGGGCGACGATTGCTGGCGGGGAGGAGGAGGGAGGGATCGACCGGGAATAATCTCCGTGACTGGTGCAATCGCCCCTTCTGCCTCTTCCACCCGGAGCACAGTTTCTCTTTGGGGGAAAGGTGTGTGTGGATTTTGTGGTCACCTGTGGTGCATCCAAGCAGCCATGCAGCAGCAGCAGCAGCAGCAGCAGTAGAAGCAGCAGAAAACCAGAGAAGCAGGCGGAAAATCAAACAAACAAGCAAACAAGACGGACACTCGACGAGAAACGATTTCATTGAAATTAATTAACCCAAAAGTTGACCTCTCCTCTCCTCGGCGCACAAGAGTCGGAAAGGTCAACAATATGCGACGGCAGATACGAATGGTATTATTTACTCTATTGTTGCCGTCGTCTGGGGTCGCATAAAACAAAAAGCAAAGGTGCAGCCCGCATGTTTGTCTCATTTTTATTTTTTTCCTCCTTTTTTTTTTTTAATTCGACTCTCCCGTGTATTTCCAGAGGCTTTTAGCTTTAATTGACAGTAAACAAGAGGGGAGAAGACAGAGGGGGAGGCGGGGGCTGCGATTAAATCATTCTTGTGGCCTGTTGGCTGCCATCCATCGGGGGTTATGTCTCTGGATCGGCAGCAGTAGCTTGGAATCGGATTGGAATTGAATCGAGGCGATACAAGCAGCTCGTTCGTTCGATCGCACTGAGGAATTTCTCTTTTTCGGCATCGAAGCCAACCGTTATTTTCGGCGGCAATCGAGTATTTGGGGCACGAGCAGAAACCAAGCGACAGGTGACTCATGGGGCTTATGGAGCCCCCGAAAATGGCATGACTAAACCCGCCCAGAGGATCCTTAGCTGGGCCAAAAGCGATAGCTACATACCCATGGTCGCTACATGGTTGTCATAGATAATTGTTGCTTTGGATATTTTTGCGATATTAATTGATTTGCTGGCATTGAATCATCACCCACTCGCTGCTGTTTCTGTTTCGGTTTCTGTTTGCCCCCGAAAATACTCTCGATTGCCGCGCGCCCCTGGCACGTGATTAAATCGAAATTGAAATTGAAATTGAGAGGAGGGGGAAGAGTGCAAAGAGTGTGAAAAGCGCTGGGCTTCTGTTTTGGCTGTGATTTTATCGCCTCTCTATCAGATCGAAGCACTCACATGCTGATGATGATGCTGATGACGACGATCGTCTGGCGAAAATCAAATGCGCAACTCTTGGCACAGTGGGCTGCACAAGGTAATTGTGTGTTTTTGCTTTCCTGGGAGGGGAGGGTGTACTCGCATTGTAACACTTTTCTCTTTGGATGCCCGAAAGTGTCTGAAACACAGCCATTTTAGTCCACTGTGGGGGCAGAGCCATTATTTTCGAGAGGCGGCCATAAAAGCGGACCAACTTAACGGTTTCGCCGTTGGTGGATCGCCGCACTGACCGCTCCCCCCTCGCCCCAACTACTTTGGCTGGCTTTTGGCTGTTGGCTTTTGGTTTTGCACGAGCATTTGGCGCTGTTTGCCTTGTTTTCTTTCTCGTTCTGTTTGCCTTTTGCCATTTAGCATTTGGCATTTCTATTTTGGGGCGCCCCTCCATGCAGAGCGACACATCGCAGACATTCGCGTTATGATGGCCCATTGCCAGGGCACTCGGACTGCGGAGGAGGAGTCCATCGATCTCTGGCCGGATTTGCATGCCACTCTCTAGCTCTTCAGCTCTTCAGCTCTCCAATTCTCCAGTTCGCCGCACGAGATTTGCCAGTCGGTGGGTTTATTGACAGCCACATCCACAAACACTCGTGGTCATCCATCTTCCCAGCCATCCATCCAACCATCCATCCATCCATCCATCGATCTGTTTTGTTATTAGTCTTTAAAACTACAGTGGAAGATGGGCAGGTGAGGCGAACGCCACTCATTGATCTCCGAGAGCGGCCAGATTATCGATACTAGCCAACGGCTTTAGCCTCAATTATGGGCCACTAATGTAAGGAGAAGAAATAGGAAAACGGGAAAAGCAACGGCTAAGATCCCAAATTGGCTTACAGGCAGGCAAGCTGGCCAAATGGCCAAATGGCAAGACGGGAAAAACTGTTAATGCGATAATAATTATGAGTCGTCCGCCCTGGAGAGCAAAAAAAAAACAAAAACAAAAAAACAGCAGAAGAAAATGAAACTGAAAAAGATGCACTGCAAATCTGCATTGTTGTCAGCAGTCAGCAGCGCTTTCCCGCTTTTCTTCTAGTCGATTTTCACCGCCTTTCGTTGACAGGGCTTTTCACTTTTCGTTTTATTGTTTATTTGCCCGGTAATTGCTTCTTTTCTCTACAACTCTTTTTCACATTTATATTTCGTGTTTTTTGCTTTTTGCTTTTTGTTTTTGGCATTACGAAACGCTGAAGGGGATTGCGAAGGCAGAGTTTGTGCAAGTGCCCAGTCACATTTGAATAATCGAAGTCGGTGGCTCTGTTACCCGGTTTCCACATGAGAGAGAAGGGTGAACATATGGCCAGTGGAATGACCTCCTCCCGGCTGCAATCCAAAAATAGACAGCTCCACTGTTCTGTTCGGTTCTGTTCTGTTCTGGCAGTGACTTAATTTCTGTCCCCGCCACTCCGATTCCGATTCCGATTCGTCTTCATTTACATTGCGATTTCGGTTCCCATTTCCATTTCCGGCAGCTGTGCAGCCAAAACAGCAGCGAACTGGATTCCCTATCGGTGGGTAGCCGGCGCCGAGGTCTCTGCGAAAAAAATGTAAAAAACAAAAAAAAAAAAAAAAAAAAACAAAAATGAAACCACAACAGAGGCAAATAAAAAGCGAATCTAAGCCAGCGATTGTCGCCACTCGGTCGAGTGAATCACTTCCCCAAATCTGCGAGTGCCGCCGGTCCAGCCCCCTCAAAAAGCCCCCCAAAGGCCAAATGCGAGTTTCACTCGAGCGAGCGCCTCGTGACCTCGAGAGCCCAACCATCCGGCATTCAGCATTCGGCATCCGGCAGATATGAAAGCCGAAAGCCACCAGCCATGAGCCACCAACCACCAACCACGCAACCGCTCAGATCGCAGATCCCCAAATCCCAGCATTGTTTCCAAACGGCCGACTCCTCCAGTTACATTTATGCATGCCTCGCCAATCTCTTTTCCCAGCCGCATTTGCTTTCCATGATCCCAACGTAGTCAGCATTTAGTTAACTGCCTTCTTCGATGTAGGTTATAATTGTCACACTCACACACACACATATTTCGGTGAGAACTTATCTCCCTAGCTTAGTGTACAATTATTCAGAAACATGGACGATATATTTCTGAACTTGAAAGACTCTATTACGCATTTTCTGATATGGGTTGCCGATTCTCTGGGCTGTGACTCCTCGAACCGCTCGCTATCGCCTAGAGATTTGGGGTCCTCTTGCCAATGCCAATCGCTAATCCTCTCCAATTCGCATCCAATTGCAGTGCAGCGAGCGCGGGGCCTGCTGACGAAGGGCAAGAATGGCACCAACAACTGCTTCGTCACCATTGCCCTGGGCAAGGAGAAGTACCAGACGTCCGTCAAGGACAAGGCCGAACCGGCCGTCAACTGGAACGAGGAGTGCGAACTGTAAGTGAAGAGTAAAGAGTGAACTCTAATACGTATTTCCCTATCACCTAACCTATTGCCTAACCCATTTTGCTTCTTTGTTTAGGAAAATCCCCGATCAGGGCAACCGCGCAGAGCTCACTCTGACCTGCCTGCACCGGAACAATCTGGGCATGGATGAGTTCCTGGGCCAGGCCACGCTGCCCCTGAACGAGATGGACGTGTACGATCGGCCGCGCGCCAAGTGGTTCAAGCTGGAGAGCAAGCCCGGCAAGGAGAAGAAGAACAAGGAGCGCGGCGAGCTGGAGGTGCGCATCGCCTTTGTGGTCAAGTCCGGGTCGCTGACCGATCTCAGCAAGAAGGACAAGCACAAGTCTTCCATTGGCCAGCTGGCCAGTTCGGTGGGCGGCAGCCTGCTGTCCATCGGCAATGGCGACAAGCGGCGCGGCATCAAGAAGCTGGCCGGATCGCTCAGCTCCAAGCTGCACATTCGCAGCAAGAAGAAGGAGGCGGGCGCCGACGACAGCAGCTCCTTCGGCGGCTCCTTTGCCAGCTTGGGCACGCCGAACAGTTCGACGGGCCGCGGCCAGAACGGCGGCAGCGGACGGCGAAGAGGCGGCCAGCGGGCGGGCGAGGCCGATCCCGGCGTGATCAGCGAGGACGAGGACGAGTTCGTCTTCGACAATCTCTCGCACAAGAGCTCCGGCAGCTCGCTCAACATTCAGCGCAGCGGTCTCCAGCCACCGCCGTCGGCTGTTGCGGGAACCCCGAACTTTGCGCCGCGACATCCGTCGCCCCTGCTGAACAATGGAGTTGGCGTCATCGCCGGAGCAGGCAGCGGCAGCGGGAAAGGTAAGCCAGCAGCGGTTTTGCCAGCTACGCTCGATGAGGATGCGCCCATCGACGCGGAGATGGAACAGCTTGAGCTCGATTTCAGTGTCCGTGCCCGCGTGCCCAATGCCAGCGGAAATGGAAGTGGAAGTGGAAGCGGAAGCGGGAGTAGCACCCTGCCAGCTCCCTCGAAGCCACCGCGTATTCCCGCATCGCTGGCGGATGAGCAGCCAGCTGCTGGGAGCCTGGAGCGTGAGAAGCCAAAGGAGAAGCCCAGCGACGCGGATGAGTGGGCGTCCAAGTTGTATGGCGGCGGCAAGTACCTGGAGATCGGCAGCAGTGACTCGCTGAAGCGGCGCAGCTGGGAGGATCGTGTGCCGCTGCCTGTGAGCGTTGAGGAGCCACCGACACCGCCAGTGGTGGCCACGTCAAGCTCCTCGTCCAGTTCCAGTTCGGACAGCGATGACGACGACGACGACGAGCATCCACCGCAGACAGCTCCACCGCCAGTGCCCGTGCCCGTGCCGGTGCCTGCTTCCATTCCCCTCCCCACCGCCGAACCGCCGTCGGTGGCCAAGTCCTCGTCGCTCTTCTCGCCCGACGTGGAGCACCGCAACTTCGATACGTTCAACGCCAGCTTCGCCAAGTTCGAGCAGCGCAACAGCACCGCCATCTTTGCGGATGAGCCCGAGCTGGAGGACCTGACCGCAGAGCTGGAGAAGCCAGTGCCCACGCCAACGGCCCGGCCGAAGCCGCAGCCTCGTGTTCTGGCGGATCAGAGGGCCGAGGAGGAGAAGGCCAGGGCCAGGGAGGAGGCTGCGCGACAGCAGCGCGCCGAGGAGGATGCCCGCCTGGAGGCGGAGCTGCGATTGAACGAGGAGCGGCTGCGCGAGGAGGAGGCGGCCATGCAGCGCGAACTGGAGGAGGAGGAGGAGAAGGAGCGCCAGAAGCAGCTGCAGCTGCAGCTGGACGAGCAGCAGCGACGCGAGGCCAAGCGGTGGGAGGAGGACCAACGGCTGCTGAGCTTCGCCAAGCGGTCCACTTCCCTTGAGGAACCGGTCGTCGAGAAGCTGGAACCCAAGCGTGAGGAAACGGCAGAGTTGGAAACGGCTGAGCCGGAGCACAACTTCCTAACGCCCGAGCAGTCGCCCAAGGAGTTCCAGACGAACGGCAGCGGAAGCGGTGAGCGCTGGGAGAAGCGGCTGGGCAAGTTCAAATACGGCAACAAGCGAGGTGAGCTGATCAACCCGATCCGAACCGAACCGAACCGAACCGAAATCCAGGGCAACCACAACCACCAACCAACCAACCACCACCGAAACTCCTGACCTCTCCAAAAGCACAAAAATCCGGCGGCGGGCAAAGAGAGGGAGTACGGCTGGCTCATAAACGCTGGCGGATCGCGAAGCGCACACGAAACCGAACCAAGCTAGTTTCCAGTCAACGCTGTCATCTGTCGCGTCATCCTCCTCCGAAGCGCCACCTTAGCCCCATCATTCCCCTATCATTTTCCATCCTTCTTGTCTGTCTTTCATGTCTGTTTCCTAGACTGTCCTTTCCTTCCTTCCTTTTTTTTCTTGTTTCCGTTGTGTTTCTTGCATCCGCCAGTGAATTTGCATTGGAGCCTAGGCCAACCCAAGCTCCTCCCTCATCCGCACGCCCTTTACTTGAAACCTTGTCTAACCAACTCTGTTACTCTTTTCCTTAGATAAATACAACAACGAAAACGAGAGCAACTCGCCCAGTCCCAAGTCCACGGAACGCATTATTATTGGTCACGAGAAGTCGGGATCGCATGCTGAGCGTCGCTCGGAGATATCCGCCCAGTTGGCCAAGAAATACGAGGGAAAGTCCCGGGAGGTAGGTTTTCCATCAAATCCCTTGAAACATAATCACTCATTTACCGTTTTATCATCAGGAACTGATGCTAATTGCCAACGGAATGGAGAACGAGGCTCTGCTGCAGCGACAGCGGGTGAAGGAGCTGGAGGATTACCTGGACAACCTGCTGCTGCGCGTGATGGAGACGCACCCGAAGATCCTGCAGAATCCCTATTCGCGCACCACGTCCGCCAAGAGGTACGGCACCTGGTCATTCTGGTCGCTCAGCCGGACCACGCCCACCCACTAACCAACTGCATGTCCCTGACTTGACTGACTTGCCGGTAGGATTGTTGATAGCCGAACAGCAAATAGCCTCTTGTGATCGAAATTCGTTGCCTCGCCGGATGGAAATTGATTTTTATCTATTTTATACATGCTATTTTGTGTACTTCAGTCCATTTGCCTTGAATATGAACAATCCTATTTCGATCTGAATGCGCTTCTTTATTAACCAATCTTGTGTCCCACCACCACCCATCACCCAAAACCCACCCACACTTGCTATTTATAACCCTTCACCACCACCACCACCACCACCGATGATGTGCCCTTTGCGTTTTGTGTTGCTCGTTTTGTTTGCCTTCTCTTTTTTAACCGAATGCATTTTTGTGATTTCTCTTTATTTAGTTATAAAAATTACATCAATATGAATGACTTTCTAAAGTAAGTGCTGCGCATGCTGCAAGTTGCATTTAAGTAGACACTTAACCAACAATCCCCAACAACAACAACAACAACAACAACTACGACATCACCAACAACAACACCACAACCCCCAAACAACAACAACAACAACTAGAACCACTGCAAGACACGGTTAACGAGAACCGAAAGGCGACTCTGGCTGGAAAAGAGATGGAACCACAAAGGCGGGATCGAAGTAAGATGAACCGATGGTGACCCACTGACTTTTCACTCCATCTTCGCTGTCTCGCTCGCTCGCTCGCCTCTGCTACTATCCAACAGCTCTCGCCCTCTCTTTTCTTTTCGCTTGCCTGTTTTGTCGATGGTTTCCTGCTCCCCCTAGAGCTTAAGATTCCCCCACTTGCACCCACACCCACACTCACCTTGCACCTGAACACCCAAAACCCCCCAGCAAAATCGTATTATACTCAATCGTATCGTTCTGTATTGCAGCGGTTGAACAGCCAAAGTGGGAACTGCCTTGTGTCGCGAGCTGGAGAGGATTGGCGAAGCCCACGGGGTGCAGTCATCGTAACACCAATCGAACACCAAGTTGCCTTTGCCGTTGACAGCGAAATTCAAGTGCTTTCTAAACCGTAATGCTAAGAAGAGGGAAACTAAATGTACACGTAACGCAGTTAGGCTTAAGGAGTGCGAAATTTGATTGTAAACCGATATTTACGCAGCATTCGTTCTTTGTCGTTTGCTGCCCACTACTTACTAAACTAACGAACTAAATTAATTGTACTATACTAAACTACTATGTTGAGTCCAGCGGTCGCTAGACCATCGATTGCCTTGATTCGAGTCCCTTGTCGATTGATTGAAATTATCCAAAAGTATTTTGTTTATTTTTTTTGTATGTCAATTTTTTTTGTAATATTGTGCAAAAATAAGTTTGAGAAGTCTTTGTAAAGTGCCGCGAGGGAAGTGGCCTTAGTTGATTAAGTTTTAAATTATTTATGTTTTAGCCGTTAAGCAAAAGGGGGGAGGGGGGATCAACCTATGTCCCCCGCCAAACACCACACACAGTTGATATATGTTGATACTACAATGATTTTACTTATTGATATACACGCAACCAGAATAAAAACATTTTTAAATTAATAACTGATCGTTGTTAACAGACTTGTTGATTACACGGGAATCCCCATAGAGAAGAACAAAGGTAATATACATTTTTTGACATTTCGGTAAAACCCAAAATTTGTTCAGTTATTGCACGCAGTATATAAGTCGGAACGGGCTGGATCCGGCCGCCTATATCGGATAGCTCCCATACGAGAGATTGAAAAAAAAAAATTATCAGGCCGTTGTTTGATATCATATCGACTTGATTTCTTCTAAATGGTGTTTTTTAACTACTATCGAATTTTGAAAGATCGAAATATATATTGTATAATAAAAAAAAGATAACGTCGTTGTTTTTTTTCATACGAGTATTCCTATAAACTGTTTTAAGTATACATATATATTAATATAATATGTCCCTAGTTGTTTTAAATTATTTTTTAAATCGTTTCTCATGTAGTTCAAGTTCAGTATTTGATAAAATATACCTTTTAAATTTCTTTCTTCTAGTTCTTGAATACCTTCAGATCTTTATATGTTGCTCTTGGTTACTTTGTCAAAAAGCTAACCTGCCTTAAGTCGTATTATTTCATCTTAAAATTAATAACTTAATTATTTACTGTCTAATTGATGTACTCACTGCGAAAAAAACTTGGTGCACTGCAATCTTTCGTCTTCTTGAAGTAAGAACTATCCGCAACACTTAAACTTTACACTTTACCCTGAAATTAAATAAGAAACAAAAAATAAAATTAATAATTTGTTACAAATAGTAATAGTTAGTATTGATTTGTTAGTAAAAAAAGGTATTTACCTCTTTGGGTTATTGATTCACTTCATCTTGAAGTTCACTCCAAATAGGAAGGTTTAGTCATCACCTGTAATGAAAAGAAGAATTTGAAAATATTAGAAATAGAAAATATTACAAATTTATTTATTTATAAAAGTACATACCCTAATGAGTTGATGCACTGCATCCTGGAGTGAACTTCAATAAAATAATCACTGCAACCACTTTTTCCGCAACATTTACACTTTACCCTGAAATTAAATAAAAAACGAAAAAAAAATAAATATTTTGTTGCAGATAATAACAGTTAGAAATAATTTGTTAGTAAAAAAGGTATTTACCTCTTTGAGTTTTTGATAAACTTAATCTTGAATTTCACTCCAAATAGGAAGGCTTAGTCATCACCTGTAATGAAAAGAAGAATTTCAAAATATTAGTTAAATTATTATATACAAATTGATTGTTTAAAAATACACACCCCAATGAGTTGATGCACTGCATCCTGGAGTGGAGTTCAATAGAAGATCACGCCATTCATAATTGATCCTGCAGCCTGTTTTCCAGTCCATTTAGGGGGGCATCAGCATACTATATATGTAGCTCCGGTATCCGCATTCTTACAACTATTCTTACTATATATATTAAAATAATATGTCCCTACTTGTTTTAAATTATTTTTTTTTAATTGAATTTCGTGTACTTCAAGTTAAAAATTTGATAAAATTTACCGTTTGACCTTCTTTCTACTTGTTCTTGAATACCTTCCGATCTTTATATGATGCTTTTGATTTCTTTGTCAAAGAAGCTATACTACCTTAAGTCGTATTTGTTCATCTTAAATTAATAACTTAATTATTTGCTGTCTAGTTGATGTACTCACTGCGAAAAAAACTTGGTGCACTGCATCATGATGACCAGCTCCAAGTTACAAGAAAGATGGTGTCACCAATTATTTTCTGCAACCAGACACTTAAACATCAAAAAACCTGAGAAAGAAATAAAATAAATATTTAATTAAATTATTGCACTAAATTTACAAAAAACCACGTCATCACTTAATTTAAAAAAAAAATGGTACTCACCGTTTTAGGTTTTGATGCACTGCATCCTGGAGACCACTCCATGCAGGAAGGGATCGGGCACCTTTAAGCTCATGCCAAGTCAGATCACGATGCAGTGCATCCTCCACTCAGACCAGGAGGATATACTCAACTCCATGCCAAGTCAAGTGATGATGCACTGCATCCTGATCCACACCAAGCAGGAAGGTATCTGGCATTCAAAAGCCCATGCCAAGTCAGGCCATGATGCACTGCATCCGGGAGTGGACTCCACTAAGAGGAGTCGACCAATGATGCACTCCATCCGGGAGTGGACTCCAGTAGGAGGAGTAGGCCTGATACTCTCTCTCCCACTCTGGAACCACTTCACCAACACACACGCACACACACACACTTCCAGAGACCGGAGGGAGATTCTCAGAGAAACTGCCGGTCATCCCGGAGAACTGAGAATTTGGCCAAAATCAAGGGGTATCCCACTACGAATCAACCAGAACCAGTTGGGAATTATAGGTACAAGAAAACGTTAAAAATTTAAAATTATCATTGTCGATGACGTGGCCATATTAATTTAATTAACATTAAGTTAACATTACATTTACATTATATTAAATTAACATAATATTAACATTAAATTAACATTTTATGGATTTTTTTTAACATTTCACATTTGAAATACTTTTTAAATTTTTTTTGCATTTAATTTTTTTATTTTTTGCATTTAAATTGATGCTCAAATTTTTGGTGTTGTTAATTTTGTAAAAAATTTAAAAAAAAAGATATCCTGACAGAGCTAAAAAAATGGTATCCTGGCATCTATTTGATCTGCTTATTTAAACATTGTCATTTCCCTTTGATCTACTTTTTTTTTTTTTTTAAATCTATACATATTTATTTACTAAAAAAATAATCTGTTTCACTGCTCTTTTTCCAAAACAAAGAAAAATTTAAATAATTTTATCTAATTATATACATATTACTTTGGCTCACTTTTTATACCCTTGCAGAGGGTGTTATAATTTCAGTCAGAATTTTGCAACGCAGTGAAGGTAGTCAAGTTTCGAACCATCGATTATCAATAGCATCCACAGATGAGAAATGTTGCAGACCTTAGGGGCAACCGATTTTTAATTTCGGATTGCGTAGCCACCTTCTAGGCATTTCCTAGAATTTCCTCATAATTTTCGATGAAGCCTCAAACCATAAAATAAATTTAATTAAATTTTATTATTATAGCAAATAATTCCAAATCAATTCGATAATTAATAAGATAACGTGTGTTGCGTAGGCTTAGAAGTGAAAGCTGTCAAACATTACTTTCTAAGTGCTCAGTATTTGGTTTTGAGCACGTTTTATTCGGATACAATACGAAAGAAAATGCCGTTCTGAAGAGATAAAATGTTTTTTACCATATTATGAAGGCTTTACGGAAGGGAGAATGGAAAACTCTACTTTGCCAGAAAATCATTACAACGATATGCAGTTAAAATATGGATTGCGTTTAATTGGGTTGTACATATGGGAATTAATATCAAGTAGTCCTAAAAGGCAGGCAGTTACTGGCACTGGCGGAGGGCGTGGGTGTAGAAGGTCTTCTCCTCGATGCCGCGCTTGATCACGTGTGGAATCTTCTTGGGCACCATGCTGCAAAAAAAGAAGAAAGGGAAGCGGATAGAAGCGATTATTAACCCGTTCGCGGGCGGCGGACTACGAGGCACCCACGTGATGCAGTCGATGATGGGGCAGACGGAGACGCAGAGCGTGCAGCCCGTGCAGTCGTCGTTCACGTGCGGAATGTGCGTCTCCTTGTCGAACTCGATGGCCTGGTAGCCCGAATCGGCGCAGGTCATGTAGCACTTGCCGCAGTTGATGCACATGTCCTGCAAACAGGAATAAATTCAAATTAAAGATAATATATAAACACACAATTAAAAAAAATAAATAAAGAAATTGTAAATGTAAATAAGGTGAGATAAGGTAAGTTAGGGTTTGTATATTGATTCTATTATATATATTTTAGGAAACCCTTACTCAAGTACCTAAGCAGTTATTGAAAAAAAACCCTAATGTCTTCTAATGGATGTGTTAATCAAATACTCCATTACATTCTAAAATTCTTTAGGAAGAACTGATGTTAAACATTAACTCAAAGTAATTGATTATATATTAAAAATTAATCTATTCTTCCCTAGCTGCTAGTAGTCTTTAAGAAATCGATTAGATTTACTATTTATACTAGATTTAATTTTTTTAAATAAATAAATAAATATCTTTTTCTCATTAACATAGGTGAAACTGAATTAATTTGAAAACTGCAATACTCACATCATCGATTAGTGCCACCTTCTGCTGCTTGTTGTCCAGCTTGTTGTACGGCCCGATCCTGTCGAGCGCCGCGCCGATGAGGTCCTTGATCCTGGGCGCCGGATTGACGGCACCATCAACCGCTGGCGCTGGCGCTGGCGCTGGCGCTGGAGCTCCAGCCGCCTGCTCGGCATCCCAGAGAGCTCCTTTCTGGCGGCGCAGCTCGGACAGCTTGATGTCGCGCTGCCTTTGATAGGGACCAAAGAATCCCAGCGTGGCCACGCCCTCGCCGGTCAACCGGACCACGGGCTTGCCCTTCTGGTGAACGGGCGTGGGCGGCGACTGGCCATCCCAGAATTGACCGTCCACCGGCGGCGGATTGGCCTTGAGGTAGAGGAGCGCCTTCAGCGCCGTGCAGTAGTCCTCGATGACGGTGAAGTCCTGGTTCTGCACCGAGGAGCAGATCTGCAGGACCGTCGCGCCCGCCTGGATGAACTGCAGGGCCACCTCGCCGGAATCGATGCCGCCGATGCCGAGGATGGGGAATCCCGGCACTCGTCGCGCAATATCCGAGATCGCCTTCAAGGCCATCGGACGAGTGGCATTCCCGGAGACGCCGCCATAGGTGGTCCTCTGCTCCTTGCCAATCGCCGGCCAGGCGGTGGCATCCGCCTTCAATCCCATCAATCCCTGGACGGTATTTATGGCCGATCCGCCGTCGGCTCCACCCCGCTTGGCTGCCTCCGCAATCAGGGCGATGTCCGTGATGTTCGGGGTCAGTTTGATGAAGAAGGGCAGCTTGACCGCCTTGCGAACCCACCGGGAGATCTGCTCCACCAGCTCGGGATCCTGGCCGCAGGCCAAGCCCATGCCCCGCTCCCCCATGCCATGGGGACAGGAGAGATTCAGCTCGAGGGCATCCGCACCCGACTGCTCCGCCCTGGTGGCCAACTCCGTCCAGTCGTCCTCGTTGTAGCTGCACATGATGCTCGCGATCACGATCTTCTCGGGGAAGTCCCGCTTCAGTTCCCCAATGGACTTCAGCCAGTAGTCGGCGCACTTCTCCGAGATGAGTTCGATGTTGAGGAAGCATCCCTGCTGCGGACCGTACTTGTAGCCCGATGTGGTGCCCCTCACAATCCGCGGCGAGACATTCGTGACGAGATCCTTGTCCAGGCCAAAGGTCTTGGTCACCACGAATCCCCAGCCCTGCTCGAAGGCCCGCCGGATCATGGCCGTGCTGGTGGTGGGCGGAGCGGAGGCCAATCCGAAGGGATTCTCGAAGCGCAGGCCGCACAGCTCCACGGAGATGTCCACCCAATCGATGTCCGTATAGAAGAGAGGCAGTGCAGCCGGAGTGTCCAGCGGGAGACCCTGCAGCTGGCAGTGGATGCTCCACGCGGCCACCTTGCCATCGTTCACCGATTCCACCGTGGTGTTGGCCACTCCGGCCAGATCTCCGCCAAGGAACACCTGCTCCAGGCTGCTCTGCATGGTCACCTTATCCACCACGGGCAGTTCGCCGCGGAACTTCAGGGGAGCCAGCGCAGCCTTCACATCCTGATCCTCCAGTCCCGACCCGAAGGCGGAGATCACAAAGTTCGCCTTCAGGCGCTGCGTCTGCTCCTCGTCCTCGATCCACTCGTCCTGCTCGTTCTGCTCGGTGCGACAGAACTCCATGGCGGTGATCAGGCCCTCCTTCACGATCACCTTGCGGGGACTCAGGTAGGGGAGCAGCTCGCACCGCTCGTCCCGGGCCAGTTCCACCTCCTCGGGAACGGCGCGAATGCCGGAGGAGCCCTTCCGGAAGACGACGAACACCCGCCGGGCCCCGCACCTCAGCGCCGAGGTGGCGCAATCGAAGGCGGTGTCGCCGGCACCCAGAACGATCACGTTGCCATGCAGCTTGGGCAGTCCGGCGGCAGCCTTGCAGGCACACAATCCCGGCTTGGAGCCATCCGAAACCAGGGGCAGGAAGTTCTTGGACGTGTAGAAGCCATTGCTCGGCTGCAGACCCTCGAAGATGGGATTCAGCTTCGGTTCCGGCAGGCCGATGCCCACAAAGACGGCATCGTGGCCCGCGGAGAGCAGACCCTGGATGGTCAGGTCCTTGCTGCCCAGGGAGCGACCCGTTTCGATGCGCACACCCAGATCCCTGACCAGATCGATCTCGAAGTTGACCGCATCGATGGGCAAGCGGTACTGGGGAATCTCGGCGGCACTCAGCCCGCCCAGGTAGCTCCTCCGCTCGTAGATGGTCACATCCCGGTAGCCCAGGCGGGCCAAGAAGGTGGCACACGACAGCGAGGCAGGTCCGCCACCCAAGAGAGCAATCTTTCCTCCCAAGGGATTCGCCTCCGCCTGCGGAGTCCGCCGCTGATGGACGCCCATCTTCTTGAACACCTCGGTGGCGAACTGCTGCAGTCCGCCGATGTTGATGGCGCCCGCCTCGGAGGCCTGCAGGTTGCACCCGCCCACGCAGAGATCGCTGGTGGGGCAGACCATGCCGCAGGTCAGGCCGAGCGGATTGTCGGAGAAGATCGCCTTGGCGGCCCCGTAGAAGTTCTTGTTCGCGATGCTCGTGATGAAGCTCTTGATGTCCAGCTGCGTGGGACAGGACTTCTGGCAGGGGGCATCGGCGCACTTGAGGCACCTGGCCGCCTCCTCGAGAGCTCCGCGCTCCGACAGCGTGGTGTGCTTGATGTCCGAGAAGTCGTTGGCCAGCGTGGTGCAGGGTGGCGCTGCGTGGTCAGCGTTCCGCTTCCAGTGCTTCTTGTTCTCCTTCGTCTGCCGCGTCGGCACCACCGAGCACTGGGTCTTCACGCGGGGATTCAGGGAGAGGAGGTCCTGCAAACAGAATGTGGGTTACTCATCAGTCGAAGGAAATCACACTAACCTCACGGAACTTATATTAAATTCAATTAAGAGCTACTCTGTCAATATCTTGGATTTATTTGTTAATAATATCTAACAAGTTTTAGACTGGATTTTAACACTTATTAACAATTATATACTCCACATAAATAAGATCAATTCGATTGATATGGAATTTTAGATGAATGCTTTTTAACAGTGTAGAAATATCTTTCATATCTAAAAATGTATAAATATATTTACGCATTTATATAAAATATCAAAGACAACGGATTTTTATCTCAAGAGATAAGATATGAATTAAACGAACTTAATTCAAAATAAACTGTTAGCTTTTAAGATAATAAAGTTACTTTTAAGTAGTCACTTTAATTTTTTTGCAGTGTATGTGTTAAACCTACCTCAATGTCGGGCGAGTCCTTGCTCAGCAGTTGCGGTGGACTCATCTTGATGGCAGCTGTTCTCCTGGAGAAAAGAGAAAGGGAAGAGGAATCTGAGATTGGCGCCACGTGGGGATTACCTTCCTATCGTTCCATAGAATCGCCTAATCGCGTCTGCCAGTCTTATCAGAGGAGCCCCACTCGAACCGATCCCAATGTTATGAAGACGAAGACGAAGACGCTGTATCTATGTGCATTTATAACACTATGTGTGTTATCATTGTGAAAGGGCTCTTATCATTTATCAGTCAAGGTTGCGACGGCCAGCGAGATTATGGTTCTAACACATTGTGTGGCACCACCCCGAATATTGTTGTTGTTGTTTCTTTTTTAAATAGTTTCGGGCCTTAAATAAATGGGGCCACCCCTCGAAGAACGGAGATTAGGGAAGAGTGAAGGTCACGAGCATGGGGGCCTGTTGTATTATTTTCGGTGATAATTAGAAAACAAAACTGGACAGCTTTATTAAGTTGGAAAATTTAAAACTAACACAAGTTCGAAACTCGTCAGTTTAGATTGTAGAAATTTGTAGATTTTGCAATTCAATGGCATGAATATTTGATATAGATTTAAATTAGATTACTATATTTTTAATGCAATACTTTGTACACACATTGAATTGTAATACGCACTAAAAACTATAGTCGCAAAAAAAAAATATTCAGCACTTGAAACACCTGCTTTAAGTTATCTTTAATATTTGTAACTACATTACAGATAACGGATATGCTTAAGGTTCCAGTCTAACTAACATAACTCACTATAAACAATTTATTTAATCACAAATGTAGGCCCTTGATGGACCTTAACTTACAGAAAGTGCGTTTCAATCGAATCCAATTCAATTCATTAGTTGTAACACACGCTCTCTCACTCTCTCACTCTCTCACCTCGTGCCATCTTGCTCTCGCGCACACTCCATCGCTGATTAGAATTTTTTATTATTTGACATAATAGTTGAAGCCCCCAGCTGCCATCTCCCTCCCCCCCTCCACCTTCCCCCTTCACCGTTGCTTCCCCATCGCATTATCAGTTTGGCTTTACGGTCCGGCAAGTTTTTGAATATGTTTTCATTATATACATAGATAGGTATAGGTATGGTATGCTAATGTCCGATTGCGAAAAACAAGTTCAGAATTCAAGCTGCTCATGCCTGAATTGGGTTTGGTTTGTTTTTTTTTCGTTCGCTATTTAACTTTTTGGTTTTTTGGGAACAAACAGTGCGATTAGTGGCCGAAATACATACCGATCGAAAGAATATTTATTAATTTATGAACACTTTTAACCGGACTCTTTTAATTGGTCACAGAAACAAAAATGTTATCACTAACCGACTAAAATCGGTTGACACCAGCACGAAACTTTGGGAAATAGAAGAAAAACTTAAATTGGTCTTCACACTGGAAACGCCAAATTGAAAATGCTCATGGGGAATGATTTCCAAATCGACGTCGACTCGGTTTCGCGTTTCTGTCGACGTCGACGTCGCTGCCGCCGCCCTCCCCTTTATTGCCAGCTGATATTTATATATATATAGATAGCAGGGGTGCAGCAATGGGGGGCATCGAGTGTTGCAAAAAAAAAGGGAACCCCCCCATAAAAACTCTTGGAAAATAAGGAATGATAGGATATTAAATAACACTAAGAACGTAATCATTACCGCTGAAGGAAAATAAGACAAATTAATAATAATTGTTCATATTTTCATATTCATATTTTTTGAAGATTTTTAACAATTACAATAAACACCTTTTTTGTATTGAAATAAGGCTTATTTATTACTCATTGATCAATCATTACGTTCATGTAAACAAAGAATCGACCAATACTCTCCCTCCACCTGCGAAACTCACGTACAAATCTCACACTGCTGATCACTCAGAGAAAAACAACATTAATTTCTTTTTGATAGTGTTTTTGTTTAAGTCCCTAAAGGCATAGGCTGGCACAAAACACCCGTATTAGTGCTAGATATTGTATTATCTAATGTATTGTATGTTGACTTACACTTTTTTTCTCTTTTTTTTCCATGTAGATAATGTATTTCAAGGCGTGCCACGCGATCGCCGTTCTCTGTTTTTCTCTTCTCTCAGTTTCGCTCTTGCCAAATACAACGGTACAACTTAGCATGCTGCTACAGTATTAGTTTGAAAGAATGAAACTCATTCATAGTTAAAAAAGATATTTGTAAGCAGATTGCTTTGCGAGTCTTTACTGTAGATCAATGTCTGAACACGGATCTTTTGTTCGGCAGCCCAAAAGAATGCAATTGTGTGGGTCTTTATTTTTACGTCAATAGAAATATGTATGAACGTAGTTATCGAAAATAATAGTTTAAAATTGAAAAAATGGTTTATATTATATATGGGATTGTTTGTATAATATTTATTTTTATATTTCATAACTGTAGTTAAAAGGTTTTTACATAAACAACCCGAAAAGTATGCACTTAGAAAACTTGTTCACAAATTATCTACAACAAGATAAGCTGGATAAAATCCGGATAAAAAAAAACTGGAAGAAGGAATGTTTTGACAACATGGTTCAGTTTATAATATAAACTTTATATTAATAAACGAAAATAAAACTCCAAAACCAGCAGATTAAACTTAACAGAAGCAAATGCTAATAATTTTGTATAATATTATTTTGCCAAAGTGTGCAGAAAAACAAAACAATATTTAAATTAAATCTAAAAAGTATATTTATCCTTTTTCTACATATTTGTTTGTCAGCTTTGTATATTTATTTCAGCTGTTAAGAAAATTTTCAAATTACATTTTATGCATATATGTAGGTAGTTAAGAAAATTTGTATTTCAAACTTGTCCATAAAACCGTGCACACATTTCTCGGCTAATGGGATTATATTTGTGGGCATGCGATCGCCGGGGGATGTTTGGTGTCTGATGTCTGGGCCTTGATTTAAGGAGCCGCAATCATTCTCGGCCATTAACTGGCGGACATTGTGATTGCCAAGTGCCATTGGCAGTGGCACATGACATTGGTCATAAACTTGGAATAATCCCAACGCAGTGAACACAAAAACTGGACGACGGGTGGCGAATGCAGTGGCATTTTCCGCCCCCAAAATGATGGCCCATTAAAAAGGCATAAATTATACGCGGCTGGGGGCCCCAACCCCCCATCCCCTTTACCCCCCTTCTACGCTCCCTACTTTGTAGTAAATCAGAGCGTTTAATTAATACACAATACAGGCGGCTAATAAATTACATTCGAAATGCATGCCAAAAATTCAAATTTGTTTCGTCTCGACGGAACGTGTTGACTGCCGGATTTCACTATCCGCTTTTCCCTGTTTTTCCGCTCGACAGTGGATTAGGATTTAGCCAGACAGACTGTCAGATCCATTGTCAGAACACTCACTCATTTTGTGGGGCGGGATCGCAGAATAAGTACATAGATAGACAGTCGTACTTGTTTAGAGGGCCGAGTAAATCGAGAGTGACGGCGCCGTCACATTTAAGATTGGATCACTTGGAAAATGGGTGGTATAATGATCAAAATGGCAGATACCGTGGAAAAATTATAAAATTATAACGATAAGACTGGTGAAAATCCTGGAAAAGAATTGTTTAGTTTAGAAATATTTATGTATTTTTTACAAATTTATTTCTCGTATGCTTAGGATTCAGAATAAATACTGATAGACAATTAACTTTTTAATTTTCAATTAATTATTTTTAAAAATCTTTTTAAATCCTTTTTGGGATTACTATTTTTTTTTTATCTATTATACAATTTTTGCCGCAATATTTTGTCTTCCAAGGCTAAGTTTATTGGTAGTAACCATGAGTTATACATCAACTCCATCATGTTCCTTTGTAAACTCTTCCATTCGAGGGTATCTACAGACAAATGTCGTGAATGGGAATGGAGAACGCGTGAAATTAATCAAAGTGGAACCAAGCGGCACCCCATTTCCCCCCCCAAAAGCCCCAAAAGATCTTAGCAAATGGGCTAAAAGCAATTTGTGATTAGAAGAGCCACATGCGACAAGCTTCGCGGACTCTTGTTCCTTTCATCTGGCGACAAGTCGGAACAGATATTTACTTAGGAGAAGATATAGCGGGCAGATATAGACGCCAGATAGATGGATAGATAGATAGAGATAGAGAGCTGGATCGACGGATAGATACACGTCGCTGGGTCATTATTTTCGGCTATACGCCGCATAATTTATTGGCATTTTTTCATTATATTTTATTTATGATTTCTGAGTTTTCAAATTTGTTTGGATCTGCTCCGCTTTCGCCGAGCTTTTATTGTTATTATGCAGATTCAGATACAGATACAGATACTGATACAGAATGAGATACAAATACAGATAGAGAAATATATACTTGTGTGTTCACTATATGTATCGGCTTACTATATCTTTTGGCGCTGCCATCTATTAAGATCACACGATGACATCGACTAAGGCGAATTCTCTTGAACAAATTGATGAGACAGGTGGAGCTGAACTCAACTGAACAAGAATCTATATCTGCATGGATGTGAGGAACTCAATATGTTTTTGATAATTCCGCTGAGAGATTTATTTAATTATTTTCATGTACGCGATTTTCGATTTAATGAGCAGTTTACTGGGGCAAAACTGAATCAAATCGAATATATTGAATGCGGCAAATGGCCAATTCCCAATTCCCATTCCCATTAGACAACTAGCCCCCCCGCAATATATAATACCATATGTGTGTGTATAGTAAGCTTGTGAATCCGACTACCGACTATATACATATTCGATCGTAAAGCGGCGGTAGCCGGTCGTGAAGGCGTCGCTATTCTGGCCCGATCAAAAATAGATATGGCCGCCAACTTTAACGGTCGCCCAAAGTCGACTGCAACTTTTAATGGCAAATAAAACAAGTGCCATGCGAGCAAATCGAATTAAATGCCAGGAAATTTATGAATAAACTAGACAAAGTTTGTGGACCGTTTCCTCTGCTCACCCACAAAACTACATACCTTTGTGCCATTACAATACATATTTGGTTTTTATAACCCCGCTTTAAAGACCTCCTAAAAGTAATTGATTCGAAAAGAAATAAAGCAATCTTCTGTACACTAAAAAAGTTCAAAAGAAAAACCCGTTTGTTTAATTTATGACATTTAAAAGTCATTAAATGAAGAGGAAATAGTTCACTGAATTTTAATTAGTTTGTATTCTTATTAATAGTAAGGAAACAAAGTCACCTTAATTTTAGCACAACAAACTATTTAAAATATGTATGTTTCTTTTCCTTCTTGAATTCCTTTGCTTCATCATCACACTTCTTAATAACTTTTCGTATATTTTGAATTTCAGAAATATCTTTAGCTAGATGGATTAAAAAACGTTTTGACAAAACGATTCCAAAGCCTTCGGGCGAACGGGAAGACAGATCTTTGGCACTCTCTTCCAAGAAATTGCACACGGTGGGTATAGTTTTTAATTTATTATAAATAAATAAATACAAATACAGATACAATTATTTAGTTTAGTACGCACAACACAGAACTAGGAGAGGTGACCAGAGGACTGTTTTTTGGGGGGACTGCACGTAGTATTATTTAGCCAAGTTCTCAGGACCCGAGTTATTTACAAATAATATTTATCACTCTAGTTTTCCAGAAATATAAAAAGGGAATTTACATTTCTTTCAAATCAATTCATAGGTTAATTCCGTTGACAAATAACATGGTTTGATAAGTTGTTCATAATACAATATATTGTAAACACTTTTTATACTTGTTAAGATTCAAATAGTTTTGTCACTGAACTTTGAATAAAGTGTAAACGGAAATAACTAATTTTTCTGTTACAATTTATTTAATCTTTTTAAGAAACCATCAAAGATTTCTGTGCATTTTTCAAAACCTTTTAATCTACAAATACTTCCAAATTATTTTGTTAGCTGTTTGGTTTTGCACTGGTATTACCTTCAACACACCGACTTTTAAAACCTTCGACTTAAACATTCTGGTGATAAAAAGAAAACTCCTCGTGAGTCCTGGAAAAGTGGTTAGACTGCGGCGAATATCTAGGCCAACTCAGCGGTTGCGGCGATTGGCGGCGGAGCAGGAGCCGTTCCAGGATCAGCTGTTCCCGCCGGAGCGGCCGCCTGTTCCGCCTGACCGGCCTGCTCCTTCTCGAGAACCGCCAGCAGCTTGTCCGCCTCGGCGGCCTTGGCCTGGAGCTCCCCGAGCTTTCGCTGCTTCTCGGCCTCCTCGGCCAGCCGCTTGGAGCGGCGCTCCTCCTCGACGCGCAGCTGCTCCTCCAGGTGGGTGCGGAGCAGGCTGTCGCCCAGGCCCAGCTTGTCCATCACCTGGGTGATGTCGCGGCAGTAGCGGAGTCGCGTGTTGTTCGCCAGCTCCTCGGAGCAGTCCTCCCTGCCCTGCTGCAGGCGCTGCAGCACGGACATCTTGGCATCGATCACCACGTAGTTGGAGCTCGGGATGAAGCTGTCGCTCTTCTCGTTCAGGTACTGCACCAGTGTCTTCAGCGAATTGGAGTTGGCCTTGGCGTTAATGGCTCCGCTGGCGAAGTCCTGCGACTTCATCATCTGCGCATGCGTGGACTTCTGCTTGCACTCCAAGCAATTCCAGTTGGGGTGCGGCAGTCCGGAGATCTCCGGCACCACCAGACCCGTGCAGTTCGTGTCCCGGCAATAGAGTCCGGAGATGAAGGCGCCTTTCTCCTGCAAGCGACAGGGAAAAGGGGTTCGAATTAGTAGGGCATACAAAAATCCAAAATATCAATAACCGAATGGAAGGACATATATTTGTTGAACCAGAAATTGAAATCTACATTGTATCTATTTCAGAGAAAATTTAAAATTACTTTCTAATACCAACGCAAGATACTTTTCTCTTTTTCATTGCATTTTCAAATTCTTTTTACAACCAAATAAAAATGATTTACGGATTTATAGTTACATGATTTGTTGCATGTACTAAATAACTCATAAGTTTGTTGGATACATTTAGTACGATATTTCGTTATGAATTTCAGTGGAAATTACAGTGGTTGCCGTTCCCCTGTTGATTATAACTTTAGTTTTAATATCCCATTCAAAATCGAACCCTTGAAAGCTAATATAACACTTTAAACCAATTGCTGTTGGGAATAGACAAGTAAATCTCTCCCCCATCTAATAGCAACTAATGATCTTCACATCATTATCAGTTCTTTGGATAATCCACACACTGGCTAAACCATCGATCACTCGAGAAGTGGCACAAACACTCAAGATACTTGGCACGTGAATCATTGGGGCCAAATGTCTCTGAAAATGAAGAGCACTTTCGCATTGCTGGGATTCCGATTGCCATTCTTATTCCAGCTAAAAATAATCCAAAAAAATCGGATTGAACAAGTGATCGCCGTGTAGCTGCGATATGAATCCGCTCAGATATAGTGGGATATATACCAGTCACCGCCGATCCGCGAGATTGACACATAAATAAAAAAAAATGTCGCTCGGTGTGCGATTTTAATATTCGCTCGTGCGATCGATAAATATTCAGACACAGGTTGTTAAGAATGTCGGTCGTCCGCGGCCACGTCATCTCCATAAAATCTATAAAATGTATAAAATCCCCAATCCGAATCGTTTGCCCAATTTGCTTGCCCGTAAATTAACTCGGATAATTAATGGTTCCGATCCGCAGACTGCACTAAACACATCAAAAAATCCACTCACTTGATACGTATTAAAAAACATATTTCTAACTAAATATTATAGATAACATTGTAAGCATTATTTTCCAAGATACGAAACTCGTATCTCAATTTTTGTTTGGAATTCTTGGAGCAGAGGAAACATATAGCACATAGCACATAAAAATAAAATCCCTTCGCGGGAGTTCGCTGAACCATAGTTTAAATTATATTTATAGTTAATTACAACAAAACGTGCCGCAGTCAAGGGCAGAAATTAGTTGTAGCTATTTTTGACACCTAACAAATAGGCATTTAAAGTGAACTTGATAAATGAGGAAAGTATACAAGTATTTAAAACACTAAAAGGGGAACATTTATAAAAAAGAAGCATAGATAAATGTCAAGTTAAACAATAATTTAGAAATGTTTTTCATGTTTTTTCTTTATTAGGCTGTTGTTATCAAGAAATAAGTTTCTAAATCAAAATCCTTTCTTCTCTACAAAAATGTTGGGGACTTGAAAAACACCTCCTAATTTAAACATATATCATTTTTATACAAGCAGCGTTTTACGATGTTTTCCCACTCGTTATTAAATGGTAAATGTTTATTTTGGCCGGGCTTTTATTGCCCCCAGCCAATATTTACAGCGGCAAGACTTCTTTTATAGTCTCTTTATGGTTTAATTAAGATAGTTCCGAGGGTTTTCGCATAGGCATTTTCATTATTATTTGGCCTCTGGGTTGCTCATCGCATTCTCGCCGAATGTCAAACGGGAAATTACGATCCGAGACGCTATATGTGTGGCCATGGCCAAGAAAATCTGTTTCTATATGCGCATAAAAACAACAATAACAACACGAACAGCGAATAAAAAATATCCGTCGGTTAGCATGGGAAAAATGCGACAATAAAGAAAATGATGGAGCGAAAAAGATGGGAGCGGGGATCGTTGGAAATCAAAATCAAATCAATTTCACCAAACCAAAATGCCGCAAAATATATGAAAAGTTGTGATTTTGAATTCTTTTTTTTCAACATTTTTGGTTTTTTTTGTGTTCCAACTTTTTGCAGGAATTTCGAAGAGAAGAAGACTGGCAAGCGAATTAAAAAGCTTTTTGGAATCCATCTATTTATTTGTGATTTAATTGAATTGTTTTCGACCCGTTAAAAATAAACAAAGTTGTTTATAGCCATGTTTTTTTGCTTGTGGCCTGCCACTTGTTGCGCCTGGAAAAATGGTAAAGGAAGGGGAGGGGAGAAAATCAGAACATCGTGGAAATGGAGGAAATCAATTGATGGCCAAGAACAACAAAATCGAAAACTTGTAATAATAGTGAGCCAAATCGATCTGACCGCGAGTGTTTAATTGTTTTCGGATGAGAATTTTAATGGGCACAGGAAATCCTTAATGAAACTTTTCGCACCCGCAACAATTGCGGCGAAAATCAAAAGGCCACGAGCTTCGGAAAATTGTCTTCTTTGATAGATCGAATGGCGGAAAAGTGGGTGAAAATGCCTCAGAAATTGGGATCACGTACTACAATCCGAAAAAGACAATGCCGACCTCAATTGCCTTCGGGGAAACTATAAAGATGTTTGATTGTTTCTTTGGTTAATTGGTTAAATAGTTTACTCAGCTGGCCCATCGATCATCACTTCGGGCTTTTTGCGAGGGAGATGATCTTCTAAAGATTTCTGTTCAGAAACTATGTGATCTTTGGTTTCCAAGGGGGCTAAGTATAAAAGTAACTATTTATAGCAAAAAAACATTTTTATTATTATTAGCCAAATGTTTCTAAATAAATATTAAGGGTTCTTCAAATAGGAACACACTTTATAATATAAAAAATGCAAATAAGTTCCTTTGATTTATAAAAACTTCTCAACTTATAACTATAATCATTTGATATATAAACCAATAGTTTTAGTTTATAAACCATGTGTTGCAATTTTTATATTTTAAATTTAAATACTTTTATACTAAACAACTATTTCTATTTAAAAGAAGTTTTAATGATAATCAATTTAGAGGTATTTTCTATTATTATTTAAGTTGTTTGCTTAAGAAAGTTTCTCTTTTTATGAACACCTACATAATATCGCTTAGAACCTTTTGAGTAATATGTTTTAAATCTTATATTTTCTAAGTAAATTTTTTATATTAAGAGCGTGAACTCACCGTGGGATCGGAGCACCTGGAGCACTTGCAGGTGAAGCCCTTCTTCATCTTGAGGAAGAGGTGGCGCGCAATGTTGCCGGTGAAGAGCTTGGTGTAGGTGGTGGTCACCTCGAATCCCTCGGGTATGTCCACCGCAGCACGGACGATCATGGTGTTGGTCTTCTCCTCGAAGGTGTAGTAGGCATTGGGAATGCAGTCGTGGTTGACCACGCCAAACAGGGGATAGAGAGCGCGGTAGTTGAACTCCTGGTTGTCGTTCGTCCGGTCGGTGGTCTTGTCGAATCCATTGGTCCGCAGCACGGCCACCGTGCGGTTCATGATCTCGATCAGCTTCTTGTCGGTGGGGAAGTTCTTGAAGCACTTGGCCGCATTGCGCACCTCGGTGCGATGGTTGTTATCCAGATTGGCCTGCAGGCAGTAGATCAGGTCGCGCTGCTCCTTGCTCAGATTGATCGCCCTGGCCACGCAGAGCAGTCGGATGATCACCGAGTTGGCCACGTCCGGTTCGTTCGGGCCCCACGACTTGAACAGATCGCAGTCGCTCTTGTGCTGCTTCTTCTTGGCGCACAGGCTGCAAATGGGCAATCCGCATCCCTGGCGGCACATGAATCTCGTATCCGGTAGCATCTTCAGGCACACACTGCACGCATTTAGGGAATCCTCCTCGTGGGCCGCCAATCCGATCAGCAGCGGACTGTCCCTGAAGATGATCTCGCCCCGCTTGAGGCTCCGCGTGGCCACCACGCCGCGTCCGGCGATCTTCGATACGCCGATCTCCCAGGCGGGATCCTTGTCCTTGAACGGCGCCAGGTGGAGATCCAGCAGCTCCGAGGTGCGTTTCGGGCAGATCATCTCACAAAAAAAAACCACCGACGATGGGCACTCAAACAAAAATATATAATCACACTGCTCTACAATTTATATACAGATTTTCTCAACAGCAATTACAAGCTATAAGAGTATTTTATTTTCAACCGATTTCGTTGAGTTCTTTAGGAGGTTCTCTTGTATCCTTCAACCGATTTCTATATATCTGATCTGATTTGATTTTGGGTTTCGAGTGCGCCTGCTGCGTTTATTTCGCGACTGCCGTGAGTAAACTGTCGCCGTTTTCCAGCCTTACATGATTTTTATGTGAAACGTCGAAAAGGCGAAAAGCTGAAAATTCGAAAAGCTGTCTTCGTTCGCCAGAAACGAACGAGCCACGAAGATTCCCGATGATTTGGGGGAAATACTCAGCATTTCAGCATTTAAGCATTTCAGCGTTTTTGGATCGACGAGGGAAGGGATCAGTTGGGGATGAACATGAAAATGAGGAGACCCCAAAAAGATCCCAGAACATTCAAACAGCGCCATGCAATCCTGGCTGTCCACTCACATGGATTGATGAACAGCGCATGGTTGAATGTCTCTTTTGACGAGGGCACTTCGGAAAATAATTTGAGATTTAATAGAACACCATTTAATCATTGTTCATAATACATTTTAATACTTAATGCACTGAAAAGGTTTCACTTTCGGTAAATATCATGTTTATATCATTCATTCATTGTTTTCATTCATTCACTGCTTGAGAGAACAGCCTGCTTAAATTGCAATTAATAACCAACGTTCGTAGTATTCCTCATTCTTTTTTGCAGTGCAGTTGAATGTACGGCCGGATGAATGGATGATTTGGGAATGGGATGTGATGCTTCTGGCGGACGGATGACTTACCGACGACTTGTCGGCCGGCGGATGTACAGATATCCGTACATTTGGAACGAGTGTTCGGGAATATGGGAGGAATATAGAAGTACATATTCAGAATACGGATCGGCATGGATTTGTGCACTCGTGACAGCGCTCTGGAGTTGCGCCAAGAATGCCGCCGGTCATCGAATGATGAACGAGGAACAAGGAATCCGGGGATCCGGGAATCCAATTCTGGCGGAGATCACCCTCCCACCGAGTGACTGAGTGACTGGACTGGACTGGGTTTGGCTTAAATCCCTCGACTTTTCCCCGTGTTGATTAATTCCTCCACGGAAGTAATGACCCCAAGCAAAAATGCCAAATACATGGGCTTAAATAATCAAACACAAATAGAATAGAGATTTGTACTCACGAGTGTCTTTTTACTTTAATAGCCCAAAACATTTGCTTGAGACATTAATTAATTAGGGAAATATATATTAAATATATATCATTTGGTTGGGAACATTTAGCTTTACGATAATATTATTAGAATTTTGGCTTTGTATTTCATATTTGTTTCAAGGTTATATAGACCAAGTCCAACTTTTTAAACTGTTTACATTATTTTCTGCTAGATTTCTGTATGATTTCTATATGCGTACTTAATAATTCTTATCAAAATCAAAGCACAATTATTTTAAAATATGTTGAGCAGGTACACTATTAAAATCAATGCTGGGGTTTAATCAGTTTTCTTTATTTTTTTGCTGCTCTAAATCTAATTTTTTTCAGAGGAACTTCGAATGATTTCCAAATCTAATGAACGAATGAACTTTGTGGCCTTGGCATTCTAATTAGTCGGTCAGTGAAACGGAGAATCTTATCGCTTCAAAACTGCGATAGTCCCCTGAAAAATGTGTTCCACCGATCTGGGTGCTCCTATATAAAAATCTAGACTGCTGCGATCGATCCGTCAGTTTGTTGTCTCGTTGCCTTTGAATAACACCAAAAAACACTAAATCAACCGAAATGTTTGCTGCTAAGATTTTGATCCTGTGTGCGGTGTCCTGTGTCCTGGTGAACGCCACTCCCCAGGGACTTGGCGGAATAGTGGGAGGAGTAAGGAATCTCGACGGCAAGGATCTGGCTGAGGCCCAAGAGACCTTACAGACATCCCTCACTAAACTGGCCGCTGGCGCTGATGGACCCCATTATCGGTAGGTTTCCCAAAAAGGATATGGATTTTGTATATTTACCATATGTTTCGTGACTTTTTTTTAGCATCTCGAAGGTCCTTTCGGCAACACATCAGGTGGTCTCCGGTTCCGCTTACGTTTTCTCCGTCGAGCTGATCGACAATCAGGAAGCCAAGAAGGTTTGCGATGTGAACATCTGGTCGCAACCCTGGTTGCCCAACGGAATCAAGGTGACCTTCAAGTGCCCCAACGAACCCGAATTGGTTAGACAGCACAGTGCCTAAATAAAAAAGTTTGTTTGATGAATGTAACTGTATTTTTTTTATAATTCGGGAGCCTTTACCCAAATTTAATTAAACACTACAGAATGCCCCTGGAATTATTAGTTCTAGTTAAACTTTATATAACCTCCAATTCACACAATGAACTCAAGATCAATCACTAGCAAAATACTAAACACATTTTTCAACACTGCCCTAACTCAATATACATTTTTGAGCACTTTATTTCGTATTAATTATTTACTAGTTGGTTTAATTATTCGTGGCCATGTTATGCTTTTAATTACCGATTAATTTCGTTTTGGCTTTCTGGGCACTGAGAGCCTCCTGGTTTTTTTATTTGTTTGACTGCCGCAAATATTAGTTTCTGTTTTCTTTGGGAATGTTGATCATGAGTCGAGCAAGTGCCAGAAAAGCAACTTAATGAATTCGACAAATTGCAAATTGGCCACTGCCTTCGGCGCCCCTTTCGTCACCTCTGTACTTCCCAGGAAACGCCCCCTTCCACTTTGACCCCCCCCTTTCGACGCCCCTGCATTTTATACGGCGATGACGAAGACACCTCTCACGTGCATCGAATGCATCGCAAATTGGCCAACGAAAGCCATTCCGCATTCGCCTTCCGACAACAGCAACTTTAATTTAATGAAATTCAAAAATAATGCCAACCAAATCAAGCAGCGCAAAAAATAACTAAGCCAACTAAAATATTATAATAAAATTCGATGTGTGCAAATGGCTTGCAAAATATGCAAATGCCAAACTGAAAAAAAAAAAAAAAAACACAGAAAGGGGGCAGAAAAAAAAAAAAAAAAAAAAAATCAGGACTGCGGCAACAACAAATTATTGGCGCTTTGACGCGTTTTTGCTCTGCTCTGTTGGCAATGGGGAATTTGGCGCCACCATTGGCCATGTCGTCGTCCATGTCACAAAGTTGCCACCGCGGAATATCCCATCCGTTCTACGGGGCAAAAAAAAAAACTAAGCCGAAATACATAACACCCACTTAAAAACAGAAACAGAAACAGAAAAAATCGCATAATTATTTTGTTGCCAGGTGAGTGCACTCCAGGTTGTCACTCAGCTTTTCACCTGCACTTCCGCTGCCGGAAAAGCAGAAATGTACGATGAAATGAACATGAAAATCGAAATGGAAAGGCGACAAGCCAAGTGGCAACTAATTACAAGTTAATCGAAATGAAAACACACTTCTGCCGCTGCAAAAATCTCATCGCATGCTGCACTTGCAACTAAAACAACTGCGAAAAAAAAATAGAGAACGTTAGCCGCAATACTAAAATAATATTTTCGTAATTTATTACAAAATAGAAAAACAAATGAAAGCCTGTTTGCAGCTAAAATGGTACCTTTTAATGAAAACTCGCACAAAAATTACCTACTTACTGCACAAAAGTCTTAAATTGCTTGGAATTAATTTATTTTGTTAATAAATTTTTATTAAAAACTAAACTCCAACTTGTACACAAATATCACTCATACGCACAAAAATCACTCATACGTCGTGTTGACCTTTTTGACACTTTTAAAATTAAAACTAAAACTGTATAAATTCTAGTTTACTTTTATCTATGCTCCATCAAACACCGAAAAATACCCTCGACCAAATGCCGGCCGAAAATAATCATTGAAAATTAGCCGCAAACCGAATGTATGCCATTTTTCCCGCTTTTCTTGTTGCTGCGGCTCTTGCATTTTCCTCCTCTTTAATTTTCAGAGTCAATTAAAAATTGTTAATTTTACTTATAATTTTAAGGTAGGCAAAAATGCAATGCGACGACGAAGACCGACGGCCAAAAAAAAAGTAGCAATTAAAATTTTTGCGCGACTTTGTCACGTCGCCGAGAAACAACAACAAGAAAACAACAAAAAAATGAAAATGAAAAGGGGGCGGGGGCGTTGGCGGCAAATTTGCCGTTGAATGGACCGCTTTTACCGTATCGCTCTTTTAAAAATCGGAGAACCGTTTCTTGATATGGAAGGATAATCCCCCTAATTGGAGATATATATACCATAATCACAGTGCTTCATTTTTATTAAAATTTATACTATGTGTATGGCTGTTGATGAATGAAAATGGTTTGTTTACCCAATATCGCACTCGATTTCAGTTGAATTGCCTTCTAAAAAGAAAGACGCGAGGCAAATCGAAACGAGGTGTAGCCAAACTATATATTTAGTTATTTATTATTTTACCCTTGGCTGCAATACGATTTTCATCTGAAATCTTATGAGAAAGTCACTGAGCTCCATGCAGATTTGTCGATAAAAGCAAAAAAGGCAACATGTTTTCCATAACTTCAAAATCAGATTTTTTGAAAAAAATATATTTAAAATGTTGCAGAGCAGCCTTTTCAAATTTCGGAAAATACCTTGTTTGAATAATTTGGTGTGGGAACCCATTAAAAATTTGGCAAAATCGAATTTTCTTTTTTATTATTTTTGTGTTAAGCTGTAAATATTCTTTAGTTCTGCACGGGTTAAATTGGGAGTCTTGCGAACTATTCTATTCGATTTAGTGCGCAAAATCGAATGGAATTCAGTCAAGTGAAAATCGCAGCGGGGCAGAATGTTTTCACCGAAATCTCTGTGAAGCTGAAGATCTGAACCGATGAGTCTATATGCCGCTGGCCGTATTGCCACCAATTCAGTTTGGTTGTTTGGTTGTTCGGTTGTTCGGTTTCTTTGGCTGGCAGATGGCTGGCATCAGGGGCATGCCAAACTTCATTCACCTCAATGCCAATTACACGGCATGGACATTTTCAAAGCCGCCCAATTTTTTTTGGGGGCGAATTTCGCATTTGATTTTAATACACTTAAACGCAATCAATTTTATTGCTCTCGTTGCGGTTGCCTGTCGAATCGAATTCGATTTGATTTGCTTTTGAGTGCGCCATGTTTTTCGTGATTCTACTGCGGATATAGAAGATGCGAATGTGGATGCGGATTTGGATCTGTACTCGTATTTGGTCTGGTCATGGATTCCGAATCCGATTGCGATTGCGATTCCTTGGGGTCCACACCTGAAGAATTCGATCGATACGAGACGAGATGAGATGTGGCAGGGAGAAACTTGTTTACAAGCCAAAATGCCAGCGTGGAATGTTACGAAAATGTTGCTGCGCTCCATATGCACATGATCTGCGGATGATCATGATCCATATATATATACATATATATCGTATCGTATCGTATCGGCGACTTATGTGCTAACATAAAGCAGATGACGAACGGCAGCTGCGACTGCCAATTTTCGCCCCGGAAAAAATATTAAAACTCAAAAGGGCTCCTATCGATTTACCAAGTGCTCTCTTTTATTGGCCGAATTTTCAAAACAGATGCTATTTAGGCAGGCAGTCCACGAATATAGAAATATCAAATATGTTTTCTTAAACAACAAATAAATCTTTACAAATCCAAATTCACTGGAAATTTATTAGGAAAGTAATTCAGTAGTTTCACTCTTTCACATGTGTAAACTTCTCAAACAAACGTATCACTTATGTATGAGTTTTCCCGATGGATATAATACTAGTCAAAGTAGTAATGCTGATTTAGTCCGACTCTGGATCTGCAACGGAGGAGATCTCCATCGGAATGGCACGGAGATCGCAGATCTGGTTGCTCAGGGTGAGTGAATGAGATTTATGGTCCATTTACCTACAAGTGGCTGTAATGGCGAACTAACAAACCGGTTGCAAAACCAAACAAAGGGAACCAAACTACTTAAATGGGTCGGGCATCTGCGGTTTCACTTGATTGTTCAGATAAGTGAGGTAGGCAAAACGTAAACGTTATCTAATGAGCGGAATTAGCTAAAACACTTGGGTTAACCCGTAAAATATTTAGCATTGGAATTACTTAATGTAAAGCAATCGTTAATTTAGGATCACATTAATTTCATATCAGCCAAACAAATAGTTCATTCACTCAAAACATGGATCATGGACCCCTCATCTCGTTGATAAGACTTACGGATTTGAGGCACATTTCGACCCCCAGTTATCAATCGTTCTAATCAAATAATTAAATTTTCAAATATTCTGAGATTAAAATGTATGCCAAAACCAAAGAATTTTTCCGTTGTTATGTTTTTTAAGGTCATTAATAGTCTTGATTAAACAACGGAATTACAATTGTAAAACCAATGAAAATTATTTGAATGAAAATCTTTATAATTTCCAGCTAGTTTACCTGTTGCTTTTGGGAACAGTGATATATCCCGTGGTCCTGGGCATCCAATCCTCGCAATCCCTGGCCCTTCTGCAGGCGAGGGAGCAATGTGGTCGGAAACTGAATCCCAGCCAGCGTTTCCAGCTGGACAGGATGCAGTTCGAGGATGCTCCGCATGTGCGTCACTACCTCCACTGCTTCTGGTCGCGGCTGCAACTTTGGCAGGATGCCACCGGGTTTCAGGCCCACCGGATCGTCCAGAGCTTCGGGGGCGAACGGATCCTCAACGTGGAGCAGGCCCTGCCCGCCATTAATGGATGCAATGCGAAGACGAGGAGGAGGGCATCAGGATCAGGATCAGGATCTGGATCTAGATTGGTAACTGGATTGGTTGCTGGCTCCCAGGCAGTGGAAGAGTGGTGTTTCCGGGCTTTTGTTTGTGTGCTGAGAACTCCAGTTGGTGAATGGTACAAACGTCACATGTCCGATGTTATCAATGGAAATGCCTAAAAGCAGGGCCGGAGAAACAGTTTTGAGTGGGGTGATGAACTCACAAATTTTCAATATATTTTTTAAAAGCTATTTTAATAAAACAACAACACCAATCAATCAAAATGCAACAGGTAAAAAAAACTATTTTAAATGTAAAATGTTAATTAAAATCCATTTAATATTAACATAATGTTAATTTAATGTTAAAATAATGTTAATTTAATATAATGTTAATGTAATGTTAACTTAATGTTAATTAAATTAATATGGCCACGTCAGCGACAATGATAATTAGTTATTTTTTTCGTTTTCTTGCACCTATAATTCCCAAGTGGTTCTGGCTGATTCGTAGTGGGATACCCCTTGATTTTGGCCAATTTCTCAGTTCTCCGGGATGACCGGCAGTTTCTCTAAGAAACTTTTTCCGGTCTCTGGAAGTGTGTGTGTGTGCGTGTGTGTTAGTGACGTGGTTCCAGAGTGGGAGAGAGTATCTGGCCAACTCCTCCTACTGGAGTCAACTCCCGGATGCAGTACATCTTGGGTCGACTCCTCCTACTGGAGTCCACTCCCGGATGCAGTGCATCATGGGTCGACTCCTCCTAGGATGCACTGCATCATGACCTGACTTGGCATGAACTTAAAGGTGCCCGATCCCTTCCTGCATGTAGTGGACTCCAGGATGCAGGGCATCCAAACCTGAAAAGGTGAGTTGCAGTTTTTTTTTAATTATGTGATGACGTGGCTTTTGTAAAAAAAATGCAGTTAATTAATTCAATTTTTTTTATATTTTTTTTATTTCAGGTTTTTGGTTGTGTATTTGGCTGATTGCAGAAAATAATTGGTGACACCATCCAACTTGTAACTTGAAGTTCGACATCAGGATGCACTGCACCAAGGTTATTACGCAGTGAGTACATCCTTTAGACAATAAATAATTAAGTTATATATTTTAAGAAATCATAAATATTTTGACAAAGAAACTAAAAGCAACAGATAAAGATCTGAAAGTTTTCAGGAACATGAAAGAAATTTTAAAGGTAAATTTGATCAAATATTGAACTTGAAGTACGTGAAAATCAAACACAATTAATAATTGTAAACAAGTAGGGACATATAATATAAATATATATAGTAAGAATAGTTGTAAGAATGCGGTTACCGAAGATATATAGTATGCTGACACCACATAAATGGACTGGACAACAGGCTGCAGGATCAATTATGAATGGCGTGATCTTCTATTGAACTCCACTCTAGGATGCAGTGCATCACCTCATTGGGGTATGTATTTTTTAAGCAACCGATTTGTATAAAATAATTTAACTAATATTTTGGAATGCTTCTTTTCATTACAGGTGATGACTATACCTTTCTACTTGGAGTGTACTTCAAGATGCAGTGAATAAAAAACCCAAAGAGGTAAATACCTTTTTTACTAACAAAATAATTCTAACTATTATTATTTGTAACAAATTATTTATTATATTTTGTTTGTTTTTTTATTTAATTTCAGGGTAAAGTGTTAAGTGTAAATGTTGCGAATAAAGTGGTTGCGGTGATTATCTTACTCCAAGAAGACGAAAGATTGCAGTGCAGATCAAGGAGCTAACTGAGTAAGTACCAATCTGAAAAGATTTATTTATGATAATCTCATAATTATTTAAGTAGTTGTTACATTAAGTTGGAAAATGCTTAACTTGGCAAGTATTTGGAGAGTTACTATCTACATATCTATTTAAATAGAAACTGATTTAATTGGGCCGTGGTAAAGGCGGGATTTCTCTTCGTTTTTATTCGATATACTCTATATGCAGGGCCGGAGAAACAGTTTTGAATCATACATTCAACTGATAATAATGGATGTAAATAAATTTTTTTCTACAAGTCAAGCATTTTGGGGTGTTGAATTCCACACCCGCTAAGATTTGGCGTGTGGAGTGCTCAACACCCGGTATACACCTTCCTTAAACAAATATGTATGTAAAATAGTTACATTTTAAAATATGTACATACATTTAATAGTATACTTACTATAAGCACAGAAAAATAAACTAAAAAACAGAAATAGTACTATTAACCAGATTTTTGGGAAATTAATTGTGTGATATATTTAAAATTATATTTATGTATATAAAAATATTATGAGTAGAGCTCGGATAGTCATGCAAATGCATGTTGCATGCATATTGTGCATATTTCATTCCTTAGAGCATATTTTGATCGAAAGTGCATGTTCGAGCATATTTTAATATTTCATTCATAAAAACTGATAATAATTTAGCTGTGACATATGAAAATCATTCTGATGCGAATAACAACAAAAAACTTAATTCATTCTATTACAAATCTATTTAATTGTGTATAAGATTATTGCGTGGAATTGAAAGTAAATTGACTTTCACGTTGTTTATTTTCATCAAATGATCAACACTAGGTACATTGATAACTTATTAATGACTAATCATAATAAACGCTTTATTATTATTATATTTATTATTTATTATATTATTCTTAAATTATCATTCGTCTCGTGGCATTCAAAGTTATCGGTTGTTTTAAATCAAATTTATACTGCGTATGAAAGTCGAATTCCCCAAAGTATTTCGGACTGATAGGTCAGTTTTATTTTGTACGTATTGTGAATGTGCAGTTCAAGGAAAAAAATATTCCAAGTAAATCAGCATATTGCATCAATAAAACACAAAGCTGCCAAAGATAGAATGAAGGAAAATGCCGATCAGGGAAGCCAATCGTTAAAATAGGATCTTGAACCAAAACCACACCAAATTTGTCGAAGTTCAATGTGAATCTGTGCAAAACTTTAGCTTTTAAATAAAGAACCGCCTTTTCCAATATATTATGACTATTTTTTGCATGATTCTTTCATATTTTATTGTATTTTTGAATGCATATTCTTGAGCATATTTTGCTATTTTTCGTGCATATTTGCATGCATATTTTGGCCTTTTTTCGTGCATAACTATCCGAGCTCTAATTATGAGTTCTTAATTTGGAATCGTAAGCATTCTTTTAAGAATATGAACTAATCAAAATTGTTCTAATAAAATAATTAAATATAGATTCAAATAAAACTTTTATTCCCAAGCAAACTAATCATGTATGTATGTATGTGTTTTTTTTCTCAAAATCTCCACAATTCTCAGAATCAGAATCGCTGATGACACAAAAATCCAGTGTGACCAAACGAACGAAAGGCAGTTAGCCTCACGAAGAATTGAAAGCTAGTCATAGCTGTCAAAGCTGCAAAATTCGAAAACATGTTACAATAGGGCGAATCCAGCGTGGAGCTTTGACGAGAGATTCGGAGAACCCGCCAGAATGAGAAGCCGGAAGCCACGCGACTTGGACGAGCCGACGGCCACCATCCTGGCCAGCGATGCCTTTGTGCTGGAGGAGGATGGTCAGCAGCAGCAGCAGCAGCAGGAGGAGGAGTCGCAGCAGCAGAAGTCGCAGCAGCAGCAGCAGCAGGATCAGGCGGCGCAGGAGCAGAACTCCAAGGCGGCGCAAAATCCGGAGACCTCAGCTGGTGCGGGTGGCAATCCCGTCCAGGATCCCAGCCAGGAGCAGAACCAGGATCAGGATGCGCCCAAGAAGCGCTGCGACAAGTGCGGCAAGAAGCTGGGACTCACCGGCGGTTTCCCATGCCGCTGCGGCGGCACCTTTTGCACCGTTCACCGTTATAGCGATCGGCACGAGTGCAACTTCGATTACCGAGAGCTCGGCGCCAGCGAAATCCGGCGGGATAATCCCGTTGTTGTGGCTGAAAAGCTGCGCAAACTTTGACCTCATCACCAAGAGCCTCGACAAAAAACATTTCAACGGAAAAGAGCTGAATATGTAAAGCAAACACTTGGTTGCCTAAGATAATAAAAAATATTTGATATCTTATAATTTCAATTTGAATTTAATGCGGTCTCATATGCAACCGGTTCACAAATGAAAGCTTTGAGATTCACTGGCAAATATTTCCATTAGAGGTTACCGGAGAACAGATTTTGTAGCATACTTTTCCATAATTTCAACGGAGAGGAGATTCAAACCACCAACACTAATAACAATGTTTTCTTTTAAACTTTTACGTATTAAAATAAAAAATTCAAAGAGGGATGCCACTTACAAATCGGATAAAAATTATAAAAGTGATTGATTTAAAAGTGGAAGAATTTGGTAAAATTTTCTGCAAAACGGTTTTTTGAAAACTTTGAAATGTCGGGGGTCATAAAAAATGACAAAACATCGACCAAATAATTTAAAATAAGCTAATGAAGCAACTTGTTAGATAGTAATAAACAACAAAACCAATGATCAAACATTAAATTTTTTTTAACAATTTATTATTAAAAGATTTTACAGGTATATTTATATCAGATTCCATTTACATAAATATGCTATAGATTATTACAAAAAAGGGCATCAATTTTTCGTTTTATAAGGAATGTCAACATGTAAATACATTTAGTTTGGTGTTTTTCTTTAGAATGAGATAAGAAAGATCAATTTTAAACATAATTGTACTCATTTTTAAGTTAATTTTAGGACAAAAAAAGATATTTAAACTATTTTTGGTACAAAAAAAAATTTGTTTTATATATGTGATGTGAAACATGTGTATTTTAATAGGTTTATAGAAATTGAATGGAGTATAATCGAAAATAAAGTGATGCAGAAATATGGTGGTTATAAAAATGGTAAACATGTCTGTGAGATTTTAAAATCAGGGAAACGTTTATAGAAAAATTTCAAAATTAAATAATCTTATTATTTGGTTCTTCAGAAAGAATTGAATGATATAAATTATTTTTATATATAAAAGTCAGATGAGAATGCTTAAGTTGGGCCGCAAAGTATCTAGATACTCAAGATCTACTTGAAGAGGAGGGGAAGTCGGCAGTGGGGCTCCGTCTCGCTGGGATTGTCGGAGTACAAGGACACCGTCCTGGCACTGAGATCGAAGATGCCCACGGCAATGGTCTTGACCACCTCGTCGCACCTGTGGTTCTCCCGCCACACACAGAATTCTCCGCCGGAAACATCGCCCAACATGTGGCGCACATCCTGTTCGCTCATCGGTGGCTTGTAGCTCCCGAAAGTTTGCATCCGCGAGATACTCGAGTCGATCATCAGATCGTTCGCCTGGTCCTGCCGAATGCGATCGAATCTGCAGAGTTTTTTTTTTTTGAGGTAAGTAGCTATTTAAATCATGTTTTATATACACTCACTGATTCACATGGTAGTTGTGTTCGCCCAAAGGAATCTCCTTGATGTTCAACTGGGATTCGTTCTTGCGTTCCGGCGAAGGAGCCATTTCCACGTTGTAGCACATTTGCCGCGGATCACTGCGGTTTTTCAAAAGATGATTAAAACAAATAAATGGAATATGTATTTAGTACACACGCCAGGAAGGTAAAGTTGATGGAGCAGGCATCCGCTGCTCCCACTCCCGCATCCTTTAGAACCCTCAATGCATCGTCCACATTGCTGGTGGCCAAAAGAGCTCTGGTGATGAAGTGACGAGCTGGGGGAATAATATTCAATTAAATAGTAATATTAAAAAAAATTGTACTTCATCTTAAAATAAAATAATTTTTGATCGCCTTATACAGGTTATATTCGCAATAAAAATTAACTAATAAATTAGGTAAAAACTTACGTGTCTTTCCACTGCGCAACAATTCAGCACTGATGGTGTTGATGCTGAAGACCAGTCCGTGGTGGTTCTGGTTCATGGTGTATCCTGGCAGGTGTCCTGCGTAGCACAAGGACATGAAGTGCTCCTCCTTCACGTTGTATTTGCCCTGAGGCTTGTCACTGATGATGTGAGCCACCACAAAGTAGTAGTGATTAAGGGTCTCCGTCAGGGCATCCTCCGTGTGTCCCAACAGTCGCTATAAAATATATATTAATTATATTAATTAGTTATTAATATTAATATTTGAATAGTTAAACATTCTAAAATATAGCTTAGTCACTCACGCAATTCTTCTGATTAACTATGATTGTGGAGCAACCAGTGGGTTGATTTTTGCTACGTGGCTGATGCTTCAACGCCTGAGGAAGAATCTCGTCCAAGTGCAGTAAAAATAGCTGAAACATGAAGCAAAATCAAAGTAAGAGAACTGCATTTCAATTTCACTATAGCATATATATTTAACCACTTAAAGCAAACAAAAGTAATTGCATTTTTGGCTGCATTATTTGTGTTTTTATAACCAGTTTTCGTAGGCAGCTGCCAATTACATATTCACTTTGATGCAACGAGGCTTGTAATTTGTTGAAGTTTACTGTTAAGTTCAATGCCGTGAAGGTAAATTTATTTATAGACTAGCCATATACTATATATAGTTATAGTTGATATTCGATAGTTGTTATTTACAAGTGGAGTACTCAAGAAGTTCTTTTAACGATGTTGCCAATCGTAATTGATATATTATAATATTATAAGAGAACGAGACAATAAAATGGCCCATTAGTTATTGGCTTTAACGAAGGAGGGCAATAACTTTGATCTAGTAAGCACTTTTCTCAGGTGTATCCAAGTCATTAACTATTATTTAAGCCAACTGCTAATCACGGCTAATCATGATTAAGCTGACATAATGAGGGAACTGCAAGACAATAATGCGCCTCGTTAAATGCCCATTTTTAGTGCACTCATAATGCGGCTAATTTGAATTATAGAACGCCACCACCTGAGCGCCATAATGCCATAATGATCAGTCCGATGATCGGCCAAGACGCAGGCGACGGACGCACCGTTTCCATAGCCAGATTCTCAGTAGACTTGGCCAAGGTCGATGTGATTTTTGCGTGCAATTAATTGGCAACGGAGCCGAGCGCAGAAATTATAACACATTATCGCGCTTAGTGGCTATAGCCACTCGATCCAATCCAATCCAACCCAATCCGATCTCAATCTGCCCGTATCGTAGCTACTTAGCCATGCTAATAGGCAGGGCTAATTGATGGCTAAGCTTATGCCCAACATCAATTCCCAATTCGAGTCCCTCTTTTATTTCAAATTCAAAGAATCGAATCTCAATTCAAAGAAGCCAACCAAGGGTTTGTCAAACAACGTCTTTCGCCGGCTTCTCTTGACGGCTTTTTATTTATATGTGCGCCTTGACCAATGACAAATTGGCTTACGAAATGCGAGAAAAAAAACATTAAAGCCTTTGAATACTCTTGTTTTGCGTGGGAGATTTGCAGATGATTGTTAACTAAACAATTAAAAACCTGATAGAGATGGCTTTGTGATTTAATTGTAAACTTACTAATTTACTAATAAAATAGTAATATTAATAAATGAAAACTAGAAGTAGGAAAGGTTACACTTAGAACCAAAGTATGTGTTTTTAAGTTGAACTAATAAAAAAAAAGTGAAAGTGAAAGATGTATAGATTCTAATCATAAGTTAGTAAGGTTTTATTTCCTAAAAGAGTGTATAAAAGGAACTCTATCGATTCCATCAGAGTTCCTTTATACCTATGAGCCCAATCAAAGGTAACTGTTTGCAGTAGTGTTGGGAACCCCCCGAAGAAAAGGGTATCAAGAGACAGTCACCCGGTTAGGAAAAATAAAAAAGAGCGGCTGTCTATCACACTATAAACGGCATAAACGGAACTAGTTCAATGTCTGCGCTCTGCACGGTCACCGTTTCGAGTTCTGTTTGCGCACAGTGGGCACCGGCTAAGCGCAACTCACGCCCACCAATTAGCATTGCCATTTCCATTTGCATTTCGATTTCCAATTTCCATTGTTCTATTCGAACGCCCAATTGGCTGGGTTGTGCAATCGCATCAATTAAAACGGAATTAAAGGCAAACACCTAATTGCACAGGCCAGCGATTAGATGACACCCGATCGAACCCATAAATATGCAACAGGCATGCTAACTAACTTAACTTAACATGCCATCGTAGCCAATTAGCACTGTACGTGGGGCAGTGCACTGGCAAATTGCATTTAATGTTGTCATTGGAAGCTAAAAACAACAACTTGCAACCAGCAACCAGCAAGTAGCAACAACTGTTGCACTGGCAACACGCAACACGCAACACAAATCGTGGCGTTTTCGGTTTCATTTGGGTCTGGCATTAAGTTTCGATTTGGGTTCGGACATATAGATATAGATAGACCGTTAGAACCCCTCGACTCCCACGACAAAAGCCTTGCCGTGCGCTTATTACTTATGTTCAATTACAATATATATATACAATAAATATATAGTAAGTTGGAGCTCAGCTGGCAATTATGTGTGTTCGTTTTAATAAGCATTTAATTGAGTATTATATTATTAGGCAAAACGCTTATTAGTTTACAGTTGGTGTGCGCTAATTAGCCGGCGATTCACTCACCTTATGGAACTCCACCTCCGCACCATCGGCCACGCCCTCCAATTCGCGGATATACTGCGGGAAGCTGTCCTTCACCGATTCCAGCGTTTCATTATAGATTTGCCCTGCAAGTGGAGAATATAATAAATAGAAATACAGATCATGTGAATCATTTATCCACTCAATAATCTAGAATAGTACTCACTGCCTTTTGGGGACTGGTAGAGCGGCAAGTAGGTCTCGTTGAGGGGCTTCGATAAGATCAGAAAGTTCTTGATCATCGAGCCAAATGTGCGGCCCTGCAATTAAAATTGTGTACTCGAATATATATTTTTTTTCATTCTTTATTATATTTATTACGCGAAACGACTAAATGCTTTCCCATTTGGACACGATCGCGGATCGATTGGCGAAAAACGCTCGGGGTGTTTGTTTAATGGAAGACAACAATGAAATCGAAAACAGACAGAGAACATAATCGATCACGACCGATCGCAGTGTAAACAAAAGCCACCGACTAAGACACAAAAAATATGAATAATTATCCAATATATTGGAATATATTGGCTTTGACTTGGGGTAACCTTTTGGGCGGGACCCAATCACACGAATGGCGACACAAATGGACACGGATCCGGACGCACGTCCATCAAATAAACACAAAGTGTACAATTTATTGCCGGGCCAGCAAAAAGCCATATTTACCAAAAGGCTACCAACTACAGAGATACATTTGCTGGAAGCCAATAAGGCTCGTTATTCATACTGAAAATTATTTAGCCATAAAAATATTTTAAAACATTTTCAATCAGAATGCATAAATTATTTCATACTGCATGTTCTTCGTGTTTTTTTATTGCAATTTCAGGATATTTATCTTCCATCCTTCATTTTTTTTTTTATCGTAGTTAGACTTCATTTCATTTTCATTAGCTTTAAATTCTAAGCACAAGGTTTTGTAGCCCATTTATAAAAGCTGTCAAATGAAAGGAAATAGCAATGTGACACTGGCTTTTAATCATTTTATTGTTTTGCAAGTGTAGCAAATATTCTTGGCCCGATTGCAAGGAAAAAAGACGGTGTAACAAAGCCACGAGAATCACGAATCTGCATTTGTTATAAGTTATTAGCGTCTGGGTCCGGGACTTGTCAAACGATTCGAGGTCTTTTCGAAAGGCTTGCCGTTAAGATAAAGCCCAACTGGCTTTAGTTTATAGCGACCACATCCAGATAAATCAGAGGGTTATCAGCTGCAGCAGATATAGGTATGTATGACCTACTTCGAGTTAAATTAGTGCAAAATAGAGAAATAGGTTTCCCCTAGGAGTAGAACTTTAATCATCGTCCTGATTTTATATTTTTGTGGAAACACTATCTCAACCATTTTTAACTTGTTAAAATAAATGCGTAAAGATAAAGCGAATAGTTTGTGGTTTAAACACGCACCATAACCACGCATAGAAAATAAAAGAACCTCAACAGTAAATAATTAAATTCGCACAAAATGTAGAACAGAAGGGTACATTGACTTCTTGTACTTTCTTAGATTCATTTTTGATAGGGCCCTCTTTTTAAAATCGAAGCGTGGGAATGTTGGCCCTTTCTTCCTCATATAGACTTCTAAAAATACCCAAAAATCGAGCTGTCGTGCGCCACTTACAAGGTGAACGAAAGTTCTCAAAGGTCGAGAAAGTTTTGGTGGGGGGAGTACTTACCATATCGAACCCGACCTCATAGTGGGTGCCACGGGTGTAGAGGACTGGGACCGCCTGGCGACGTGGCAGGATCTTTCCGGAGGACATTGTCTTTTGGAGATCTGAAACGGGTTCGAATTTAGGGCACTAGGAATCTCGGCTTGCAGTTCTGAGGGAACTTCACTGTTGACTTCTTATCGCGCAATGAAAAGCAGTGAAAAGCTCGTTTGCACTCGCCAAAAAAAAAAGAAGGAAGAACGTCCCTTGATATGATAACGAAACGAGAGTTGTAAACAAAAATAAAGATTATTTTTAGTACGCCAGCTGATTTGTTCTAGAGCGCTTGAAGGCAGAATTCAAACTGATTTGTTTTGTTTTGGCGCCGACGCAGGCAGGCGTCGCAGTCGCCGCCGCTGCCGCAGTCGCTGTCGACGCCGGCAGAGACCGCAGCTGCGGCGTTATCGATTACGGCGTTAGTTAACCCATTAACGACCAAGAATACCTCGGACTTGGGTCAAAACGGAGCCGCTGCTCATTATCATTTATTGCCCAGCTTCTATGCAAATTTTGAGATCAGCTTGAATACTTTAAATAATTTTAATCCAGTCACTCAGTTTTATGAGCCTAATCGGTTTATGATTTTATGATACAGTTCTATAGATCCAATATTATTTTTGTTTTATTTTAGAAACTAGTTTTATACAGAAAAACCTTAAGAAGCAGATTTATAATTATAAGAAATACATTACTATTTTTGCTAAAATTAAAAATGATAAATTTATAGTTTTATGTTTAATCAAAGATTAATATCAATCAATTATAAACCCTTAGCAGAGAAAAATCATTATTAAATTATTTTTCAAGTCCAGGGTTAAAAGGGCTGTTGGTACTTTCAGATTCTATTGGCCTCAGATTATTCTACGATTATGAGGTTTATTCTGTTTATAGGCGTTGGATTTCTTAAAAATAAGATATTAGAATGCTTTCGTGAGGTAAGTCAATTAGTCGTCGTCTAATAGGCTTTACGACTTAATGGAACGGTTGTGCTTTATTTTGTTACCCTGTTCTTTTGCGTATACGTAATATAAGTGCTAGAAATACCCGATGTACCCCGATACTCCCCCTCCCTTCCAACAACTGACCATGAATATTTTCGCTTTTGTTTGCCGACCATATAAACACGTTTTCGATTGTTCCGCCGTTTTCTTTTCTTTCCATTTATTGTTTTTTAACTGGGCTGGATTTTGCATTCCCCATTTTCTGGTTAATTTTCACGCCAACTGAAAAGCGTGTGAACCTTGATTTAAAATTCATGAGCGAATATTATAGATTGGTTTCGGGACTCAGAACTTTCAGCCATCGAATCAAGCAAATGAATTGCGAATAAATTACATTTTAGCCCAAGCTTCTCAAAATATATTCAATCGATATGCCACTTGCATCTTAATTATTTTGTATTTTTTCGTTGTTTTTTGTTATGTGAGAGAGCTTTCAAAGTGGCCTATAATCGCGATAATAATGATGATCATGATAATGATGCCGCGTCGCAACTTTCTCAGTATCTTTTTGCCCATTAGCATCACAATTAAATGTTTATTAATTTCGTGGCGAAAAATACAGAGCGGCGCGAAACTAAATAAAAACATTAACAATTTGCCGATATTATATAAGTGAGAATATCGATTATGAATGAACGCGTATATCTTCGAAGGTATGTATAAATGTACATATCTATATGCACATATAATTTCCCCGATAGATTCGATAGCTTGAACAGATCAGGTCGCTTTCATTATTCAATTTGTATTAACTTTCGTTCGTTGTTGTTGTCGTTGGTTGGCTGGCGGCTAGAAAAATATATGCGTCGGTATTTCAATAATAATGAAAACAAAAGTTAAAACAAATAAAACCCAAAAAACAACCGCTAGGTTTGGGTTGAGAGGGAAAGAGAGGGAGCGAGAGAGAGTGAGATGCTATCGAACGGTGACTGCAAGAAAATGACATTTTACAGTTGCCCCTTCTACACTCACCTGTTTCTTGGGGAGTGTTGATTACTTGGTTGCGTTGGTAACCATTCATCGAAAAGTCTAGAAAACTTAACTGTTATTATAACAAGATCGTGTTAGAACCGTTAAAATTACACTCAAAATTAGCTTATTATTTCTTATATTTATAATTACAACAAGTATGTATAACCATTTACAACTTGCCAAAAGAAAAGCATTTGTTTTAAATTTTCTGGTAAGTATATACTAAAGAAAAGAAGGGTATTCAAAGGTCGTTGTAGTGCAAAGTGGTAACCATTTCACCTGGGGGCTCCGTAGGTCAAGACAAGCGCATTGGCTGTTGTATATAAATTTTGACAAAAGAAAGACTTCGGTTTAAACCAATTTTGGCAAGGCGGCGGCCATAAGGTGATGACCACTCGACGCGACGACATGGCAGCATGGAGTATTATTTCCGGCTCGCAGGTGCATCTTCATCGCTTAACCCTTCTGCTGATCTTCGTGATTCCGCTGGCCGCGGGATTCGGCAACGAGTATGTCCACATCAAGGTGCACGTGCCCAAGGATGAGTCGCCGGTGGAGGAGTTGCCGGCGCACAAGGTGATCCACCACTACCACCACCATCCGCATCCGCACCAGTTGCTCCGGAATCGCGGTCGACCTCGTCCGAAACCAAGTCCTCTTCTGGAGAGCGTAATCCTCTCGGATCTGGACAAGCCCCTGCATATGAGTGAGCATGCGGATTACCTGAATCACGCCAAGGCGCTGGCCGATCATCTCGCGGAGACCTACGCCAAGAAGCCACCTCCTCCGCCACCGCCACCACCAAAAAGAAGGTCAATACCTACACCATCATCGAGGAGAAGCATCGTCCACTTAGTCACGACTACGAGGAGCACCAGGATCACAGTGTGGAAACTTACAGGGTGATTGAGTCGCGACCCAAGCACCATCATCACCATCACCACCATCCCGTGGAGGAGGAGGAGGACGAGGACGTCGGCTACCACTATCCATCGGGCGGAAAGCACCATCACTACTCGCAGGGAATCGGTGCCTATGCCGAACCAGCTCCCGTGGAGGAGCACTTGGACCCGGAGCCGGAATCGGGCTACAATTACTCCCCCGCCCAGTCACTCCTACATCCCCTCCAGCCACAGTCAAGCGCACCGCAGTTCCAAGTCCAACAGAGCACCGGCTTACACGCTGGAAGCTCCGCAAGAGTCCTCCTATGGATACGATTACTCCAGGCCCTCGAGCTCGGGAAGTAGCAGCGACTTTAGGCCCTCCGTTCAGGTGCCATCCAGTGATGCCTACGGCGAGGAGGAGGAGCCGGCGGACACCTATGGAGCACCACTTCCTCCTCCTCCTCCCTCGTACACAAAGCGCCGTCGTCCAACATCCGTGGTGGATTGGCCCGAAACCAAGGGATTCAACAGTGCCGCCGCGGAAACGTACAGCGGTGTGGATAGCTACAATGTGGGTCATGTCCAGGGCTACGGGTCCGCATCCAGTGGCTACCAGTACAGTGGACCCTATCTGTAGGTGGACCAGCACCTCGCCTAATCTAAGATCTATTTATTGCCTTTTTTTTTTAATAATTTGTTAAGTCGATAAAATCAGCTTTTAAGATGAAATGATAAATATTTTTATTTATTTATTTATTAAAATTAGAACTAGTATGCAATACTAAACCTAATGAATTTAATGAGTACTAGCTAACAGGGCCTTCGACTCGAAACTTGTGTGTTTGTGCTTTATATAATAAATTTTGCCTGGTTCACAAATTTGTTGATATTTATGATATTTACTTGAGAAGGGGTTTTAAACAATCTGAGGGGTAATGTGTACCAAATATTAAGGATCCGAAAAAGTACGAGGAAATATTTACAAGAACTAAGGTTCCGTTTAAAAATCACAAACAATTTTTTAAAGAAGTTTTACTAATTGTGTGAGCAATTAAATAAATTAACTAAAATTATATTATTATATACTTTCGGATATTTTCAAGTTTCATGTACTTTTTCAACGGTTTGCGTACCCTTTATTTTTCTTTATTTCATAATAAACAATACCCACCTTTGAACAAGGCATCCACGCTGTCCTCGCAGCCCAGAAACCGGGGAAAGATGACTCCAAAAAGCGAGGGGCAGTTCCTAATCCCCATTTCAACTGCCGCAACGGCAACCAACTGCTCCATGGCCAAGCAACTGGCACTCAAGGGAGCAGAACGCCCCTCAAACTGGCGATAGACAACCTGGAAGAGCTCCTCCTGATTACTTTCCAATCCGTGCTGCAAAACCTGGCGAAGGAGTGGAACGCTATTTTGGGAAAGAGATATAAAAGTAAAGGTTTTATAGATAACAAATTGCAGAAATTTAGAAAGTGAATTCACAAATTCAAAGAGGTAGACCATCTTCAGGTGTCGGAAACCCACCTGATGTCCTTCCACTGTTGCTCCAAGGCGATTGGCAGCAGAGGAATAAAAAGATGAACTTGCTTTTTGAGGGCTTCCCTTCCGAAAGGAAAGTTTTGCAGGCAGGCGTTTGCCGACACAAAAATATCATTGCAGCGATCGTGGCTTACGGCAGGTGGAGAGCTTTTGATTGCCTCCAGCTTTTGGCCATTCCGCCAAGGGATTGCTGCAGTGCATCCAGCAGCGAATCCTTCGCATCTCCTTCCTTCCTCGCCTTATCTAAAAAGGATGATTCACTCGACTGAAGAATGTTCGTTTAGGTTGTTCGTTGTGGAGGGCTCACTGTACTTGGTCAGCTGATTGCGCACAGCGTGTTTTAATGGACTGCTAAACAGGAGATCGGCCAGAAAAGGGAGCACTTTCTCATTATCTTTTTCCAGATCCTTGAAGAATATGTCCTTGACCACCTGCACTTGCTTTGGCCTCCTTAAAAGGCGGCACAAATTCAAAGTTGGCTAAAATCAATTAAATAAACCATAAATAATTCAAAATAAACAAAAACAAAATATCAAAAACTTACTGGAAATCCATTTCGCGGGCAAAGGAACCAGTGCATCGCGCAGCTCAGCAAATTGCTTGGGATGAGCACAGAGCTTCAGGGCGGATACGCGCAGGATCAAATCGTTCATGTTTTGGTCGGAATCGGCAATATATAGCGGATTATAGTTGCTGATTTTTATTTCCAGCCGGTGCGGTGCCAATCGAATCTAAATAACTATCGATGACAAAAAGAAACCGCTCAAATATCGGTTAAATGGCGTTGCCATCATTTGACAATTGGATGTTTGATGGGCATCACTTTTAAGCTACTAATCAAATTATGACGATCTGGCAGCTTTACCCAACCCTTTTAAGCAAAGACTACAACCTTTAAACTGTTAAGGAAAACCTAGATTTCCGTTTGGAAATGAATTAAATTAATTTAAAAATAAATATTATGCAGAAACATTTATTTCGCCACAAAAAAAACAAAAGCAAATGGGAATGAAATGTTTGAATGCCGCAGATCGAACAGGCTTATAAATAAATCATCAATAGCAAAAATGGATATGAAAATATAATCTATTTTGTCTTTATTAATTTAAAAGCATTTTTTTAATATTAGTTCAATGCAATACCGTTTTTATTAGTTTATTGTTTTTATATTTGAAATGGTGGCAGCGATAGTAATCGATGGTCGCAGGTAAATAATCGATACCCCTAAATTTCACGAGACACCGATGGTAAACATCGATTTTTGTGCCAGCTCTAATTAATAATGTGCGTTGGGTTATTTATTTTTTTTCCTGTGATTTGTTTATTTGAGTGGAAGCCACAAGCGAAATTCGATGCGCTCGCGGCGGAAGACAATATCTAAATGGGCTCAATGCTATCGATTTCAGACGGAAAATATAACTTAATTGGTGTCCAATAGGAAAAGTTTGCATCATGTTTTCGCACGCCAAGTGTGTGTGAGTGTAAGGTGTGCGTGCGGGCGTGTGTGTGTATGAGCGTGCGTACGTGAGAGGGGGGAGTGTTCGCCTTGTTTTCCTCGTCTTTTCCCAAAACTTATCTTAAAACACAGATATCTTCGATTGCAAAAGCCCAAAAACAAAACGTAAATGAAAAGTCGTGGAAATCTAGTTTATGCTTGCTTGAGTGTGTGTGTGTGTTCGTAATAAAGAGAAAAGGAGAGAGGCTTTTCTTTTGTTGATACACAGTGTGCTTATGTGTATGTGTGCTTGTCTGTGCCTCTCAAATTGTGACGAAATGTGTATAAAATGTTTATGTTTATGTTTTTCCCCAACCCCTCACACACGGACACATTCAAACATTTAGGCGCCGCACAAGTTTCGAGTGAAAAGCGATCGGGAGAAACAACAATAAAAACACAGAAATAAAAGTGGATCCCCAAAATAAAATAAATAACAACAACAAGAAGACAAATCTAAAGCATCGAGAAAACCGTAATTAAAGGTCGGCAGATGGGCGGCCAACGGATTTTCGTGCCCTCCGCTGGCCACTTCTCCCATGATTGTTGTTGTTGCAGTTGCAGCAGTTCCCGTTGTTGCAGTTGTTATTGCAATTGCTGTTGCAGTTGCAACGGAAAAGCGGACGCAGCACAGTGAGTGCGAGCGGGAGGGCAAGCGAGCCCCAATCAAAGGTGCGAGTGAGAGAGGTGAGTGACTTTAGGCTTTCTAACGGTACCATTCCCGAAAAAATTAAAAAAAAATAACACAATCATGTGGGTAAGGGAGAAAGAGACAGGCAATAAGAAAAATACATTGATCGCTCGTTGAAATACACTGAGAATTATTATTAGATTTCTTATAAAGGACTTAGTAAATTTAAACAAAATATTAAAAATCAATTATTTTTGAATTATATATTTCTTGAAAGTAAATATTAAATTAATTAATATTATAAGTAAATCTTTAATTTATGAATTTAATTTATAATTTATAAAATGTTGAACTTTCATAAAGCAAAGTTTTTATTTCAGTAAATTGGTAGAATATATATTCATCGGAAAGTTCCCGAAAGTTAAATGCACTCCCATTCCCGAATATTTCCCTCTAGCTGGAATTTTCATTGTTTGTCACGTGCCGCCACTTGAACTGAATTAGGAAAACAAAAAAAAAAGTGCATATATGTATAGTAAGCAAGAAAAGCGGGGGATTCACGAAACGAAAGTGAAGTGCAGAAAGTAAACGTGCGATAGCTTTCTTATTTTCCCCCAAGTCTCTGATTTTTTAGGGAATACACATACATACATATAGTATTTTCTTAAGGAACGTTTCATTAACCTCCCTTGTTTTTTGTATTTCGTTTATTTTTCGCTCCCCCTCCAGCATTTCGAAATGGTCTCGAAGAAGCGTTCCAATGCCGCCGAGCGTGTGCAACGCTCAACGGCAACTGCGGCAGCGGCGGCGGCAGCAGCAGCGGCCGCATCCACAACGCAGGGCAAGAAGCGCCCCGGCAAACAGACGAAATCCTCCTCCAACGCTGGCGGCGAAGAAGCGGAGGACAAGAAGAAGTTGGATGCCACAGCAACAACAACAACAACAACATCAGCAGCTGGTTCTGCAGGATCCAAGAAGCCCCAAAAGGATTCGACGGCATCATCATCATCAGCCAATGAAAGCAGCAAACCCACTCCATCCACTTCATCTGGATTGAAACTGTCGCCCGAGGAGCGACATGAAGATGGCAAGGCGCGCGCCATAAACAAGATGCTCAAGAGTCTGGACATCAAGATCCACGGATTCGATAACCTGCTGCCCAGCGGCGAGGAGCGACTCAACGAGGGTGTCCTCAAGTCCTCGATATCGGAGAATGTCAAGACCAAATCCCGAGCAGCGGCGGTCAAGGTGATATCCAATTTGAATCCCATTAAGATGCCCACTGTGAAGCGGGTTCGTCCTTCGCCGGAACCGGTTAAGGAAAAGTCCGTGGCGGAAAAGCCAGCGGCCGAGAAGCTTTCCGAGAAGGAGAAACCCAAAACGGAGCAGGAAAGTAGCCAGCCAATTGCCGACGATTCGATATCCGTGAAGTTGCCACAAAAAAAGAGCCTGCAGCAGGCCAAAAAGCGAAGCTGGAGTCCACACAAACATCCAGTGCTGCAGGTTCCTCATCTGCAAGTTCCGCAACCACCAAGCAAACAACAACAACAACAACAGCAGCGGCTGCTAAGAATCCTGGCAAGAAACAGGAGCAACCGAAAAAGGAGCCACCACCGAAGCCCGGCAAAGTGGGCAAACCAAAAAGGACGTTGTGGCAATGAAGAACGCTTCGCGTTTACCCGATTCCAATACGGAATCCGTGCAAATGGAGCTGGAGGAGATTGTGGGCACGCCGACGGCAACGCCAACGCCCTCGGCCACGCCCACAGTGACACCAACGCCCACAGCTACGCCCGCTGTGACGCCCACGCCCATGACAGTCGCACGCACACGAACACCCACGCCCACATCCACATCCGCAATCACTGCCACGGAATCGGGAAATCCCAATCCGCCACCACCACCACCGCCGCCCTCAGCCACCGCCGGGGGATCCCTGGGTGCCCCAAAGCAGCGGCCCAAGGTGAAGTACACCAAGACGTCGGCGGGATCGAAGGGTCGATTGCAGAGTGCGTCGCACCAAAAGGCGCCAGCTGCCTCGTGGAGCGGCGCCAAGGATATCTACGACTTCAAGTCGGGATCGGAGGACGAGGAGCCCATCAAAATGGTGCTGCCTTCGCTCAAGGAACTGCGCGAGTTCTCCGATGAGGATAACAAGCCTCTCAAGCTCTTCGAGAAGGCCAAAAATCCTGCGAGTGAAGATCAGGATCAAACGTCAATCAAAAAGGAGGAGAAACCAACGATTGAAAAGGAGCTTAAACCGAAGGTGAGCAAGGAAAAGGAAAAGGAGAAGGAGAAGGAAAAGGAAGTGGATCCTTTGAGCCAAGCACAACAGTCCGAACCAACAGTTAAGAACACTGCTCCACCACCACCAACAACAACAACAACAACAGCAGCAGCAACAACGGGTAAAAAGCAGGCCAAAAGGAAACTGAACACTCCAACTCCATCGGTGAAGAAGAAAAAGCCGGCGGGAAAAGCGGGAAAAGCCAGTGCGGCGGCAAAGGAGCCGCCGCCTGCGAGCGGAAGTTCCGCGGAGAGTAGCTCCTCCGAGGACGAGCGCAAGCTGAGTGCCTACAGTGGACCCAAGCGGCACAGGATGGCCTCGCTAAATGCGCTGGCGAAAGTGCAATGTCTCTACGAAAACGAATCCAGAACGGCGCATGAATTGGGCTTATCGAAGGCCACCCAACAGCCACCGAGGATACGAACACTGGATGGCAGCGACGAGGATAACCACAAGGATTCGCCGGACAGGGACAAGGGATCCGTGAGTCCGCCGCACGCCAGTGCTGCTCCTTCCGCCAGTTCAAGTGCTCCTCCCAAGGAAGTCGAACCCCGCCGGGAATTGCGATATGTTCCCGGCGGTCGAGGAGTTGGAAAACACTGGGAATTCGATAGCGACAGCGAAACGGAGGAGCTACCAATTCAGCAGCCCTTGCCGGCGGTTAAGAAGAAGAAGCTGCCCAAGAAGACGCCGCCGAAGAAGGCGACCGCCAATGAAACGGAAGCCAAGCGAAAGAAGAAGGTCCAAATCGAGGAGAGCGACGAGGAGGAGGCCAAGGAAAAGGAGAAGGAGAAGGAGAAGCCGAAGCCACCCAAGCAGCTGCCCAAGAAGCGGAAGACCGCCTTCACCGAGGAACTGATCGGCGATTACAAGGGCATCCTGGCCAGAAAGCGAATGGCCAGCCTGAATGCCAGCGCCATCGTGGCCGCCACCTACGAGGTGGAGCGTCACCTGGACAAGAATCTCGCCAGCGATTGCAGCAGTTTCGAGAGCTACGATGAACTGGACACCATGCCCACAACCACCACAAAGGCAACGCCAGCGACGCCGATCAAAGCCGAGTTGGTTCACATCAAGAAGGAGCCCAAGGAGTCCAGGGAATCGGCGAGGGAGCGCGAAAGGGAAAGGGAGTTCGAGCGGCGGCGAGAGAACGAGCTGAAGGACTCAACGGCTGGGAAGATCCAGTCCAGCCATTCGATCATCGAGGAGAGCAACGATTCCAAGTACTCGAAGGAAACGAAGGAGACGAACACGGACACCACCATCACGACCACTGGCTATCGGGACTCGGCGGCCAGCACCAAGGACGCCAAGGACTGCAGTCGACCCACCTCCTCGTCGGTGGTCATCGTCCAGGACACGGACGTCACCATCACCGGCGTGTATGTGAATGCGAGCAACGGCGCCGCCCAGGAGGCCTACTGCAAGATGCAGTACCGCGTCCAGTCGAGCGTCACCGAGGAGCGGCTCCTGCGCCCGGGATCCGTGGAGCCGCCCAAGTCCTACACCCCGCTGAGTGCCCTCTCCAGCATGTTGCCACCAGGAGCCAGTTCCGGGCTCAGTGAAGGTGAGTGGAAACCAAACTAAAATTAACTTTATAGAATTTGTAGTTAACTTTATAGAATTGTAGGTAAATTGTAGTTAATTATACTTAATTATTAATCATAACATATAGAAAAAGCTGTCATCTAGTTGTTATAGTTTCTGGATATATAAGAGCTCCATTTTAATACACACAGAAACCATTAACAGGTTCTAAACTTGCTTTAAAGTGGTTTAACAAATAACGGAAAACTCTTTATTATTATCAATTATTTTATGTAAAAAATCCAAAGCCACAAAGATTTTGAATTCTGCTCAACCTTAATTGGTTTAAAAGGTTTATTTTATAACAATATACACATTCCTAAAAAATGTTCGAGCTTACAAGATCTTAGTCTTTATTTATTAATCTACTCAAAATATGTTGACAATATCCTTACAATATAATATAGCTTACATAAGCTATAGCTTTAAATTTGTTTACTAAATAATCTTATGATTAATACCTAAGGTTATTTATTAGGCAATTAATTTCTGAAACTATTGTTGTTGTTCTTTACTCATTTATTAGCTCACAGTTCGCCGCCGCTGCCCGTTCATGCGGCGCCGACGGGACCGCATGTCCTGTTGCCCGGCGAGCACCTGAGCGCCGGGATGTACCACGCCCCCGATCTCGGCCTGCACACGGAGCACGCTCTGCCCGAGCACCATGGGCCGCCGCCGCCCTCCTATGCTGCTGCTGCTGCAGCGGCCGCAGCTGCCGCCGCCTACCACGCCCACCAGCTGGCGCCGGGAGGCGGTGGCGTGCTGCACATGCACCACCAGCATCAGTACGCCGCCCATGCGGCACACGCCCATCACTATCAGCAGGCGGCGGAGTATCACGTTGGACCGCCGCCACCGCACCATTACGGCGGACCACCGCCGCCGCCCCAAGGTCACTATGGTCCGCCGCCGGGAGCAGCGGTACCGGTGCCGCTGTCCGTTCCCGTGCCCGTTTCCAATCCGGTGAGCGTTCAGGATGCACGCTGCGATGTCGGCTCACCGCCGCCCTCGTACCGCGCCAGTGCCTATCCGCCGCCGTCGAGTGTGGGCATGCCACCGCCCACCTTGGGCGGCGGCTCGAGCGCCTTCTGCGCCCCCAGTCCGCTGCACCACCACCAGCATCAGCACCAGCAGCCGGGACCAGGACCGCCGCACCACGATCCCAGTGGTAAGTGCATAATAATATTCCTATTTAATGTTGCATTTAAGAGGTTCTTATCCTTTAATTGGGATTGAGCATGCTAGTTAATTGTCATTGGATTTTAATAGAATTTATTTTCAACTTGAAAGTCCAACACATATTAAATACTTGTGATCTCGACTGGTTAAAAACCAGTTAAGTAAGGCATGATTGAAAAATAAGACAAAAACAAAGTGTAGCATACTTTTTTGGGCTTTCTTTGATGGGATACAAATCTCCTACAATTTCTGTGGATCATAACATTTCACTGCTCATTTCATTTATGTATTTTAAAGAAACAAACTTTTTTGTCTTCAATTTAATATCTTTATGAAATAAATCTGATTTTAACGTATTTAATTTCTATACAAACTGAGTAATCAGAAAATCAATAAGATTTATTTTGTTCGTAGGCTAACTCAATTTTTTTCAAGCCACGATAGACACCCGTTTGGTTTTTTTGGCACTATCATTGATTTCTATTATTTTCAAACAATAGGCGAAAAATGTAGTTCTCACCGGAAAAAGTTTTGCAGCGGAAAATTGTTTGCCTGATGCTTTCTATCAGGTAAGTTTTTGGTGGTGTTTTTAGAGAGGAGGCAGCTTGTGGCTGAGATTAGTTATTAAATAGGCGCAAATATGTGTGCGGATTGGCGATGTCCTTTTGGCTTCCTTCCTTTTGCTATTTCTCGCTTTACTCCCTTCTTGAATCTTTCACTTTTTGCGGTCGACGACAAAAAGCAAAGCATACAGATAGAAACATTTTTGTGCTCAAGCGTTTTTTTTTAAATTTAAACATTAGTGTTTAAATATAAACTTTAGTGTTTAGTAGAGTTATAAGTTTAAAAAGGCATTTGCATATTCACTTAACAAAACCTTTAAAATGTCATACATATATGAAACGGATTTTTGTAACCTTTTCTTTTTGTGTACACTTAGGCGCGCGCCCAATAAGCCTCTCATCTGTGTGTGTATGTGTGCTTGTGTGCTTGGGTGTTTGGGTGTGTTGGTTTTGGCCAAAGTCGGAAACTGTAAGCAGGCAAGCAGCAAACGGAAACGAAATGCAAGCAAAAAGCAAGCGAGCCTGCAGGCGGCGACTGAGAGGAGCCAGCCAACCTCCATTGATGTCATTTACCTTTCGACTTACACAGACACGCCACACAGACAGCATTACACTTACACACACACACAGGGAGAGAGACACGGTGGAGGCAAAATGCATATTACAAAAGTTGCGCTTAAACGCCTAAAAGCAGGCAGCATATTTTTTATTTCGCATTTTCTCTCACATGAGATGAAAAACGATGGTTTGGTGCTCTCTGGTTTGTTGCCTTTCGGCGCCAAAAGCCAAAGATATTGATTTTAATGAATATCATAGAAATCGAGGGAAATACTTTGATGATTTGCTGGTTTCAGCTGTATATCAACCAATAGTTTATTAATATTTAAGAAAAGAATTTCAACTTAAAAAACGTTTATATTTGCATTAAATAAGAGAAAATAGTGATGAAAGAACTTAAAAAACAGTGACATGATTCGTTTCATATTATATATGCAAACAGAATAAACAATCAAGTTTAGAAAATAGATTCATTTTGCATCTCGCATCCTCATTCGCAGGATCGCTCATTGCCAACTCGTTTATTCCGCCCCATTGATTCATATCCAAGGCGGACTCAATCCAAACTCATTAATTTATCCACTGTGTTCGTCGTCGATGTCGTCGCCTTTGTCGGTTGCATCCTTTAAGTAGGCTATCCCCCCGTTCGAGGGACGGGAAAGCTGGCTGTTTTCATTCACATCTCCATTTTCCCAGCGACCCCACATCGCCGCCCGCCTCCATTCATGTCCGCGTGAGTGTTTGTACTTTGCGCTGTGCTGACAGTTAGCACATGTTCTATTTGACGTTCGTTCATCCGTGTTGACACACACACACGCAACATTCAGTGCACGCCAGGGTGGACCTAGTTTTCCACTGGCTTTCTCTGATATTTTATTCTTACTTGAAACATATGACCTGCTACTTGGATTTAAATGGTTATTGAATTTACGCTGAATACGCTCATAAGTATGCTACGATAAATGCATTGGCCGTAAAACTGTAAGGATAAACGCAGAAAAACGTGAAACCAATTTTGTTCAGTTTGAAATTTTTAGATAATATTTTTTGGGAAGCAAATATTTTGAAATTTATCTTTTGTTGATAAAAGGTCCACCCTAAATGCAGCATCACACACACAACATTGCATCTGTATGGGTAGCAAAGAGCGGAAAAGAGCGTCCGAGAGAGTGAGAGAGCAAACTCAAACTCAAGCCGCCTTTCTTTCGATGCTGCGTCTCTGTTACCAACGCGGCGATAACAAGCCAACGAGAGAGCTAAAAAGGATTTGGCGTTTGCCTTTTTGGCCGCGTTTCGTCCGCTTTGTGCCGGCTCTTCTTCCTTTTTCGGCTCTTCCTCCGCCTTTGCTGCTTGCGCCCTTTTTTTTCTATGTGTGTGTGAGTGAGTGAGTTTTTTTTTTTTGTTCTTCTTTTCCGGACGGATTGGACCGGACCGCCTGTTCTCCGCCGTGTTTTCTCCGATTTTTAGTTCGCATTTAGACGTCGACGGCAACGGGAGACTGAGATGAGAATCTGAGACAAAACTGAGAAAATCGAGAGAAATTGAGACTGCGACGGCGATGCTTTAGAAATTCTCGAAATTGTGGGTATATAAACAACGGATACGTTGCGTATACGTAACGTGGCCTACGGTGTTTGTGATAATGGTTGTTATTGTTGTTGCTACTGCTGCACGAAACAACAAATAAAAAGCGTTGATGATGATGATAATTACGTGACTAACGATGATGTTTATGCTGATGTTCGTACGTCATCAACAACAACATGGATGCAGGGTGGAAACAACAAAACACCGGACACATTGCGTATACGTAACGTGCGCCACTCGTGTTTTCGTGTTCGTGTTAATAAATAAATGCGGCACTTGTAGAACAACAAACAAAAATTAATATTTTAATGACAACAACGGGATTATATTGTTGTACTTCACAAGCGAATGCCGCGAGTGAGTGTGGATAAAAAATAAACAATAACAAAAGCCAAAATGTGAAACGTACTTAGTTTTTTCTTGTTTTTTTTTCTTGTTGTTAGTCAATTATGTGCAAGAATGCAATAGCAATTTCAACACAAGTGTAGTTCGCGCCCCACCCCGAAATAAGAAGGAAAAAAAAATTGCATTCGCGTGCCGGCAACTGGCGACTGTGACGCCAACTGCGACGTCGACTGCGAACTGACCACAAATCTAATAAGTCTTGCATTCTTCCCCAGTTAATTTTAATTGCAACTGATTTATGAACAACGAAATCACTTTTTTTTTAGTCTGCCGCTTTTGCGTCTGCAATATTTTGTTTTGCCATTGCCTTTGCTCCTCTTCGTCGAGAGTGTGTGGTTTTCCTTTTTTAACCGCCCATATATATATATATTTATATATGTATATATATAAAGCTAAAGCCCAAGCATCCGGCAGTTGGAGACTAAAAAGTGCTTTTCGTCCACGGGTGCAGGCGACAAAACAGTCGTTGAACAGCTGCTCGTTTAAAGTTTCTAGGGCGTAGTCACGTTTTGCTCATAAAGCCCTTTATTGCGTTTTATTCAGGAATATTAAATCAGTTATTGATTTCATTGCCTTTTATCTAAGAATTCAGATATTATTAAGAATAATTTAAAAACAACAAGTTTTCTAGTGTTTTTTTTTTACATATTAGCAAAACATTTTTTGATCACAAAAGATTTAACAGAAAATATTTTCAGAGCCTTTCGGCAGATTTTTGGCTTTTGATCGATTTTTATTAAAATATGTTCTCTAAACTAAAACCAGTTCTGGGTGGCGCAACCTATTAAATCAGGGATCAATCGAAAGATGCTCCCCACTTTTGTCGCCTGATCGAATTGCTTTTGTTGCAATTGTCTTTTCGCCTTTGGCTGCTGCTTCTGCTCTGGTTGTTGTTGCATTTGCTGCTGCTGGTCGCGCTGCAAGTCGCGCCTTGTCTTCTCTCTCGCGTTCTCTCTTTTTCTCTCAGTGGTCCAGTTCTCTTGCTTTCTCTCTTCGGCCTTTCCTGTCTCACTCTGGCTGCCTGTTCTTGAGCAATGCGTTTCACCCAGCTAAAAAACCCAAAGCAAGGAAAGGCAAAAAAAAAAAAGAAAATAAAAATATGGGGGGAAAAAGCTAACGGCAAAATCGCATCGCCGCTGCTGTTGCTGCTGTCGTCATCGTTTTTGCTAATTTCTTATAAGAATTTTCTTGAACAATTTTCCCGCTGTCTCGTTTTTTTTTTATAAGAAGTCGTCGGCAGCCAGTTGAGTTTTTGCTGTTGTTGTTCTTGGAGCTGCAATTGTTGTTGTTGCCTGCAACTTGCTAGCTGCCTCTTCTTGGCTTTCGTCGTCATCGTTTAACGGTGCTCCTAAGTAGCCGTTTTATTTGAGTGTGTTCGTAAAAGCGTGCACTGAAAAAAATTAAACTAGATTTAAAAAATTATCTTGCCGGAAGACAACGTTCTTATTTAGTAACTTTCAATCTAGTGACACAGATCAAATGTATCTGGTTACATTTTCTTGTAATTATTAAGATTATTTTTAAAACTTTTTTTTTGTCTTCCATTTTTCCATTTACCATTTTCTTTTTACCATTTTGTTCCACTTTAGTCTAGTCACTTCTTTTGAGGCTGTTATCAGCTATCAAACAGTAATGAGAAGGTTTTGTGGGTGGCTGGCTTTACAGAAGCGGGATAAAACAAGATCGTGGAGGAGAGAACGGGACAGAGACATCAAAGTGGAAAATGTAAACAGATTCATTCAGAGGCAAACTGCCGCTGACACATTCAAATCCCCCCTCTTTTTGCCCGTTTCACCCGCTCCGCTTTCCCCCTGGCCGCCACTACGTTGCCATGAATTTAGGCCACAAAAATGCCATCGTTGGCAATGTCCAAAAAAAAAAAAAAAAAAAAAATAAAACAGCATAAAATGAACGAGCGCAAAAATAAGAGCCCCAAACACATGGAGAGAGCAGCAAAAGAGAGGGAGAGAGAGAGAGAAAATGTGCAAGAGAAAAGCAACGGATAAGGAATGCGAATGGGAATGCATATCGAGGATCCCCCCTCCCCAAAATACTCGACACTCTGCACTGCACTCTGCCCACCTTCGGGCCATCAAAAACAGACGCGGCCAATGCTCGAAAAATAAATTCGAAAATTTGTGTTGAAAATAACTCAAAGTGACATATGTACATACAGTAGTGGCCAATTAAATAGAAGTGGGAAAATGTTGAAAGAACAACTTAATATTGGAAAGGTTTTTCCATCAACATTTAAATATCCTTATGAGCACTCCAATTAAATATTTTTTTTCATATAAACAATTTTAGAAAAAATCACCCGTACTTTATTTGTACCAAAGCTGTAATATATAAAGAGTTTTTTCAGATTCTTGATACTGCTGTCCAAACCAAATTACATGTGTAGGCAAAATGTTTAAATTTCTATTTAAATGAATTAAATTTCTTGTAACTTGAACCAATTCATTAAGATCTTGAGTAGAACTCTCTCGATTTTTAAAAAATACTCGTTAATCAAACACTCGTTACACAAACCTGTTAACTGATTAAGTTTATGCAGTTTATAGTGAGTGACCTGTTTATTGCAAATGCGAATGAAACTGCAGTTTTGTAAAAGAGCAAAAAAAAAGGCGTTACTCACCAAGAACAGTGAGTCAGGATGCAAAGTCTCGCTAATAAAGGGATTTGTCATCGAAGTGTCTGGGCCAACCCCTAATCCCCCCGGGCTTTTAGCCAGGTGTGTGTGTGTGGGGGTGGTTGGGTGGGGTGGCTAAGTAATAATCGGTGCACACCATTCCACTAACGCGATGAGAACTCACGCAGAGGCAAGCACCGATGGAAATCGAATTGAATTGCAATTCGCCACGACAAACCGCAGCAATCAACCGGCGCGGCGGAGGCATTCAATATCCAGCACAAGGCCGAAGCGCCCAAAATCGCAAATCGAATTTGCATCGTTGCCCACGAACGACGAGTGGCATCTTCCGCCACGCCACAGGATTCCGTCATCAATGTGTCAGGTCCTGTGGAGCGTTGACGATAATATTGGCTGTTCGAACTGCTGACCTTTGAGCCAGTAACACCCACTTACTGCCCACACAAAACCGAACCGCCCATCCACACACACACACCACCCACTGCCCCCAATTAGTTCCCTTTTCGGGCGGCGAAGAGAGAGAGAGAGAGAGGGAGAGAGTGAGAGTGAGAGAGGGCTTTGTGGTGACTGCTCGAACGCAATTTCCACGCCACACGCACATTTCAATTTTCCGGCCGACCATCGCCACCGTTCTTGTTCTTGTTCTTGTTTACCTCTGCATTCCACGCCCACTCGCCCACTCACCGCATTTCCCTCCACCTGTTTGATTCTGGCCGCCAGTGATTTACGCCATCCATGTTCGTTGTTCCGAAATGTTTGGCCTTCAACCGAAGCAGAAGTTCATAGGGTTAATAAAAGATTTAAAATACTGTAGGTCCACATAAAACTGCAGGCATTTACCAAAAACCTAAATTTTATAGTTTTGAATATTTGAAAAGGAGTTACACAATTGAAATTAAAAAGAAATTAACCAGAAAATTCTTAAACTTCGATGCAGAGTTTTAGATAAATATATCATCCCATTACAACATTACTTTTCTGATATCCAAAAAAAAAACTGTATTAAATGATAACAACTCTATTAGCAAGGCTCGTATCGCAAAGCATTTGCCAATAGCAAAACCCCATTCCCCAACTGTTTGGATTTTTTGGAGCTGTAATCAAATTAGCAGGTCATTTGCAAGTGCCGCCAACATAATTGTCACTCGCTTTCCTCGATTAGCATCCACACACGTCGCACGCTCGTAAACAAAGCCAAAACCCAAAAATCGAAAGTGGAGCCGAGCCGCACAAGTGGAAAATGCGACAAAAAAAAAAAAACAAAACACAAACCCAAACAGTGCAAATGGGAAATGGAAAGGGGAAAGGGGAAAAACCCCCGAAGCTCTGCCAGCAACAGCAGCAGAAATTCCAAATCTGATTTGACACGCAAAGCCACAAAGTGAGCAAAATCAACAATAGCATTAATAGCAGCCAAACAGAACGGGGAAAACTGGGCGGTGGGCGGCAGGACAAAACGGGGGGCGTGGTATAGGGATTGGGGAGGGAAAGCAGTGTACAGGAAAACAGGAAAATGCTGCTGGCCACAAAAATGATTGGCGTGCAAAAGCGTTTAGCGGCAGTCAGATTATGTTTGCGTTTAATGCTAATGTTTAATGCTCCTCTAATGACAACTCAATGTCATCGAGGGGGTGGGGAAAACGGGGTGGAAAATTATCATAAGTCCCTTTGCCAATCTTAAAATGAGATTATTAAATTATTAAACTTTTACTGATTGTCGATTAAGAAGGCACATTAATTAGGTATTATATTTATTATTTATAATGTTAATTACATATTATAAACATTTTCTTCAAACTTAATAACCCTTTTTTTTAAACATTTATTGCTTAATTGAATTATCAGCATATATAAAGTGAACAGTTAAACCCAAATTGAATTGGAAAAAACATATAACATATTTTCCTCTTCTGTGTTTATTTAATTTTCGAGTTTCTATGGATTCGTAATGGGTCCCCGGATTATTTTCGCAAGTGGAATCAAGTGGAAAAAGCCACCCCCTGCAATTTTCAATTTGAACTTACAGCAGAGCTGCATATTGGCCAACATTGTTGTCGCCGTTTTCATCGCAGTCGTTGGCCATTGTTTTGTTAACCGAATTGCCCTTGAGGGCTTGACTTGACTGGCTTATGGATTTGGCTGGCTGTTGGCTTGTTGCCTTGTTCGCTTGTTGTTGGCCAAAAAGGGTTGCCAGGATTTTGTGCTGACTGCTGACTGCCGACTGCCGCCTGTCCGCCTTCCATTCAGCCACCCATTGCCGCCCCCCGAAAAAGAGCCTTGACATTTTTAAAACACATAGTTCACAGGATGGCCTTCTCAGAGTTTTCATTTTTTTGTTGTTGTTTTTTTTTTTGTTTTTGGGTTTTTTGTTTTCTTCTTTTTTTAGCGACTGCCTTCCTTTTTCTTTGTTCGCGTCCTTGTCGCTTATTTGCGTTTCCTTTGCCAGCGAAAGCCGTTAAATGCGCTTTTGCACTTACAGCCTGGCTCCTGTACCGCTCTGCCACGCCCTCCTGCCACCCACCGCCCATGTACATATATTCATTACGGCGTTCATTGTCTTGTTCTGCGCCAAAGTTGATTTGCCAGCGGAATGGGAGAAGGTCAAGGAGCAGAAAGCACATGTGGATGGCACATGGGCGCGGAAAGTGGGTGGGCATTTCTTTTTCTTGCCTTCCCTTTTTTTTCGCTTTTTCCGTTTTTTTTGTTTTCATTTTTTTTGGTAAGAAATGGTGTGGATGGCATGCTAAACGTTGAACTTGAACATGGTTTTTATGCTTGGATATGCGCTTTATGAAGAGTTTTTTAAGCCAGATATCCTGGCAATTTTGTTAGCATCAGCAGTAAAATTGTAGGAAAATTTATTGGATTTATAGTTAGTATAAAGTGTACTATAATTTTAGAAAATGTTTTAGCATTTCAAAAATGAATGTAGTATTTAACTTAGAACTTATTTGAATCATTTAAAAACCAATTAGGTCCTTATATTTAAGAACTTCCTATTACCATGCCTAATGGCTTAAAAATCCCATCTCCCCATTAGAGTTTTATTCGCAAGTTTTCACTTTACCTGTCCAAATTGCGTACGTACATATACGTATATATCCCACGGCTATCGTACGAAATGTAATTGAAGGCTTCTGTTTAATCGGCAAGGTATTTGCGCCTGGGGCCACTTGTGGCCATTATCGTGACCGTCATTAGAGTAATTATCGTCACTATCATGGACACAATCATCGTAATGGTTGTGCAACACCCAGTTGGCCTCTCGACCAACTCACCATCTCGTTTTCGGAGCAGCTCTTCCTGCTCCTGTGGAAATTGGAGAAGGACCAACATAATGCCACACTATTTTCCGTAGGCGTCGATAATTGTTCTATTAGGCAAATGAGTTCTTCGTCCAGGTAGCTAAATTCTCATCCCGTAACCCTGGTTGTTGTTCTCATTCTCCTTGTTGTTGTTGCTGTTATGATGACCACGCCCCCCCGGCGAACCAGTTGCAGTTTGGCCGCCCCTTCGTCCTCGCCCTTCGATTTTCGCCCTCATTTGTGTCAAGGTTGTCAAGTGGTCAACTGGTCAGTTTCAGCTGTCTGTCATCGAGCGCAAAACCCTTCGGATTTTCGGTTTCAGTTGTTTTGCAAAAAAAAACATACATACACATACATACTATATACATATATAAATATATATATATCTGATGTTGATGGGCTGTTGCGGTGATGATAATACTTATGATGATGATGATGAAATTGTCGGCGGCAGTGCGAAACTGAAACATGCAAATTATGGTTTTTCGACTAGGAATTGTGGAGGTTGGGAGCTTGTTTTCTAGGAAGTCATTATTGAATGCGGCTGGTCGAGAATATCTATATTTAGTTAGGTCGCCACGTCATTGATATGAGGCTTTTAATAATCGAAAAAAGAAAGAGTGTGTAGTTTTTGAAAAAAATATTTACCAAAACAAAAAATTCCGTTGATCGTGTTATTTGCATATAAAAGATAAGCGATTCTTGCTAAAAAATCTATCAAGTTGTTATATGCCTTTATGTGAAATGTAAATGGTTGAGGTCATTGGGTTATTTCCGACTTTGATCGGCTGTCGGCGTGTTGCATTACCTTTCCATCGAGCTGCTCCATCGGTGCGTTCCATTCGCAACCTCAAAGAACCCCTGAATGGAAATGGAAATGAAAATGGAAATGGAATGAATGGCTCTCGATCGCCGGCTTTCGGTCTCATTTGCATGCTTGGGCGATTCGAAGTTTCTTTGCTCGTCGTTCGCTGGACGCTTCGTTCCTGTTTCTGTTTTTTTTCTTTTATTCTCTGGGTTTTTTTTTTTTTTTTTTTTGGACGGGGTTTTCTCGACGGTTCGTTCCGTTCTCACGTCCGTCGTGGTTGCCTCATCATTTGCTGGCTATTTCTTCTTTTTCCCCAACTGCTGCGACTGCCGCTTCTTCTCACTGCTCATTATAATTTTCCATCAATGTGCGGGTAAGCGTGACCGTTTTGACTTCATTATTCCCCCGCAGCAGTAGTTCACTTCCCACCTCGACACTTGGAAAAAATTAAAAAAAAAAAAAAAGATCTAAATAGGTATCAGGATAATTGAAATTCTGATTGAATTTAAACATATAAATAACCAGTTGTTTGTCATCTTTCTACGAAGTGTTAATTTAGTGATCACGTTGCACTTGTGGTTTATGTGGTTTATTAAAATTACTCGTTAAACAACGTTGGAAATTTTAATATACTTACACAATTTATGCCTGATTAGGTATTTATTTTTAATTTTAAATATTTAATATATATATTTTTTTCTTTGGGAAATATATTTTCCAAGTGTACGATCGACCCGCTCTCCGCTGCTCTATCTTATCGCTCAGTTGTTTGCCGTCATGTGTGTCCGTTTCCATTTCCGTTCCCTAAGTCCGTAAGTCCCGTCTCTCTGGAGTGCCAAAAAAAAAAAAAAAAAAAAAAAAAATCTTTTGCTCTGCTAAAGTAGAACTGTATTCCCTACGCCCAATCTGAGTTTTTCAGGCTCTTTACTTTTTTTTAGAGAAAGAGCCGAGTTATCGCCGGAAAAAAAGAGAGAGACAGGAGAAAGTAAAGGAACGGAACGGAAAACAAGTTTGCCAACAATGGTTGGTCAAGAGCTTGATAAATTTGGCGCATCAAAAAATACGACTGCATTGGAAAATAGAAAACAAATTAGACATTAGCCGACATCGGGCATCCCTTTCACTCCATCACTGGCCATCACCATAGAGTCATTTTAGCCCACTCTCTACTCTCCATTAACCAAAATCGTAGCGAGCAGCGCACATTTTCTTCCCGAAAAACTTTCTCCGCTGCGTCCGGCTTTTGCCTGATTGCCCTTAATGGGTTAACATACAAATTCGTATAATTTTGAAGATCGTTTGAAAAGGATAACTCCTTGGGAAAAAACATAAAAACAAATATGGTTCATCGAACAAATCCCTGATTATATATATCATTGCAAATATAAAATAATGAATATTAAACAAATGAATGAGTATAAAATCAGCAAACTGAATTTAGTTAATTATCTGCGGGGAATTCCTGAAGGTCGGAGTATGCTGATCAGGAGTATATATGTACATATGTATAAATCCCTTATCGTTGGGAGCTCTTTATTCAAATACAATAGATTTGTGTCTGTTTAAGCCGGTCTCTCTGTATGTGATTGATTCAGTCGCATGACTCACTGTGGTCATTTTAAAATCCAGAACCCACAAAAACGACAACCACAATACCTAATTATTAACGGGACTTTTGGGCACGCGCTGGGTTCGATTTGTTCCGCACCCCCCCTCCCCTTTGCCCGTATTTTCCCCATAGTTTTTGGTTTTTCAACGGACTCCAGACTATCTTATCAGTTGATTCTGTAAGTGTTTGTGCAAAAAAGAAAAAGCAAACAAAATTATCTCTAAACTAGAAAGTTTTAGTCGAATATAATACACACTGGTTTAAAAAACGTGCTCTACGAAAACCAAACAAATTAATTGTGTAGAAGTTGGTTTAAAATGTTTAGCAAAAAAATGCTGGATATTCTAAAATTTAAAACATAAGAACCCTTATAAGTTTTTCAAGTAAAAAACGGAAAACAAAGCGAAATTCCTAGAACGATGTGGAGTAAAATGATTTTTGGCTCACAAAAACCCACAATGTATGTACATAGATCCAGATTAAAGTAGCTAAATTCCCAATTCTTATCAGCAATTTTGCACTGGTTTTGCCAGTTGCGAGAAAAAAAGCAGATAGAGCTGTCTAAAATTCTTGAAAATTATGTTGACAGTTCCAGAAATATTAAACGGTTTCATCTTCCACGGAAAGCTTCCATTAATCTTTTTCTAAGAATTTTAAGCTAATCAAAAAAAGTACTTAAAATATTAAGTTAATGAACAAAATAGCACAAAACTCTTGGTACTGCTAAAGTGTAAAGCTATTTTGCCCGCGTGCTGATCTCAGTTTATTGATAATACTTATTATTACATTAAGCCCTATACACATTTGAAATATCGCCAAAAATTTGCTGATAAACCGGGTATGTTTTATTCGGAAAACTCGACTTCTGGCATGTTCTTTGTGTTTTGGCTTTTCCTCAATTATTTTTGTTGACCCTCTCTTGAGAGAGTGAGCAGACCCAAACTGAGATAACGCGAGAGTGACCGCACTTCGGGTCGCCTCGTGGCTCCATTTTCCGACCAATCAGAGATCAGCTTTAACACTTCGTGTGACCGTTCGCTTCGCTGTCGTTGCATAATGGCCAAAAGAGACGACGGACAACGACAAGTGTTGGCCAACAACAACACCAACTGCAAAACTGGCCCAAAAGAAAAACAAGGGAAAAGCCAAAAAAAATGAGGAAAAAAAGAATTCGGGCGCGGAATGCAAAAGCGTTGACAAAACACCAACACACACATAGCCATAGATGTAGCGATTGTAGTTTCGCGAGCACTTCGGCGCTCTTCGGCAGTCTTCGGCTCTCTTCTCGGCTCTCTCTTCGGCTGGCGCTCAGCTGTTCGAATTGGCGGCAGAGCCACAGAGCGCCATAACTGCGCCACCTTTCAAACCGCTTACAACGCGTCGACGCAGCGCGGACGCTAAAAAAAAGAAACGAAAACGAAAAAAAACTACAAAAGTAATACGCACTGCAACGCCACAGCAGCCAAGTAAAAACAAAAACAACAACTGCGCATGTAAAACTGTGTTTTTATTATTTTACTTTTTTTTTTTTTTGTGTGTTGTTGACGGTGTTTTGCTGTTTTTGCTTTCGTCGCAGACAACAAAAGTGGCAAAGTTTTCGCCACGGCATTGCTCATACGCCCCGTCTCTTGCAAATTCGCACAAACACACACAGATACGCGGGCGCGAACACAAACACAGAACGACATACAAGTGAACGCGCGCGTTTTGTGCTTTTTTTTTCGGTTGGTGACATGCAAAAAGCAACAAAATAATCATAATAAATACAACAAAAGCGATTAGTTGGGCACTTTTCGCCAAAGTGGGCAACAAAAGTGCATCAGTCCACTGCAATTCAAAATCAAAACAAAAACAAACCGAAAAATAAATAAATCATTTATTATTAAAACATCACAAAGTAAGCTTCTCCACACACTCCACACACACTCACGCGCGCACATTGACTGGCTCACAAATACACTGGCAAACATAAACATCCACACACCGATAGAGCAACAAGTTTGCGTGCCACAAAATTTCCATTCGGCAATTTTTTGCGTTTCTGTTTGTTTTTATTTTTATTTTTGTTTTAGACTGCTAGTTGTTGACAACAAGCTAGCTTTATCTTTTTTTTTTTCCTTCTCGGAAATAATATAAGTATTAAAATGGCGCCTTAGCTTGGTAGCATTTTTATTGCCTCGTTTTTCAATTTTCGTATTCACGTGAAATTGGTTTTAACACGAAATAAATAGTATTTTGAATGGTTCTTAAACTTTAACTTGGGGCTTTTGGATTATAATCTAAGATCCGTATATTTTCGTATGGGTAAAAATGCATTAATTTGCGATCAGCGCTTTTCATTTACAAATGCGTATTGGAATTTCCTAACTGTTAGAGAGGATCAATCGCTTTGGTATTCAGTAAACCCCTGAAAATTTGATCTTTTAATTAGACTGGTTAATAAAAAGCCGGCCGGTCAGCTTGCATCACTTTTTTTTTCATAAAGATATGTGTACACATGTAAAATACATTTACACAGCGCTTATTATCAATGTTTAACAAGCAAAAAACAATAATTTGCTTACCATTAAGTAAAATGCTGACAGGCAGTTTCTAAAGAATTACAAAAAAACATTCTCTGCTTGGCTTGAAAAACAAAACTGATTATCTGGGAATTTTTCTTTATTAAAAACTTGGTTTAACCCAAATAGCTATGATTCTCGTTTTTAATATTATTTTTATTAAAATTTCAAAGTAAAAGATCATAATTTGTTGTCTTATTGCTCGGAAATGTGCTTATCCTTTCAAGGATTTAGAGATACACGAGTATGCGTGATTAAATCCTCACCATGTGGACGTTCGGAACAGTTGGCATATCTGCTTAGATCCTTTTGCCAACATTGTTCGCGGTCCTTGTCTTCTTATTCTTCTGTTGACGCTAAGTACAAGAGCAAAGTATCGTCCTTCTGTTGATGATGTTGTTGTTGTTTTCGTTGTTGTTGTTGCAGCACACACCTTTGCACTTTAATTCCTGCCGTCTTATTTAGCATCTGCGCCGGGTGTTACTTAAAAAAAGGAAGGAAAACAGAAGGAAGGAGAGAAGACCTGGAAGGGATGGGGAAGGACATCGTGAGCGAGAGAAAGAGAGCGGGCATTTGGAATCGACTAGCGGCGGCAGCGGTTTTAATGTCAATAAGAAGCGGCGGCTGTTGCCAGTCGCTCACTCTTTCGCCTCCTCTCACTCACTCACACATAGCCACATGGCGTGTGCACGCGGTCAGGACGTGCACACACGCACACACGGACACTCATTCGCACACACATGGGAAGCAACAGTGCCGTCCCATATCCTTCGGCTTGTTTATCCTTGTTTTCTCTCGATTTCATGCTCGTTTCCCACTTGCCTCCACTTAAAACCGGCCGCTCCGCACGCTCTTCCTCTCATTGTTTTCTACACTGCAATTAAATAGGAGGTTGTTATAGAATTATAATTTGATAGTAGCCAGAAGTCAGCTATGAGATTGTATTACTCACATTTTTGACAAAAAACCATGGTTCAAATGGTACTTCCGCTATTCTTAAGATTTATTTCAGTTGTGGTATCAAATTTATAAAAAAAATTTAAATTTTAGTGAAATATTTAAAACACTAATCAAGTTCCACTAGATCCAGAATGATAATATCTTAAATTATCTTTTCACACCAACCTTTCTTTCTGTGTACTTGAGTTTTCCTCTTCCCTGGCTCATTGTTGTTATAATAAACGTTAGGGTAGAGATATAAGTATACGCTTTAAGGGATTCATAGGTGATTTCACCGAGATGATGATCCAATGCCACGCGTTATTATTATATCTAAGCAAATATGTATGAAGCAAGACCTAACTAACAGGAGTAATATCTTATCTTATTGCCCTAAGCAAGTAAATATATTAGTAATCTAATGAAATGATACGATATTAATAATATTACTTGGAATTACTGAGGGATCTCCTTCATAAAACTTTGAGTAACTGCGTTTCGAGCAGCCGAATAACTCTACCAATTAATTTCAAAGTATCGATTTCACATGGTTTTTTTTACCCTTAAAAAGGTATTAGCAGTTCGTATTCGTTTCTTCAACCAAGAGTTTTGCAATCTTGCCCCTTAGGGTTTTTAGGGGATGTGCGCACCCCTTTTTAGGGCTGACACACACACACACACTCACACAGACAAACGCACATCAGCTGGTTAATATTCAGAAGCACACATACCGACACACGGGGAACTTGTTCTGCCTGCCACGCAATTTGAAATGGCCTTGAACGGCATTTGATAGTTGCCTTCGGTGTCTCTTTTGGCACTGCCCTAGACCTGCATTTGCCATCTATGCCATCTCTGGGAACCCAAAGCTCTACTATCTACAGCTTTATGCAACAAAGACAGCTGTCTGTTGTCAAAATAAGGGTCCTTTGTGGCTTTTATATTAGTGTTATCCTTGGCTAGTAAACGATTGTGTGCTATTCCTGTGATAGTTTCTTACAGGTAAAACGATGCATAATGTATAGATTTTGTTGGGGAAGGATTAATCAATACTGTTGCGACAAGTGCGTACATAGGATTAGGTTTTAAATATTTAGGATTCTTATAATATTTACCAATAAAAACCTATTTCCCTTGATCATTTTATGGGAAGACATATGGTATATGTTTACAAACATTAAGTCGCCTGCCTACCTATTTTGCATTGAAATATAGCACTATTTTAAAGTTCCTGAAACACCCCGCTACTATTGTCGTGAGCACAGGTGTACGTATGCTTTGGATATTGTCCAAAAATTTGCATTTTGCAGCCGCACAACAACAGTTGGAAGCGATTCAAGTCAAGTCGGAGTCAAGTTGGGCCGAGTGGAATTGATACGATTGGCAATTCATAAATAAACATGAGTCGGTGGAGATCGTTAAGCGAACATGCTTTCTGCAGCGCCCCCCGAATTCCCCAATCACCCCCCTTAGATTCCCCCCGCAAAATCCAACCGTACACCATAAAGAGTCGACATAACTGTGGCAATATTGTAAATGCAATTAACTGTTGTTCTCTGCCGCTGCTGCGCAATTGAATGTCGGACATGGGGCAATCGAGGGGGCTTTTTTTTCCAGTGGGGCAGAATGATATAGTCGCACTTGGCACGCGTCAACCCCCTATATAAGGTAGATATATTCTATTTACGCCCCGTTTGCGCTACGTATTTGTGTTTCATTGCGAAATGAAGTCTTGAAGTCCAAATTAAAATCTTTTTGGATTGCAATATTGCAATATCTCAAATCCATTGATCGATTCTCTTAATTTAAATTAATTTAAATTTAATTTAATTCAAAAAACAGCAACTGTTAAAAACCGTTATTTCTTAAAATATATTTTTCGCATACCGGATGTGTTATAGTTCAAGATACTAGAACTATTCGCATACATTTTAGCTGTGGAAGTTTTTGTGGAATTACGCAAAGATTATGTCATTCACATTTTTAATAAAAAACGAGCAATGATTTGGAAGATACTTTAATTATTATTAAACAGATAATAAAAGCGTTGATAGCAAATTATAGTTTGATAAAAACTGATTTGATATACAAACCGGTTTTTCCAACATGTATGATAAAACGTGATCGTAAACAACCAGGAAAGCTATGTTTTATCTACTTTATTGCTGCACTTCTGAGGAAATAATCAAACCTAAACTATTTATTTAGCTTTGAATGTATGAGACCAATAAGTGATTTGGCCCAAAGTGGTGAAAGATATTAAAACTAGTTTAAATCGATTTTAAGCAGACAGCTTTGATAGTAAACTCTTAAGTTTAAGCGCAGAAATAAATGTTCGTTCCATTGGCTGTTTCACTTTGTGGATCGGATGGGTTTGATTAATTTATTCTATGGAAATTTCTTTCGATTATTTCTGCTTTTAGTCTTCCATTCTTCTCCCGCGTTTTTTTTTTTTTTTTTTTTTTTCGTTTTCTTTGGCGTAGAGCACCTACTCGATTTGTACGCCTACAACCAAACTATTTTCCCTCGTTTTTGGTCTGGCTTTCGTTATCGTTACTTTGGTGGAGCAGTTGTATTTTTATACCCTTGCAGAGCAAAGGGTATTATAATTTTGGCCAGAAGTTTGCAACGCAGTGAAGGAGACACCTCAGACCCTATAAAGTATATATATTCTTGATCAGCATCACGATCTGAGTCGAAATCCGTCTGTACGTCTGTCCGTCTGTCTGTCTGTCCGTCTGTCCGTCTGTCCGTCTGTCCGTCTGTCCTCCTGTCCGTTTCTGCCTAAACTAGTCTCTCAGTTTTAAAGCTATCTTGCTGAAACTTTCCCAAAAGATGTGTAGTTATTGCACGCAGTATATAAGTCGGAACGAGCCGGATCGGCCGACTATATCGGATAGCTCCCATACAAGAGGTCAAAAAAATAAAGGATAAAAAATTATTACGCCGTTGTTTTTGATCAGATCGACTTGAGTTCTTCAAGATGGCGTTTTCTAACGGTTATTAAATTTCGGATTAAATTTTATCAAAATCGAATAACCCTATCATATAGCTGCCATAGGAAAGATCAAAAAATATATATAGAAATAATGGCAAAATAATCATAACGTTGTTGTTTTTTATTCCACGAGCATGATTTTTACAACATCGACTTTATGAACTACCCTTGAACCGAGAAAAAAATTTCATAAAAATCGGACAACTATATCATATAGCTGCCATATGAACAACAGTCAAAAATATGGAAAATTAATAGAAAAGTCGTCATAGCTTCGATGTTGTTAGCCTTTATGTATTTTGTTCGATATGTTTGATGACTGCAAGGGTATATAAGCTTCGGCTTGCCGAAGCTAGCTTCCTTTCTTGTTTTTGTTGCTGTTTGCTGTTTTTTTTT